TTTCCAGCTGCTGTTCATCCTTTAATTGTCTGCTTCCAATTCCCGACATAATGTGTTCTTTGGCCTTCCTCTTTTTCGCTTCCCTTCAGGATTCCAAGCTAGCGCTTGCCTCGTGATGCATAGAAGTAAACGTTGTCATTAGAGAAGCTTTGGCGTTTAATAAATATAGTAAATGCACACAACTGCATACTCATTCAAATACTACTATAATATTGGTTTAATTGTGTCCATCAAGTGATATTATACTTCATTTATTACTTCCATACATGCTAGTCAATTCAAGTATTTGGATACACGTTGAGGAACATTGAAATTCAAGTTCTTACTTAATCCGTTTATTTTCAGTCATCTAATGTAAAGATAACGACAATGACAGAACCTCATCTCGAAAATGTTGTACTCTTCTCTTACGCGGATATTAACACGTGGTTTTTACGGAAATAAGTGAACAATTCTTAGAAAACATTGTGATATGAACACACAATCACAGTTTACTCACGTTATCGATGTAGTACTCAAAAAACCAAAAAATAAAATATACATATGTGTTTTTCAGGAATAATTTATGTTCCCACATTCTTTCTATTAGGGATAAAGTTGTTGGTATGTTTATCACGTAAGAGTCGGACTTTCGTTAAGGGCATTCTACAAATGGAAACAACGGTTAACCTTTCAATTAGCATTATCAGAAAGGGTTTTTGTGGATATTATAATAATTTAATAGTTGATTTCACGAGTCGATTGAAGTGGAACCTCCATGTCATGACCGTAATATGAAAAGTTTCCATGCTCATTGTAGACAAATGCCCAATGTAATAAGTAAGTAAACCTAGAATTGAACGATGTTAGATCCTACAGTGTTATGTGAAATGTGCTTGATATACATAAGGTAAAGTCAAAATGTTTGTTGAATCCAAAGCTTGTGATTTGATTGGTAAGTGGTAATTAAGTCAGCTGAAAAACGTACAGTAAATTTCTTTGAAGATAAGCTTTTAACAAAATGCAATAATAACATCCGATGAAGTCTACCTTTTCTTTGCATCACCATCTACACTGATTTACTTTCTCTTGCGTCATGAAGGAAAGCCTGGTTTGCGACATCTATCGCTTGTGTTGTTTCGTCTTTGGTACAGGTCTCGAAAATCTAACAAAGCATGTTGACTGTAATCTTGGATTACTAAGAACCGTTCCACAGAATAGGTAGATACTTATGCCCATTTTGCTTTAAGATCCACCTAAGGTATAAATAATAATCAGTTCAGGCACCAACACGTCAGTTAAACCAGCTTTCGTGGACTTCATCACGGATGATCTCCGACGACACTGTCACCTCAGATTTAGTAAAAGGCTGCCACAGCCTGAGAATTAACCACGAGATTTTCGTACTTTTCATTAAACTTCTAGAGTACGGCTTATGTATATAAGCCGATACCAGCCTCTTCAAATATGACTTTAGGTTGAGACGGTGAACTGTGGAGTTAGCTGGTTTATTACCAGTTCTCAGAGTAGAAACTATGGCTACGAAAGAAAAAACCTGTTTGCTTACGGCAACGACTATACCATTTATTGATTTTGTTATGACAGAAGAGAACAAAATAGCCTCAAATGGTAAACTTACATAAATTGGTGTTACAGACAGCGATGCATTTCAACCATAAAATGTTAGGAATCTTTAACAGTGAAAAAAACTTTCACACAAAACTAACATTCTAATTTATATTAATCAATGAATTATCTCTCTGGAAGTGCTATCATTCTGACACTTGGTGCAGTAATTCAACAAAGAAAACGTTTAAATAAGTGTTTATGCTTAAAAAATACGTTTGCATGTTTTCACCAACTCCAGTGCTTATTTGAAACAATTTCAACATAGACCGTGATAATGTTTGAAAATCCACGAAATCATATTAGGCAAGCTTTTATATCATATCTATATCGACTAGCTTTAATGAAGTATTTGCACTATATGTTAATTCCTTTATAATTGATTTCTTGCTTATTATGAATTCCATATACCGATTTGTTGGCGATATCTTATCGTTGTGTCGACACAGTTCCAGGAGTTTGGTAATGTGACGTACGGGTGGTCTAGCCACAGGATTGCACTAATTCTAGTCCGTTTGATAAATGTTTGTGAGTTTGTATATCTTCTAATCTGAGATAGTGAGTTTTTCTCACGGGAGTAAGGTCTCCGGACACCAGCGGTTAATACATCACACGACAGAAGTCCAGTCGGTTGCAATGTGAAGAATAATGAAGGGAAAATTCGAATACCGAAGATGTCGGTTACAAGAACTTGATAAATAAGTTAGTTAGTTTATTAATAAAGCAGACAATTTGAGATTGAGGTGTAATAATAAAGAGATAGACAGAGACAATGATAAGCGAGACACGGATGAGTTAATGACTAACTGATAATAACAACACCTTGTGAATTGTGGGATGTGCTGCAGACATGGCTGGTCTAAGCGGGATCTGACAATCCATGAGTGAGTATTTTCTTGGTCAAGTTCCTCTTGAAGCCATCCACTGAGGGGCCTGAGACCACTTCAGTTGTGTTCATCAAGTCCTATTTGTCTTAAATTGAACTAGTCCAGGAATTCTTAGTGAGCACATCAATTCGATTACTGATAATTATCATGTTGGCTTCGCGATGGAGCATGTGATTGAACAACTGGATGTACATCCAAATCATGATGCCTTCGAAGAGTAAATGGGAAGTTTTGAAACCTGAAATAGGGCGAGGAAAGACGTTGAACATGATGGAATTGTGACTCACTTACTTACTTTCATCGAAAAGGGTGTGTACAGTTTACCGAAAGATTCGACATTTCCAGATAAGCCTATTTCACTCGACTAATTGCAGGAATTAACGTACGAAATCTGGAAAAGGCACTCATATAAGTGCTGAAATGCTCGTTCCTTGATGTTCGAAGTGTATGTATTAATTACGAGGTATTGCACGAAACTGACTCCAAGACATGAAGAATTTCATTAGATTACTTGATTGTCCTGATGCATTTCTTAGTCAAGGTCATACGTCATGGAGTTTAATTAACGGCAATTCCCGTTTTTGTGGAAGCATGTGAAACGACTCATTGAAGAATTACAAGGCAGTGAAAAAGTTGAGCACAAGTTTGAGGAGTGTTTATCGTATGGTAGATTTCATTCAAGCAATTCGTGTTCAGTTCTTCGTGGCAGGTGCTTCAAGTGTGCCTTTCTTGATATATGTAAACGATATTTCACATCAGGTATCATCAGATTTAATACTTTTCGCTGATGTGAAACTCTGGAGAGAAATATGCAACCAAGAGGGTAAACTGGCACTTCAGGTGAATCCAACTCGACTTCAAATTTGGGCAGATGACAATGGACTTACCTTTAACAACTGGAAATGTAAAGTAGACCGCCTGAGACATGTTGCAGACTACAACTACAACTGAGTCAACACCCTTGTAGAGGTATCCCAAGTTGAAAAAGATCTGGGTGTTGATACCATATGATTTGAAGTCTTACGCTAACTGCGATAAAAATGCCTTCCGAGCAAACCTTGCACCGGTAAGGTAAAAGCGCATTTTCAGCCAGTTCGATGGATGAACTTTCCACATAATCTTCATTGGATTTATTCGTCCCCATCTAGAGTATGGAAATACGGTTTTTCCTCCCTCGCTCCAAAAGGATAAGAACCCCAATCAATCAATAAAAGGGAAATAAAGGCGAACAAAGGGGAAAATGCGTTGGAAAATAAAAGGGGAAATAATAGGGAAATGCGCCAATGTCTGCTCTTTCGCCTGTCCGTGGAAATAATGCGGTTTTTCCCCTTTATGTCACTCTGTTTCAAACGTCTCTGAATTGTCTACTTTTCGCCTAAATATACGCCGATTTCTCTGATTTTGCTTCCACTTTTAAAACACCTTTGGCATAACCCCAAAAGTCTCCTGTTATCGCCTTTATTCCCGTAACACAGCACATGAAAACTGCAATCCGCGTGAGAAATAGTATATGTTTAAATTTATTGAGAAGAAAAAGTGTAATATTGTGCAACATTATGAGTAGTTGACAGATGCTTGAGCATCAATCGTTATGTGTTTTAATTATAATTGCCAGTCTTATTGTAATTTGTAAAGATCTACAAAGAAAGAACAGGTGATGTATTACTAATTAGGCACATGTTCACGTTTAGCAGACTTCGACAGTAGATGTTTCATATTGACACTCAAGTCAGAAATACCGGACGATATGTTCTGCAGTACAGTATACAGTCTATCAAATCTCAAAAACTTAACTCAACCGGACACGTGACTTACTCGGCCGCAAACGCACTGCCTACACACCTAGACTCGAACATTGATGACGACGTATCCAATTGTGTCGAACTAGTTATTTAACATCTTAAAAGTAGACAAGCCTACTTAGCATTCGGCGAAACAACACTGTCTAGTAATCGAAGTTTGGGATATTGGACATGGCTATTTCCAACCTGAATCTCAGCCACATCCATTTCAACGGAATTGTAAAGAAACCATTCTTTACGTCTCAATGCACCTCTACAGAATGTTTGTAAGCTGGCAGGGAAAAGTGCATTCGATCCCAAAGATGCCACAGATATTCAGAGTTTGACGCTTTAGTTCGTAGCATCTTTATAATCGAACGGTATAAAACCAATCAAATCAGGGATGGAGTTCGGGGTTATAGTGCCGACATGTTGAGAAGCGTTTGATATTAGCTGGCTAGTAGTTGCAAGAGATGCGTAACACAGCGTATCTACTCACAATCCGTGCTAATGCATGACTAAGCGCCTTCAACTAGGGCGTGTCTAGTAAAACTAATAAGGTCACCATCAATGTCAAAAACCTAAAGAATTATTTATTTTGAGGTTTTACCGCTACACGCTAAATATGTTGTTCAAAATGACATTGAAAGCGATACAGTTAAGCCAATAAGCTCAGAGAACTTAACCAGAAACTACGGGAATAAGCAAGACTGCCGGTTTAATGTTTCTGAAAACAGTGGTATCCTATTAAATCAAAAGTTAATATTGATTTTAAGAACACATGATAAGAGCTAGCAAATATTGTCAAAAAAATAAAACATACATGTAATGAAAGACGGTTTTTTGAACATGGTGGTCACTAATTTTATAAAATAAAAGGACTGGTAAAGAGAAAACAACAGAGGAATTTCAAGCGTTCAGGAACCAGGTAAAACCGCTACCAAAAAACAACAATGAATGAAAAATAAAATCGAATTGGTTCATTTTTAAATATTAAAGAAAATATGTACAAAAGATGAGTAAGTAAAAAATGAAACCCACAAACGTTTAGTGCCATGACAGAGTAGAATAACAGTGTGCAATTTGCTCTACTGTAGCAACACAATCCATAAAGATATCTGTTGTCAGTCCATATTTCTCATATTGATGTATGTATGCTCTAGAAGCAAACAGTTCCCAGGCACGAAGGGACACATATTTTAAACTAGCTGATGTGTCGCCTAACGATGCTGCAGACATCCATAATTCTTTGCGATTAGTTTCAGCAGTAGAGACGTTGTCTATACGTGAACCACCCCCATTAGAAGCAACAAACAAACTACGAGGGTAATCTCCAAAATGACGATGATGTCCACGAACAACTGAGCCAAAAGAAGAAGGAACAGGAGCTGGTGGAGGTCCAGAAATCAAAAGATCCCTAGTAAGTGAATGAACAAAAGTATTCGAATCTCGAACATGATCACTTGCTCCGTCACCTCGCAATACAGATAAATAGGAAAGTAATGGGAGCCGTGAATTTTCAATTCGGTTATTAGATCCACAATTTGAAGCACTGGCCGACCAATCAAGTTCTAAATGCCGGAAAAGATAGTTAAACAATGGTAGTTCTATTATCATTAAAATATTATCATAAGACCAAATTTTATAACCTGAAGGCTTTTAATAGAGAAAATATACTTTCAGCAGAAATTAAGTACTAAACACAACATTTTCAGTAACTCGATATTTTGAGCGTATCTATAAATGTGACCACATTCATTGAAAGACCATAAACAGTAAAAATATAATTTGTATGCTAGAATTAAAAAATAGACAAGAATCGCGCATTAGGAAGAATCGTTTATTTAGTTACTTTGTATCAGAGGAAACCTAGTCAATATGGACAAAAGAATACCATTTATAATTACAGAGATTTTAACTAAAGTCAAGTTATTTCATAAAGAAATAATCAAAAGGAAAACTTAACTGCAGACATTATACCAACAATGTCTTGTTATTGGCTAAAATATTAAAGTAGAAACCCTACAACGCAGTCTAACTATCAGCATATAAAAAACTAAATAACTATTCTTCTAATACAGGATTACTCAACTAGTCCACTTTGAAACAATGTGTCATCGATACCATTGAACACAATTAAGAATTATGTAAATATTTCTTTTTAAAAATCATCATTTTATTAATAATGGAATTGAACTTCTAGGCAGTTAAATATACAAACAAATATTTAAGGGGTTATTCGTCAGTTTTATAAGATCGGTAAAAAATGAGAAAATTTTACGAAGTCGATAAAAAAGGATACAACACCAGTAGTTAAAAGTTTCCGAAAACTACCATGTTACAACATAATTTTGAGCAGTGAATTGATCAGTACGCATTTACATATGGAGCAGTAGATATGTTTGTTTATTCCAGTCAGCGTTTTTTAGCAACGTTTTCAACAAAGTGTTGATGAACCGGATGAAATATTCGGTAGACGCCCAACTTCGAGATCAACGGGACGGATCCCGTAAGGATCAGTTGTGCACAGACCAAACTGTGACACTACAAATCATCGTTGAACAATCAGCTGAACGCAACTTCTCACTATACATCAACTTCCTTGACTATGAGAAAGCATTTGACAGTGTGGATACAAGGACCTTATGGAACTCTCTTTAACACTATGCAGTACTTGGGATCGTCAGCATCATCCGCAATACATACAACGGACTACACTGCAAAGTCGTGCATGGAGGAAAGTTGACAGACGCTTTCCAAGTGAGGACCGGAGCCAGACGAGGCTGGATACTCTCCCCCTTTCCTTTTCTTCTGGTGATTGACTGAATTATGAAGACCTTCATATCTGACGGGAAGCATGGAATACAATGGACAGCTTGAATGCAACTAGACGATTTGGACTCCGTAGATGACCTGGCCATTCTCTCCCATACACACGAACAAATACAGGTAAAGACAACTAGGGTAGCAGAAGCCTCTGCATCAGTAGGTATCAACAAAAACAAGGGGAAAAGCAAGATCCTCAAATGCAACACAGAAAATACCAATCCAATCACACTTGATGGGAAAACTCTGGGAGAGGTGGAATCTTTCACGTGCTTGGGAAACATCATTGGTAAATAACGAGGGTCGGGTACAGACGTACGGGTAAGGATTGCCAAATCAAGGGCAGCACTCATACACCTGAAGAACATATGTAACTCAGAACAACTGCCATCCAATATCAAATTCACAATCTTCAGTACGAACGTCAAGACAGTTCTACTGTACTGATTTGAAACTTCGAGAACTACCACAATCATCATCAAAACAGTACAAGTATTTATAAACAATTGTCTACGCAGGATACTCAGTGTGCGTTGGCCGGACGCCATCAGCAACAGCCTACTGTGGGACAACAAACCAGCTTCCAGATCAAGAAGCGATTCAGAAAAGAGGTTAGAAGTGGATAGGTCATACATTTTGGAAATCATCAAACTGCATCACGAGACTAGCGCTAACTTGGAATCCTGAAGAGAAACGGAGAACAGGAAGCCCAAAGAACACAGTGTGTCGGGAATTGGAAGCATACGTAAGGAGGATGAACAGTAGCTGGGAACGACTGGAAAGAATCGTCCAGGATAGAGTACTGGTGGATAGTCTATGCTCCTCCACGATAGGTAACAGGCGTAACTATGTAAGTAGGTATATATGCTTCTATATGAGGTGTTACAAAAAGTTAAAACTAGAGCATACACACACTGAAACTGTATAAAGAAAACGAAAGTCTTACTATCTTCTACAGCAGAACCCGTCAATAACATTTGTCTAGCATGACGAGCTAATTGGGCCCAAGTTTCTGTACAAAATTTACGATTTTCTACAGGCATATACGGTAAACAACGTAAACGAGTTATTCGATAATCAGGATGTCCACATAGATCCAATAAATAAGATGTTAAACGTTTTTTATCCTTAAAATATTCTGTTTCAGTATAATTTATAGTTGGCTGTTGAAGAAGAAAAACAGAAATCACGAGATTTACTGTTATTTTATATTCATAAATCTATAGATACTACACCAATAAATTAACACAATGTAAATATATTTAACGAAATTATGCAGATTTAATCATCACTCAACAAACTATGTACGACTTGAATGTATTCGACATAGATAAATAGATATGCTGACTAGATTTAGAACCGGCCTAGAATCAATAAAATTAGTACTATTTTTTCATTCTAAATTCATAATTATTAGATGAAAATACAGAAATTCAGAATCTATTGCTCGAGGGATCAGGATATGTATGAATATTAATGTGTGTTTATCACACAGTTATGTCATCCTGTAGTCATGTTATCTTAACCGCAAATTTTTATTTTTGATTCACTGAATATTTCCATATCTTTTCCCGTTTATAGATGACTATTAATTGATCCTAAATTTGTAATCCATATTTTTAATATAAATATTACAGCTATGTACATATTGAGACTGACTATTTACATTATGTCATTGACTTGTATTATATGTATATAATCAAATGACTTTGAAATTTAAAAATAAAAAAAATAATGCTCAATATTTAAGTGACCTTTCTGATGTTTCAATTGAGACAGAGAAGGATATATGCATTATTTATCGATCCTTCAGCATATACATCAGTGTTAGTGAACGGACTATTAGTAGGAAAAACGAGATTCAGCTGCTTAAAGCTTCCATGTTACGCCGTTAATCTGCAATAAATCTTAGAGTAAAGGACTATCAAACACTAATCTATCGTGGTCAGAAATGAGAACACAATAAACCAAACGACTCAAGCAGTAAAAGAACTTTTTTGGACGATGATCATAGTGATAACGAAAACACATTATGAATAATAAAATGCAAAGAAAATAATGATAAACCTATCATTACAACTATTGTGTCCTGCCACTGTGATGAGTTTATGAAACCAACTTGTAATTGACGAAAATTGAAAACAGCCTACTATACAGTTTGAGAATTAAGTAAGTTATTTCTATTCTATTGGTTATATATGTATTTCCTAAAGTAACGAATAATTGATGATACAATGCAATGTATGACTGTTTTGTTAGGTTGATTACGGGTTATGTTAATATAATTTTACCACCATATTTTTAGTTTTCCAATCACACCAATGTATAGACGATTATTTTGATTCAAGCTATTAATTCGCATTCATTTTCCTATTCAGTATATTAATGCACTGAGAAGGCAAATAGAATTATATCTGCTTATACCGACAGGAAAATAAAGAGAAACAGCATGGGGCCCCATACTTTAAACAGGGTATATCAGTTCAAGTTATCAAAGTTTATACCAGCTTACAAAAAAAGAAACTTCAATGGTTAAGATCATGAGTCAGCTTCAACCGACTCATGATCTTAACCATTGAAATTACTACAATCTCCACAAAAAACCCATCTGATATTAATCAACATATGCTCACTAGTGACTGGCTTCACGAGGTATATCCTGGAGTTCTAGTGAGAAGTAGTGACCAGTGGAGTTCAACCAGGTCTGTTGTGAGATAGTAACTCACTAAAGACAATGGTGAATGTGTCGCTCAATTTCGTGGATTAGTTGAAGTTAGACATTAACACCGTTGGATGCCGGCTCAGTGGTCTAGTGGTTAAGTGCTAGGGCGCAAAACCAGTAGGTCCTGGGTTCGAATCTCGCAGGGGGCGAGGTCGTGGATGCGCGCTGCTGAGGATTCCCACAATAGGACGAAACGGCCGTCCGGTGTTTCCAGGTTTTCCATGGTGCTCTAGCTTCAACTGACTCATGATCTTAAGCATTGAAATTACTACAATCTCCACAAAAAACCCATCTGATAAAAAAAGAAACAACAAAAGATAGATACGAATGTTAAGAAATCATAAAACCAACTGGAGAGAAAAATCCAAGCAATCTAGAGCTAAATGAAACGTAAAGAACAATAGGATCTTGGAAATATGTAACAGGACAAGGAATCAGTGGGTTGATGTCGCTTCAACTGATTTTTAATCCTATCAGTTAGTTTCGAAGCACTGTTTAAATGTATATCACAAATGTTAATCAGAAAACGCAAAACCACCGATATGGCTGAATTAATAGCTGGTAATTGTATACACTCGTACCACATTGATTTATAGTCAGATAACTGCATCAATTCTGTGTAATTTATCCACATTTAGTTTATTTTCAGTGGTATTGTTTTACGCCCGTAAGGTATGATAGCTAAATGCTCCACATCATGTTTATTATTTGATAAACAAACAAACATATTTTCTGCACTATGAGATATGAATTGAAAAACATTAAATGATACTTTTGAGTCACTTGTGAGATTTCCAGGACCACGCAACAAGAAAGACTGATTTATCTCTTACGATAGATAAAACAACGAAACGATTAACTACTTCCAACACTATTCCTAAAATACACACTGACGAAAATGGGCTGAGGGGCAATGCTTGGTATTACGGAGGTAAGAAAGAGAACTCGTGTGTGATTTATTGTAACCAAAATGCGAAAATGTAGTCGTTTATCTAGCCCGGATAAAACTCTTAAAACGTTATGGATGAAATGTAATAAAAAACTAACAATTCTTCCGGATCAGAATAAAGAGAATTTACAAATGGTGACATAGAATCTGAAGACAAATAAGCGAATAAAATATCTCAGAAAAGTGAATATAAGTTGTATAATTTACCTAAACTTCAGTCTACAGAAAAGCTGACTTTCCGACAATACCAAATCTCTTCAGAACCTTGAAAATAGAAATACTCAGATATTCTTTTCAACATAAAATCTATAGCACAATATGTATATTATTTGAAACGTTGAACATTAATCAATCGTTTAAGTCAGTGATATTGCATTGTGTACAATAAAACGATGTAACTGTATTATACCAGATAATATAGAATTGGTGAATTTATAACTATATATATATATTATATATATATATATATATATATATATATATATATATATATATATATATAATACATACCTGTAAAATCCCAGCCAACTGATGAGTAAGAAGGGCATTTAAATGATCTATACCGATCTGACAATTCGGATCACTAGCCAAAAGACGATTTGAACAAATAGCATGTAACGTATCATTATGATGCATTATGAAACCATCGAGACTATTGGCTGTAGATGGAGACAACAAATGTCCAAGTGTAAGTATAGCATTATAAGCTTGAACAGATACCTCACCACGTGTAAATGGCCATATTAACTGTGTGAGCACACATGCTTTAGGTATAATGTCAGATAAATGTCTAAAATATGAGATGTGTTTATTTGATGAATGAAGTCATGAGTAAAAAGGAACAGCACACAGTTTTTGATATACAAGTAGTTGTTATACTTTAATATGGGATATTAAAATAATGTTTTAAAAGCAAATAAAACTTTGTCCCTCGATTACATGGAGAACAAAAGTTTTTAAAATTGAATTACTTGTAAACACTAAATTAATGCTTAAATTTACTATAATCAGATATGCAAATAAATTTATCTTCATTATATTACATATTTGTTTGCAAGCAGCTGATGAGAAACCATGAAATTTATCTTCGTTCAAGGTGTTGGAATTCACATGAGTAGAGGAGTAAGGAAAATTAATGTGAGCAATGTGTAAAATAAAAAATCAATTGATCATACCGGAAAAGATTAAATAAATGAAACGAATAGTACAAATCAGTACTTTTACTTCAAATTGAGTCTTTTGGATAAGAAAAATTAACTGGAACATTTCAGATATTAGTATGCTTGTTCTCCTTGACCGCTTTTAAAAGATGGGAATAAGGTATCAAGTGTATTTTGAATGAAAATTACTACACTAACGATACCTGTTATACTCTGAAAATAAAGTATGATATCACCTATATTTTAAATAGCTTGTGCCTAAACAATACCTTTGAGAATCATTCAGGGCAATAATAGAAAGAAATATGTCAAACACTTATTCAGTCTGTTTACAGGTGTCCTAATAATGCACTTAATTCCAACAGTGGATTAGCATACTTCTTCATGTGATGTCCTTTCGGAATCCTGAATAATCATTTCCATACCCGTCATGTTTAAAACATTAAAAATTTCAGTGTCAATTTAACGGACATACATATTTTGTGTATTGATAATGTCTCAACCAACAAGAGCCTTACAACCTCAAAATCTTATAATAAACACTTTCTTTACGAAGTGAAAACTACTCATGAAACTATTTAACATATTTAAAACTGTTAAAGTTGTGAGGTATACAAGACAAAAATGGAAACTGAACAACAAATATGTAAACATAATTGAAGTATATCCCAATCATTAGTAAACAAGACAAAAAACTAGTATATTCAATACGGACATTTGGCAAATGATTATCAATTTTTCACCCTATCGATAAACTTCTCCAACATGCTACGAAATACAATAGAGAATGCATGGTATATGTAAATCCAGCTAGTGATCAGTGTGAACAGCTTTGCCTTTCAGAAACTTATCAAGTGTTATTAGCAAACATGAGTAGTGGTTAGCAGTGGAATTCAGGACGCGCGTTTCGTCCTATTCGGGGTTCATCGGCTGGATGTACCTGCATCTTAAAGTCGGTGTTCACTTTAAAACTCGAACCCAGTACCATTCGTCTCAAACGCCATCGCGTTATCCACTTAGTTACTGAGTAATGATAGCCACTATCCATTCTTGCAAATGATGCTTGTAACTTAAGGCAATATCGAGGCAATACGCACAGTATGCACATATGTAGTGGTGCTGATGTCCTCACTAATTATCTTTATTTTATTCCTCGATGTTTTGTTGTCCATCCTAATCAGTTTAGTAAGGAAAATCTCAAGACTTTTTGCAATAACACATACAAATTATTACACACAGTTATAAGATTAAATATTAATTGCAAATTTATTAACATAACGAAGAGAGCTGCGACAGTAGCAGTGGTATTAGTAAATCTGTATGACGATAACCGGTAATCCATATAACCGAACAGGAATCCAATACTATCAGTTAGAAGCACATAAATTTATATTTTAACAATGACAAAAAAGGTGTTCTAGCACCCTTGTAAATATATCAGTCGGTACTAAGCTAAATAGCTTAGTCTCCAGCAATTTATAGTTAGCCTTGCAGATAACAGAGAATACTGCAAGATAAAAGACTGACAACTGAAAATATTTTCAATCCAACAGGTATAATTAAACAATGAACATAACCACATTATTAAGGACTGTTTAAATTCATATCGTTTCTGTTAACTAATGAGTTTAACTAACCAAAGGACATCACTGTTGTTAGTAAACAGATACACAGCATAGACTGTTTACAAGCTTTGAAAACTTAAAATATCAAAAAAAATCAACAGTTTATGTCTCGAAATAAATATTTATTCAGACCGATATATATATATATATATATATATATATATATATATATATATATATATATATATATATATATGCAACAAGACTAACATTTAAGCTTACGTGAGTATTTTTGTACCCACACCGGAACCTGTCCCACCAGCTAAACTCATTGTTACCAAGATTCCATCTAGTGAATCACAATTTTCTAGTTGATTCTGAATTAAACACTGTATCTGATCTTCAAATTCACTTCCATGAACGAAATAACCGTACGCCCAATTATTGCCTAGAAATCACAACCGGAAGATTAATGGGATACATTTCATCACAACTGAATTTCATTAACGTTCATCAATAGTAAGTTTTAAAAATAAAAGTGGTGAGAGTTCGTGTGTGCTTTTCTGTACGACAATGAGGGACACCAATCTAATGACAACTTAATCATCTAAGCTTTTTGTTAAATATGACTATGTTACCTCAACATTGCAAAGTTGTCAGTGAGATTTTAAATAGGAGACCAATCTCTGAAGTGTTAGTCGATGTTCATATGAAGAAACTTAAATGAAACAGGAAGAATGAGCAACACTGACTCACATTGATTAATATAGATTACTCTGATAACAGCTCATCATAAGCCCTAATTCAACTAGTAGTATTTTAGTGAAAGAAATTTAGTAAGTTTGTACACTTCTTCTGTATGCTTTTGAATAAAGTAAACTGATATAGAACCTCCTGATCAACAAAGTTAAATCAACTCTTCAAGTTAGAAAGTACGACAAGAGTTGTGTCCCATAAATTTATGGCTGTACGTAAAACTTCTTTAGTTTCTTCACGTTTGTTGTTAACAGCCTCTAGTTAAGAATTGATTGATTACAGAAGCAGTGGGCAATTAACAACTAGATGTATCCCAGTTAAAATGTTTCTAAAGGAGTACTGAATAATCTCATTTTATATCAATATTTCGTTTTCTTTAAATGCGTTTGTCAATAGACGACCTTTAAACCCCATTTTCGACAAATCTAAACAGATGCCTAGTGCTTTCAGTGTTGTCTTTCTCATCTTCGTTGCTTTCGTCAGCCCCAAGTGGTCACCATCACATTATAAAATTTATGCCAACGTACATATAATAACCCTTGCTTTATCATTTTGTTCAGAGTTCGTAGAAATAAATTTATAAGCATTCAATAATTTGGTGCACATTTTCAAGCTCAGTGAAACTTTTAAACTTCTTGGATTCCTACAGATGCTATAATTTTTATGTAAATAAATCATATTTCCATATGTGATTTAACTAACTAAAGAGCGTGTTCTGAACTTAAAAAACCACATATATTAACACACCATATTTGATGTAGCTAAGTCAATTTGGGGAAACTTTAAATAAAACATCAAAATATGAACTTTTTTATAATTATTAAACTTTGATCCCAGCAATGCAAAGGAATACAAGCTAGACGATTAGGATCGTCAACGAAGGACTCAGCAGTTAAAAGCTGTTATTATTATAAGTCAGATTCTGGCCATTTAGAAAACTTTGACAATTCAGTTACCTTTCCATTTTTTACTTACTAGTTTCGTTGTTTGTGATTACCAGGGCATTTATGTAACATAATTACTCAGTATAATGAGTAAAAAGGTTTCAATGCTTATGTTCACCATCGAGTGACTATTAGTCCATGATTACTCAACCACTTAACTGCTTTTTGAAGCAATAGTTCGACAGATAGCCAACCATTAAGTTGCCAAAAAGCATAACAAATTTATGTAATAGAATATCACTGGAAATAAGAATATGCACTGTTATCATGTAGTTACATCATTTAGACTAAAAAGGGTCCTAATATTAACGTACCTGAGCCACATTTGGATGTAAAAAAGCTATTAGGAGAATAACTCCACTTCTCCCGACAGGTACTTTTAGTGACACTGGCAATAACCTTTTCTTCCATATCTATCTGAACACACCTGGCTGTCAAACATCCTTCTGAAGCAAAGTCAAATTCTAAACGGAATGTTTACTTGCAGATTCGTAGAAAAATGTATTTAATGAGTCTCTAATATATTCTGTGTCAGTTTTTGATAGAAGTGGCCTTTTCTTGGCACAACAGTCATCATATACAGTACTGAAATATTTTGCTCCAATTTGATTACCACATTGACCGATTTGAAGGGAAACTATAGACATTTGAACTGGAAGTCAAAAGCATAGATCACAGTAATAACGTTTAAAAATGACAAAATACTTCTGAGTATAAGTTAAAGTTATTTGTCAGTACGACAAGTTATTAGTTTCTAAGGCATAACGAAATATTTTAGAGTAAAGTCAGGTCCTTTTGCTTCATGTATCCTAAATATTTAGCACATGCATTAAATCCTCAAGCAAATATTTTCTTCCTCTTGAAATAGGCAAAATATTATCCTAGATACTCTTTATAATCATGTAACCGCAAATTGTAATTAGTATGGCAGATAAAACAGCCAAGTTATTGATAACAATTTTGATACCAATACTTTAAGGTGGTATAAAAGGTTTGGAAATTAGTACAGAATTGAATGGCCGAATTAGAAAACAAAACGTCTTTTTAAATGGTAAAAATGATTGGAGTAACTACAATAATAGCTGTCAAATAAACATAAAACATCTACTAAATGAGCAAGTTATTATTTTTACTAGGTAAAAAGATTTTCAACAGAGCAAAGAATGCTTGTAAAGTTTAATGATCAACAAAAAAGAATGCTGAGGTGAAGAGAAACAATAGGATACCATGATAGTGTTGACTGAGCAGAGAAATTAGATAGATTAAAACGAGATGAAGAGTCACCACGTTTTTCGTGTTAAGTGGTAATTCGCTTTTGTTCTATTTAATGTTTACTCAAAATGCTATAACTGGACTGATATGACCTGAACTCATGATGTATTTGCCTACGATAATGCTAATCACTCTGAGAAGGTTTGCAGATTCTTCGAGACTTACTTAAAGATTCGATTAGGAATCCACTACTTTCTGAATGTATGTATTGCCATAAATAAATAAATGGATGCAATTGAATGTAACAAGCGGTCTTGTTTAAATCAGACACTAGGTAGCCTTGGCTATGCTTACGGGATTATCATTCGTAACTTGTAATAAAGTAAACATTTAAATTTTCGGTCAGCTGGGCAGAAATATCTGAGAAGCTCATTAGCACTGAACTTATCATTACACGATAAGAGCATCATCAAGGTTTGACTTCGTAATTTTGAATACATTAAGCATTGGGTAGATTGCTATAAATAAAAAATAATATGTTCATAATATCCCAACGAGTAGAGAAGTTGATTATACTGAGTGACGAAACGTCTAAGGATTTAGTTTTTCTACTCGTTGGGATAGTACTAAAATATTATTTTTATTTATTACCAAAATATCCCACATCTATCTTGTTCCATTCCGATGCTATTTGGATTTTGATGTTTCATAGTTGTACAGGCAAAATATTCGCAAATATTAGACATAAATGTGTGTACAGCTTCAAAGAAAACAAGTCGCTCTAGTTTTGCAGACTGTCACATACTAGCTCCATTGAAAATTGTTGGAATTCACTCTGAACCATAAGATTTTAGTGTCAGTGAGTCACACACTTATTCTATATAGAATAGGACTATATAACCTGCTATAGCAGTGTCAACTCGTTTATTATAGGCATATCACAAATTAATTTTAGCATTAGAACTCCCAAAATTATGTACTGATAAAGGGTTGTCCAAAATGTAGAAAAAATCGGTGTTCTTCAAATACAAGATGATGGCAAATATAATAACCCAGAAAGTTAACTAAACCACTGAGAAAGAGGTTATACGCGGATGCTTTAGAACTCAGTTAAATATTTACAGATAAAGATTAAAAAACCAGTCGATAACTCTTGTACGCAACTGTTATTCCGTGATCCATTTGAAACATCATGAATAAGATGATTTAAGGCCTAAATCTAAGTTTTTCCGGATAAAGAAAAGTAAAATTGTTTTAATGGTTATTATTTAGGAAGTCACATAAGAGATATATCTCTGATTAGTCGCTTAAGAGACCTAATTAGGTTAAGGCTTTAGTAGTAATTTTACTACAAAGAAAGATACCTTTTATTCAGAAATTAAAATAAACGTCATGATTTCTGAACATTCTGGGAAATACTGACGAAGCAAATCATAACAAAAAGATCATTTTTATCGCATTTGCGAAAATGTCTTTTCTCCGACTTGATCACAATCTAAAAATTACTTGGAAGTGTCAAATCTTAGACTCCATCAATAATTTTCGAATTTTAAGTGAGAAACGCTCACAGATTAAGACTTATCTCTAAACGAAACGACTTTTCCATAGGTATATTGTTGGTACTCATCGTTGAATCTGAACTCGTTCTATAGTTTTTGGGCACGATAACAACTCACAAGCGAACAAATAACAACACTGAGCAAATTTCGGACGTTTATCAGTTGACCAAAGCCTCCACTAACACAATCAAACGAACAGACTCGTAAATCTGTTCAAACTTGTATCGTCGCACAACCTTGTACACAGGACAAAACCAAGCAATAAATATGAACAAACAGTTTAGTCCACACACGAAACCTTGATAGTAAGGTCAGGAGGTCAATCAACCAATATTATTCTTTGAAACTTGCAATAAAGTAAAAGTTCAGTCTCGCTTTGAGTATAATAACAGAAGGTTCTGATAATTCACTTCCTAGTGGAAAATTCCAGTGGTTTCGTGCTCGATGCAGGAAACGAATCTGCAGAAGTAAACAATTTGATCTCTGTTTTTGAAATTTCTTAGGATTTCTACTCAGATGATCAGTCCTATATGGAAAAACAAAATCAGATGTAATAATGCCAAAATAATCGCTCAGTATTTGGTTACCTAGTGTTAGATCACCCTGTAACCTGACTTAGGATAGTAGGAATAGGTTGAGATGTCTCAGTATATCTTCATGAGGCAGGCAAGTGAGATATTTCACTACTTTGGTTTCTCAACTTTAAACTCTTTCTACCATATCTGTCTCATATTTGAAACAAGGACTAGGTGTTTGAATCCATTATTTCAAACGCGGCCCCGGACGTTTCTTCATCCAAGTGACAAAATGACTTTCAAATGGTCTACAAGAATCTAAGGCCCTAGGAAAAAAACCGTCCAAGAGTTACCGGTAGTTATAGGGTTTTTGCTCATTATGACTGCTAGATCATTAAAATCCATTGCTTTAGTTAATACGACTTCATTTAATGTTTTGCTATATAAATTATTGCAGTAATCTATTTGCATTACTATGCTCTTACCAGATATAAACCGTAATGATCACGTATACATCCACATGACCGGTGAATTGAAGTCACTCTACGACAGTACCCTATCGGACACAAGGTGTATAAGTCTCCAAAGATCGATTTCATCGCCAAAGAGTAGGACAAATGAATTTACTACAGTTCATAAATAATTTACACAGATTGAAGGAAGAGGATAAGTGATTGAATACTGGTGAAATCAACTCTCACAGATTCTCATGTTAACAAGGTATCGTTTATCCACAACTATTATCTCACATCACTGCGAAAGTCACGTATCTAATTTCAAAATTAATTATAGAACTTTCCAGTTTTAATCTATGCCCCGGGTGAGAGACTTTGCCAGTGCTTTACTTTGATCTATTCAAATAACATCTACCGGGATATGAATATCTTTCAAAACTGCTCAATTTTGTCCTACAATAAGGTTCATGAGGCACGAAATATTTTTCATAAAACCATGTTGTTCCCTGACTGAAATATTATTCCGTTCCATATAGCTTAGAACAGCCACCTGAACGGCCTTCTCTAATATTTTGGCGACTACTGTGGTCAGACTAACGGGATGATGGTTACCAATTAAGTCTCTACACCTAGTATTATAAACTAGATTTATAATTCACAAAGTGACGGATATTTGTATAATTAGCTACGAATATGAAAAGCTTACCCCTATCTGATTCTATTACGTTTATGTAGTTGTCACTCGATAAGTTTGGAGTGACGTTTGAGTCATAGGTTGACCATGTTTCTGTCACAGCTATGGTGAGTGGCTTCAATTCGTCCACACATACTCCTAGTTGATAAAGATTTTTACTAGACTACGTTCATTTGTGCATAAAAATCCTTTACGGAATAAACTGTTCATGAGGATATTGGTGGTATTCCTTCTCAAGACCTGACTCCTCGACAATTCACCCAACGAAGGCTTCCTTCACGAATGTTTCGTTCCTTGAATCCGTGCATTAGTTGACAAAAGATTTCAATGCTCATTGGATCCCCTGCAGCAGTTTATCCAGTCAGAGCTCAACATTTTCTTGACTTCTCTTCCCCATTCTTACTTATATTTTGATCTGAACTCCCACAGAGTTATCTCAGAAAATACTACGAATAAACGTCCCGACCCCTTTCAAATTTAGCGAGCATCGATTTATTGTATAATGGTCGTTTAGTACTAGTAAATTAATCGTTGTATTATCTGTCGAATCAAAACATGTTTTATTTTGAATTTTTGTGGAATATTCTGTGACTCAGTATGGAAGCCTAAGCTATGTTTGTTTGTTGTAGCGAGTTCTCTTTTTCTTCTTCACTTTTGCAATGCTGTTCATTTTCACTTACTCAGGTTTGTAATAAACGGTTATGGCTCTATTCAAGTCTTCGGCCACAAATTTGAAGTCATGACCACCAATATGCATTGATATTTCACTGTTTGTTTATTTCAAAAGAAAGTGTTACTTTTTCGTGTTTATCCGTAGGGTACTTGAGTCTTCAAGTAACAGCGATTAATAAACCGACACACTCTTTCCTGTTAGTGCGCAGGTCACCAGTGTAGCTGTATTTAAATTTCCTACTGGTCAAAGTCACAGGGTAATTGCCGCAAGTTCTAAGCATTTAACTGCAGAAGAAGTCCACAAAAACACATAATTCACAAACTAGAGTAAAAATAATTCTTTAAGAAGTTTCGAAAAATGAATCTGCATAAAATCTCAAACCTCCACTGAAATAATCTAGTTTTTACAAACGTGGTAAGCCTCTGATGTAATAAGCATAATAAGTAACCTTATTTTACGACAAGTGTGTATATCACTGTCCATTTTTACGACGCGAGCTGATAAAGGACGAGACGTCTCACAGAACTGACAGCTGATTATTCCTTTAGCCACAATCACACGTGATAGAATGTTATTTTTACAGGAACAGTTTATTTGGTCCGTCAACCTGTTTAAAGAACATAGTATGGAGCAGTTAGCTAATGTGGAGTAACTGACAATCATAGTGTGTATGTGCATCTTACGAACTCATATCTTCCACAGAAATAAGAGAAACTTACTGTTTGTTCCATGATAATGAATCTTGGGATAAGTGACATTCGACTGAAATCATTTTATCTACTAGACAGGGTCGTGCGCTAATAATGTGATATGCACCGTTTTGGTTGTCTCTATAGGTCACAATTCATACTCCGTTTGACGCTTTGTTTTTTTTATTTATGGCTTTAGTGCAGTTTTTGGTGTATTGTCGACCACACTGCTGATTGAAGTTATTCTTACTATTATTTTATCAATACTCTTAATTCCCGACATAATAATGATCTGTGTTCTGGCTTAAACAATATTACTTTATTCCAATTGACTTGTAGGTCACAAACGTAGATGATCTATGTCGAAATGATTGAAGGCCTACTCGAGTTAGACGTGAGTGGTGTGACAAACTAGCTAACGTCGAAGTTACACCTCGTGGTCAACACCTTACGTGAACTACCCCCATTGACGTTTCAAGATATTATAGATGCTCTGAAAACTGTACACCACAGAGGACGTTATTACAGAAATATATTAGTTAAAGGAGTTACAAGCGAAAGTAAGACTTCTGTCGCATGGGCCAGTCCATGGCATACGATTATCTGATGCGCATTGGTTGTCCATGACCTTGACGGGGATTGATGATTTGCTCGATATTCAATGGCCTAACTGCCGGATGATTTGGCTATGGCTTAGGGACATTTCGCTGGCCCTACAAACTCACACACTAGATGTGTCTCCGTTTTGATAGCACTGTTTGGCACTCAATTACTTCGTTGTGATTCAAAGGCTGTGCTTCTTTATGTTACTGTTACTTTAGATAAGGACACCTCACTTCAAATTTGTCGTGTTTTTTCGGTCTCTGTACTTCACCCAGTGATTCATGATACTAAAAATCGTTCAGTGCCTAAGATTCTTGACTATAGTCGAAACATTGATGTTAATTATACTGTTATTATAACAGTCTCAATTCACTGGGATTAACTGGAATAGTGCAGTTGGTCAGTTTACTGCACGTCTCATGTAGTTAGCTACAATTTAAAACATCTCTGTGAGTTCCGTCTGAACAGAAGCATCAAGTGGAATAATTGGGAGTTGGACGCCAGGTAAGAAGGGATTGAACTGTGGAGAAACACGTCTCGCAACCAATTCATTAATTACCATCTGAGATAATTTAAGCCAGTTATCCGAATCATATTTCAAAATTGATGGTTCAAATAGTTCAAAATGGTTCAAATGGTTGTGGACGGAATAGAAGAAGCTTTCGCTTAACAGGCTTCCGTGTCTAGTAGCAGGGGATCACCAAAACCTCCAGGCAGGAACATAGGTATGTTAACAATAAAAGAGGAAAAGAAATTGGTAAATCATAGTGTGATGCTGTCCTTGGTCCTTAAGAATAGGTCAAGTTGCCTATTGAAGGACTCCTGGGAAGTCGCTTGGACTAGCTCGGCTGGCAGCGAATTCCAGCTTTTGACAACTCTTAAGGAGTGGAAGTTTTTGTCTACATTCCGTCTTGGTATATTGTGTTTCCAGTTTCTGGGTGTTACCCCTTAGGTTATTATTCGAACGTTACCAGTGCAAGGTTTGCTCGGAAGGCATTTTTGTCACAGTTAGCGTAAGACTTTAAATCATGGGGCACCAGGACTCCTAAATCTTTTTCGACTTGGGATACTACTAGAGAGGAGTTTCCTAAGTTGTAACTGTAGTTTGCAACATGTCGCAGATGGACTACTTTACACTTTGAAGTGTTTAAGGTGAGTCCGTTATCGTCTGCCCAACTTTGAAGTCGAGTCAGATCCTCCTGAAGTGCCTGTATATGGTCTTGGTTGCGTATCTCTCTCCAAAGTTTCACATCGTCGGCAAAAAGTAATAAGTCTGACGTTACCTGTTGAGGAAGATCATTTATGTAGATCAAGAAGAGAAGAGGCCCTAGTACTGAGCCCTGGGGGACCCCACTAGGGCATTCCATAGCCTGGGATAAAGTGAAATTAACCTTAACCTTAAAGTGTCGATTTTACAGGTATGAAGTGAGCCAATCGATTAGAGGTGGTTTGATACCTAGTCGTTTGAGCTTATTGATAATATTCAAGTGGTTAACCTTATCAAAAGCTTTTGAGAAATCAAGGTAAATGATATCAACCTTTCCCTTGCGATCGAGGATGCTTGTCCATCTGTCCACCGCAGTCAGCAGGTTTTTTATACCAGAGTAACCCTTCCTGAAACCATGCTGTTGGGGTGAGAAGAAATTTAAGGACAGTAGATAGTCGTTTAAACCGTCGCATATCAGGGACTCCATGAGTTTTGAAGGTAATGACAGAAGAGCCACAGGCCGATAACTTGAGGGTTCATTGCGTCGACCTCCTTTGAAAATTGGTGTGATGTGAGCCAACTTCCAATTTTCCGGTAATTTGCCTCGGCTTAGCGAGTGTGAAAACATCACGCTAAGTGGCGTCGTCAGGATTGAGGCTGCCTCCCTCAGTATGGCAGGATGAACCATATCCAGGCCAGGAGAAGTATCTAGTCTTAAGTGCTGCAATTTCCGGAACACCAAGTCAGCGCTTAGGTCCACTTTGGAAAGTCCTGTGGAATTGCAGATGAAACTGTCTTCAGTAAAGTTGAAGCCAGCCGGCTGAAATGTTTGAGAGTAATGTGCCGCCAGAAGGTTAGCGGCGTCGCCATCGTTTCACCAATAAATCTATAAGGCTTTACTGAGATGAATTTTCACGCTTTCCCTCCGACGCAGAGATACCAATGACCCGTAGTTATTAAATAAAGAGGCTTACTGAACGAAAAGATCTCCTATTCCGTCCTTAGATACATGCGCTTACTTGAAACAATTTAATTATACTCGAGTTGGTTAGTAGGAAAGAAATGTATGTGATCTATGCCGGTGGTTGTGATCTATCCGGGTTGACCAGGAATTATGTGGCCTCCTAGCATACACCGAAGCCAAAACTCGCGGCGAATAATTAATCATTGTGACCAGGTAAATCAGCTACTTTGGTAACTAGTTTAAATGAATAATTTTACTAAAGTAATGCACTATGGTAAGAGAACTAGGGAATAGTTGGTAGTGAATATGTTACGGATGTCAAGGGCTTAATGATGCTGTCATTCGCATCACTTTCGCAACCAAGGATCTCAAAACCAGTCAGGTCAGAGGTCAGTAATGAAGTAGTTCAAAGGTATACTTCGAAGATAGTTGGCATGTTGATGTGTGAGATAAGCTGTGTAGTTGTTGCGATGGATGAGTTGGGCGGCGTACCTATTGATTATCTGGTGCTGATGCGTGGCCATGAGCCTTCGACTTGAATGTCTTCAGTAAAATGAATAAAGTCAGGGCCGATTTCGAAGACCTACAACACTATTAATTGCGGGGATATATTTGCTTTCACAGTTAAGCCAATATTGAATGCAACCCGGACATAAATATTTGACCGGGTACCTATAAAGCATTCGCTATGATATTTATCTACATTAATGTGCAAAACAAAGTTAGAAAGCGATGAGATCGCCCGACGGGTATGGCCTTGAAGGTCGGAAGTGTTTGTAAATACTAGAACACCTGTTTTTGATAGTTTCCAAGGTCAGTCGCATTTCAAACTGTAGAAAAGTTATCATCAACGGATATATGCTTATGGTTATTTCGGCCAACTCAAGTATAAAACTTTTTTCCACATCATATGTCTAGTAATGACTATATGATCCTAGATTTTTCAACCAATTCCAATACGTTTATGTACTACTTTGTTCTCATCATGCAGAAGCGCATTTTATTCGAAGCTAACTCAATGAATCCATTTTTCAGATGTCATATATCCGGCGCTTCGAACATATCCTTGGTTTGCTTACGATTTTGCCTTATGTTTTAGGTCAAATCGAATCTTCTTCACACTCAAGTTGTGAAATTATCTACATCTCAACAGTTGACACATTTGGAATTCATGTACGAAAAAATGTGTTGTACGTAGTCTCAATACGTTTTAATAGTATTTAGCGAGAATCTTGTACCGGTTTTTAATATTTCGCATATTTATATCCAGCGAGCAAGATTTTAAATTTGATCTAAAGTAAATACTGTTTAACACGTTCACATTGAAGCAGGTTTTCTACCAACGAAAGAAGACCACTTATCTTCACTTTTTCTACAAAGATTCAGTCTATAACCATCAAGAAGTTTACTGTGATGGTTCCTTTGTCCACGGTTCTAAGATCAGCGGTTTGTTAACATGATACATTCTAACTTTTTGTCACTGTTCAGTGGTTAAATCTTACGATTGATTTGTTTTCTTTTATACACGACTTAAATGTTCAAAATGGCCTTAAGAAGCTACAAACCATCACGGTCTACCCATTTTGCTATTTGTCCGAGCTTTCAGTCACTTCATCCTCCATCAGTGATGTTTCCATTCTCGATAGTAAGTCTTTATGTGTCGATAGATTGATTAACTTTTTCCATTCTGTATTATAGAGTGGTGTATGGACGTTTCTAACTTTGTCAGGTGATCTTAATCAGTTTCAACTTAGTGTGTGCTTTTATCAACTTAGCCTCGAGATATTTTCGAGTTTTAAGTTTTATACGATAGAATATTAGATGGAAATTAGTATGAATCATTGATTCCCTATAAATTTTCCAAAAGATGCCATATAACTCAAATAAAACTTATATGACACTTCTCAAGGAACATGAAATCTCAGCCTCCATCGAATAGAATAAAACTAAAAACAAAGTGGTCGCTTCCAATAGAATAGTGTTTTATATCTTGGTTTGAGAAATTCCGTACTTCACGTTAATTCAAAATTACACATGAAACTGCGAATTTTGGCCATTAAACAGGGGTTTTAGGTTCTATCTAGTATACTTTTTCAGGACAACTCGGTAGTTTTGTAAGCTTCGACGTTTCAAGTGTAGCTCCAAGATAATATACTGATCTGAGATTACAGAAATAAAGCTTCACAGTTAAAGCACGACAATCATGTACGAACGAAAACAGCTATAGTTCTCATCCATTATAAACATGCTTGTAGTGGAATTGTTACCAAACAATGTTGTATTGAATTGTAAACGAAATTCCAGGGTAATTTCTATAAGTTTCAACAGCACTGACTTTAGTCCCTCGTCTTTACTTTCGGCCATTCATTGTTAGATTTAATGCTTTTATCTCAAATGAAAATATGTTGATGCTCATTTTTACTCATCTGTTCATGAAACGTTTGTGGTCTAAGTGAATAATGAAATAAAAGTCCTGATGTTGCTAACTTTTTATCGAAAGACGTTTAGTGTGTGATGTTACTAACTGTTTAAGTTTTTCTTCTCGATACCCGAACTCCTTTATCTCATAATAAAGTTTCACCAACGATTGTGTATTGCTCTCGATAAACTTGATGTAAATGTACTTCTATTTTTAAAGGTACATATTAATGGTTATTTGTTTTTCGTGGATAAATTGTTTGGGTTTTTAAAGTTAGGATGCAATTTGAAAATTTAAATAATTACTGCATCCAGCTGAAGGACTTATCATAGTACATTTGTTTAGTTTTTCACAAGGTTGTTCAATATATACTCTTTTCATCCGTTTGATGTAATCTTATTTGAAAGATGTAAACTACATAGTTTGTTCTATTTCTTTATTTAGATCTTCAAACTTCAGAAAATAACACGCCAGAAATTTACCAGGTAAACTTGTGGGATACTTTAAACACCCCGTTAATGTTGCTTTATCTATATATAAGTTACACATTTATGATATCAGTCGTTTATTTTGTGTGATTTTTAACAAGCACGGGCATTATCTGCGAAGGCATAGGAAGATCGGGGCCTTAGGAGCCAAAGACTTTGTGCTTAATTCCGTCTGAGATTGGAAGGTGCGCGCTGTTAGCTAGGTCCAGCGATAAATTAGTAACTACCTCTCTTCAACTGTGTTGAAAATAAAAACTATGTTTGACTTACGGCGGTTTGTACAAACGGTTTTTACCATTATTTCTTAGATGAAATGTGATTCAAAGCTCAATACACAAATCTGTGCTTGGTTCTGAAGTTACAACCAGCTACTTTTGATCTAGGAAAAAAAGTTTTCTCAGTGCTCTCTGCACTTGTGACAGTTTAATTTCACACATGACAAAATTGTTGTAAAATTAATCAGACATTAAATGATCATTTCATTAGACACGTATTTGATTTTTCTAGTGTATGGGAGATTCTGATCCTGGTTGAGAAGTTTTAGTGTTAGACTTATTGTTGGTGTTTACTTAAATGATTTGAGAACTTTTTAGGGTGGACTTTGATAAGTATTCTCATTTGTTTTTATAAAATGAAGGACAAGAAATAAAGAGATGTTCATTAGTATAGCTTCCTTCATAAACTATACATGGAAACAATCGGTTCTAGTTGCATTTTACTTCTTGTGACGGCAGAAAAATCGCGTTACAGAACAAATATGTTTCATTCTACAAAATGCCTTTCATTCCTTCATCTAAATAGAGTGGTGTAGTACATTCGATTTAAGGTATATAACCCTAGCATGTTGTACGTACTACTGTGCCTATTCTTGTGAGACATTAAACCGCAGTTTTAATGAAATAATTATTCACCAGAGAAAGTCACCTTACTGGTTTCAACATAGACCTTGTTCACTATAGTAAAAAGCCTGACAATTATCGAATAAACTCACTTAGTACGGCTTTTACATTGAGTATAAATATGCATCTGTAATGTGACGTTCATTTCAGCTTTATTACTGGGTAAAGTAATGCTATATTCTTAATATATCCGATTTTCTACTTAAATACCGTCATTAAACGCCGTTTATTTACTTAGCAAATTAAACAAAACGTGTGCGTTTATTGTTGTTGTCATCAAAATAATACTTGTCTTTCTGATTACAATAAGGTTCTGAACGTTCCGAAAATTCGTTTGAATGAATGGAGAAGAGCTGAACGGATAAATTTACGAGGGAGTGAAAACTCAAAGAATCTTTTAAAGGTTAGACGTTCTCAACATGGATCTTATAAATTGTTAAATGGTATTGTTTGAAGAAGAGTAAGGATTCATTCTACCATGTTAATTTTTTGTCAACTGTTTTGTAAAACTCATCAGATTAAACACCAATTTACTGCAGCATTTAAAATGCTCACGATCACTCAATGCATCGAACTCTTATAGTTTAACAGATCTTCAAAATAATGTTCTCCCTATTTACTTTTTGCTGCCAGGATAAGTGATACGTGATTTGAACCCTAAACCGAATGGTTATTAATCAAATGCTTTAGCCACTAAATGACATCTTCAGTTAATCAAACTTGATCATAATAGTATCGATTCAAACTGCCTAGTTTTATTCTAACTATCAAGAGGAGTATCGTTTTGACCTTGCTCCCTAACCATCAAAATAAGCTTTATAATCCTGATAGAACTACCTACTTAAATAGGTTTAAGTCATAACTGTGATATAGTTTATCTTAAAATTTTTGTAAGCAGTATTTAAACATAGTGCTCTTTTTCTATGTAGGACGTTTTAGTAATAACACTGTCAATGAGATCCCTTTTAAATAAAAATGAAGTTTTTGACAACTTTGTAAAACTATCTTGCTAATTCTAAAAATATCGTTTACTCACATTAACTGTAATATTTCCCGTTAAATTAGAAAGAATAGATTTTAAAAGCTTGATGACGGATAGAAATTTGTGAAAATACATGATTTTCTCGACAACTTTATTCACTATAATTTTATAAGTTAAAATTATCTGTTAATATATAGTATTGATTTGCACCCCGGAACTGACAAATGACTATTTTTTGTGTAAATATTACAGGTATCACAATTAACTACAGGTGGTGACCAATCATGTACGAAATCATCTCATTCCTCATCAGTAGAGGGTGAGAAATGCATTTTAGGAGGACAAAATTCCGAAAGGAAACGAATATCTCTGCAAATTAACAGGGTTTGCATTAATGAACAGAGTTCTACAGGTTTTAATAAAGTACCTACTGGTTCAGATGTTTCTAAAGAGTGAGTATTGTTCGACATCACCTTTCCCGATTTCAGTATATCTTAACTTTTAGAAATTTACTGTTATATCTGCATCTAACCTCTGTTAAAAATTTAAGGTCCTTGTGTAAAATTAATTTATCCAAATTTTTGTTTACATCTTTATGAGATTCTTCAGCAATTGTAAAAACCTTATTTTCAATGTGCAAAAAAAGCTATTCAAATACCAACTTATGTATAGGTAGTTTAGTGACGTTGTATTTTTAACAAGTTCATTTGATCACCTGTACGGTCACCACTTTCCTGTCACATTTAATAATTTGAGAAAACCTAATAAGCTTGGAAGTGAATACCAAAGTACACGAATGTCATAATTTTTCTGTAGGCATATAAACATGACCCAACATATTGTGTCTCGGTTCATGTTTCTACACTTATTTGATAAAGAAACAAAAAGTGATTGAAAAGAACACTAGATAATTGAAGAGGACTGTATTTCATTCGTTTGATGATTTTGAATTAAGGTAGTTTTAGTAGAACTTCCTTGGTCACCTTTCGATCGTTGTGGTAAACGAACCAGAAATACTGAGCACTCAGTGGTAACTCGAAGTTATTGTGGTCATCATGGGGTTCAGTGGTCCAAGGCTAAATTTCATCTAGGGCTATTCGTACTTGTTGATAAACAGGCTCAAAATACAGTATAGTGTAATATTTATTAGAAGACAAGTTCGAATTCATTTGTTCACCTTCATTTTGTTGGTGCCTGCTTATCTTCATTGCATTGTACTCTTTTTGTTTTTATCGGCATGACTTTATCATTCACACGTTTTGGAGCTGGAGAAAAATGAATTTGTAATTCCCTCGTTCTTTCATTCAAGGAGCTTTTATCATGCATGTCGATTGAATACTTGATGGAAACACTCAAAGTAAATACACAACTCAAACTACTTTCATGTGTTATCAGTAGTATGATGTGTGTAAATAAAGATAATTTACTGCCGCTTCTTAAAAACTATCATATTCAAAATATTCCTACGTTTGAGATGATGGAGATTTGTAGCTAAGGTGTATGGTTTAAAGAAAGTTTTTTCTCCGAGCTGTATGGTTTATTCGTGGTTTTGTTTTCTTTCTGAACAACATCATCAGTACAAACTTCAGATAGAAGTAAAGTGTTCAGAATTCTCCACATTTGATTTACAACTTTTCCTGTAGACTTCAATCTTTACTGGTTATTGTTGACCTGTCATTTTCTACAGATCAACAATAACCAGTAAAGATCGAGGTTTACAGGGCAAGTTGTAAATCAAATTTGGAGAAATCTGAACACTTTACTTATATCTGAAGTTTGCACTGATGATGTTGCTCAAAATGACAATCAAACATCCATGACTAAATCATTCAGCTCAGAGAACAAAACTAATTAAATTGCTGCTTTTTAATGACAAAATACTGTTTATACCTATGATACCAAAAGCTTGAATTATGAATACTGAATTTTAATTCTTCAGTCTTTTGTGATATCAATTTATGTAATTGTTAGACGTTTTACTTTTAAAATAAATGTATTTTCTGCTACTCTCATACATAAATCCAGTGAATCATAACTTTACTGAACAGTTTTATGTATCAAATATAAGTTACGTAAAAGTCAAAGGTTAGTGAAAAGTAATAAACTGGGAACTAACATGTAGAAGAAATGTATGGATGATAACTATTCATTTGAAAAAAGATAACCAATAATCACGTTAATGACTATTCATGAAATTAGGATATGAGTCGTGGCCATGGTAAAATATGTGATTGAAAAAGTTACAATTGATGACATAAGTTAAATTTGAATTTCTGAAGTGTTTATTTTGCACAAATATCTGATTCAAAGTTCCTTAAAGTCAGTGCATTTGAATTTATGGATAATTTTGAGTAGTGACTTGCTGGGATAGTTGACTAAACTTAGACTGTTCATACTCTAAGCTGTTGGCTGATTTATATTTAACTTTATAGATCCATAGTGGGTAGTACTCTGAAGTGCGTTTGAAAAGAGAAATTGTTGTTTTACCATTACAGTGTATGCCCCATAATAGCAAGTAAATCTACAAATAAATATTGTGGTGACCGAGAACCGCAGATTATTGTCTACATATTGTCGGATCACAAAAATTCACAGCCCAACTTACCAAAAGATATTGTTTAGAGATCTTTATAATCGTATTTTAAAATTTCTGGTAGAATAGTGGTAATGGACAAACACATTTAGTATTATAGGGGTTTTCACGTTTATGAATTTAGAAGGAAAGTATTTTTCCAAAAGTATTTGCCTGATTTTATTCCATTTGATGTAATTTGTGTCTTCCGTTGATATTCTTCTATCCCTCTGACAGAAACCATATATTAGGTTTCTTTTTCTCCTTAATGAAATTTAACTTTTGAAGTTTCTAGTTGGCTTTCCAAATATCCCACTTGTGATCTAAGTGGTCTGATCTTTTCAGTAAAATATCGCAGAAACAAAATTCTTAGTTCAAATTCAATTCTAATGTAAAGGTAATCGACTGAAATCATCTACAGTACTGCTGTAGGACTGTGGTGTATGGTACTTGTGCTCAAAGATATAAGTAATATGTAGCAGAGATCGGAAATGGAATGTCTGCCAGCAGAAGATTGAAATGAAAAGAACAGAAAGCAAATCGGAGAGCAGTGGAAATAACAAATGAACTAGAGGAATAATGGAGTATGTAAAGGATAACACGAAGATGTACAAATGATGTATTTAATGTTTGTTTTCTATATTCTACTCAGCAACTGTGTGATTTTGCATCAAACAATAAAGTGGTTTACCGTACCTGAGTTCTCGTTTACTACAGTACGACACTAAAATTGCTATTTTTGTCACAGATAATGAAAAGGCAATGAATATATTTTTCTAAAATTAGACGTTCTCGGTTATTGATCGAAGAAATATTTATGTGATATAATTTAGATTTTATCATAATGTTTCCCGTTATTTACTTCAGTTATTTTTTCTTAATCATATGACTACAGTCCAAGAAGTTTTAGCGCCGGTGCCATTTCCAATCGTCTAACTAATACTGCCAAAAATTCTACAAGTTTATTGTATTATCCAGAACAAAATATCAATTCAAATCAACTAAAAGTTATGAATAATATGAAATCAGAAATAGAGCAGTCCTATCAACAGCAATATGATATAGAAAAACAATATCAGTCCATTCGTTTAGGCGGTTTATATTTATTTAATAGTCTACCTCAACCTGCACCAAGCTTTTTCACGCAAACATGTATTAAAGAAATCGAAACTAAAGAGATCGATGAAAAATTAGAGAATAAGGACATTGTAATCTGCTCAAAAAGTCCTTATTTACAACGTATTAGTATAGATCATCATTCGTTAAAAGAATTAACTGATGCAGATTTGAAATTTAAAGTGATTATGGTAAGTCATGCAGTGGTTTATACTTCTATAACTTATACTAACTAACTTCCATTATATATATGTATTCAGAAATAAATCGTTTGGCGGATACGATTGGCCATGATAAGTTAAAATTTGAATATATACCACATACAAATGCCAGTTTAATTTCAATATCTTATTTAGCAGTCAAACTGGTATCAGCAGCCTCTTAGCTGTCATCGTGATTTCCTACCACTTAAACTAGTGACAACTTACTGGTTTAACTTTACGTTTAAACATCAAATTGCACAGCGCTTCATAATCGTCGATAGCTGTCTTCCATAATGACATTCTCGCCTAGTGAGTCGTTTTTCTTTTAATCTTTTTTGTTCACGGCGCATGAATCTTTCAAATTGTCACCATAGTATAGTCAATAGATCAATGACAGTAGTAGATCATTTTTGATACATAAACGTGCTGTTGGTTTTTATGCCTTTTTCTTGATGTTATTTATGAAATAATTTCTCCGTCCTAATATTTATCCTGTAGGACTTTTCATTGACTATCTTTTTGAGTGAAATGGTCAGAGATAATACTTGCATACTCTTTACTTTGATTCTGTGCCAGACAAGTATTATCATTAAGATGTTTCTGCAGTCTCAAAAGGGTTTATGATCCCTTGCAAATTAAAATCTCCATCGACCAGTGAAATATCCAAAGACGTTAACAATGAGCTGTTCGACCTGTGATTCATCACCTGTAGCGTTGAACAGATAATGGCAATCAACTATTCATAGACTGTGTGAGCATTTAGCAATCAATTTAAGAAGTACTATGAAATGTGGGGGTAGATTTTAATAGATTGTATATAAACTAGATGAATTAGGTGTGCTCAATGAATCATCATTTCATTTCCGTAACCTTCTTCTCTAAGAAATTTATCATATAATACGTTGTCTTTATATACTTACCGTTGTATATGTCTGTTTAACTGGGAAATAAATCTTGATTTATTTTTATAATATTCCTATGAACGTACAAACTTGATGACTAAAAGACAACATTCCCAACGACAAAAACGTAATTATGTGCGTAAAATATCAAATCACAACACATTAAAACTAGTAAATTTTGTTACTTATATAATAAGGACATTAATATGTGAAGTTAACTGATGCATTTATTACTTAATTGATTGTATTTTATGAACGGTATCCATCGTTAGTAAGTTAAAACGCAGCTTACAGTTAGTGCTATATAAAAATACCATAATCTAATTGTTTTTTTTAATAAAAATAAAGGAATCTAAACATTTTCCGCTGGAAATAGCTTTCGTGTTTTTAAATTTAATTTCCTCTTTTTCTCACAACGTAAGGCCTTTTTTTCCTAGTTTGCGACATCTTCCTAGCGCCATCCACAACTTCGCAAATGGGAATCGAACCTAGGACCTTCGATTTCATGGTCGAGCACTTAACCTCTAGATGTAAGTCTAGCTTCAATCAATCTGCAATATTGTCCTACCATTTTCTACAATCTCTTACTATCAATGTAAATGCACAGCTTTTATGCACTAAGGAAGAGCCAGATATAAATTTCAATCAGTATACCTATCTGTAGAACATTTAGGAGTGCGTTAAAGTTGTTGATGTAAAATGCATCATAGTTCAGTATCTAAATTGCCAAATTAACTATACACAGTAATAAAGAACAGTGAATACTCCCATCATATTTAACTCTGTAAAATACCCTTAAACTACATATCTATTTCTAAGCATTCTAGACAGAAGATTACTCTATTCTTAAAAAATATTGAATGTTAATAAAAAGAATTATTTCTAAAAATTTCTACTAGTGTACAAGAAATACTAAACAACTTTCATTGGTTACAGTAATTAAGTTCACACTTCAAATAAATTATGGTCATTGGTACAGACGTTAAGTATCAAAATTCCACCGTACTTAACAACAGGGTTGTTCTCACTATGATTCTTGATATTTTTAATAATTACTTCTCAACGAATGTATTAACATATTGGACAGTACAAAATTTTGTTAGATGAACTAACTCAAATGATATACGGTCAAATAATTATCTCAGATTTTAATCCGAAATATAAGCGGCGAACAAATAGTACCTACTGGGCTATTACTTACTCCATCCAATACAAGTATTTCTATTCAAATAATCATAATAATGTAAATTTATAATCACATAAAGTTCATGTATTTAACTTTGAACCACAACGGAAATGTGTTAACTAGTAATGCTTTCTTGGTTGTCTAGTTTCTGACTAGGCACCATGTGTTTCGAACTTGCAACATAATCGTTCACAACCGAGTTCTTTTACCAATAACTCATTATTTCACCAAAAAATATCATTATATTACTACACTATACTTTCGAATAATGATTAGTTGGTAAAAAAATTTGATTTTCACAAACTTATTGAGGTCGTGTCGTTAAATACTATTTTTTCTTAAACCTATTTTTAGGCATCTACTACATATCATTTAAATAATGATACTCCTTTATCAAATGAATATACCATCTTGGGACCAAATGAGAATTTATTAGAAAAAACCGACTCATATAAATCTAATGAAAATGATGAAAATAATAAAATGGTTTGTACACCACCTCCTATCGATTTAGCCGGATATGAACAATCTGATGATTTATCCGCCAGTTTTGAAGAGTCACTTTTAGCTAGTCTTAAACAAGCAGTACTTGGTGAAGCTATAGAACCTGATTTACAGTTTTTATCATCATCAAAACAACAAATGACCAGTAATAATCATAATAACAAGTTAAGAAAAACAATTAAAACACCAATGACAAATGTGAAATATCCACGTTCTGAAATATCAAAACCAATACCAGTACCATCACAAAGTAATAATTCTTTATCACACGTCTTTTGTGTAACAAATGCTATTATTCAGTGTAGGGTTGTGAAGGCTGTTGAGTTTCATTAAGATAATGAACCGATCAGTGTTAGACCGCCATTAAACACCTGGAAGCACTGGACACCAGTTTCATCCTAGTATGGGAGTGAGCACCTACCATCCTGTACCCTGGACTCAGACCCAGGACTTTCAGTCTCGTGAACACTGAACCCCTAAACCACTGAGCCGGGATCTAACGGTGTTGATGCTTAAGTTCAACCAATTCACGACAATGCACGACCGTCCAGTGCTTCCAGGTTCTCAATGGTCGGTTCATGATCTCAATATGTTATTGGTGTTATGTATACTTTATAAATGATTTCTTTTTTCATCAATCTGACAAATAATTTGATATAAATACTTAGATTGGTGTGCTATTAGAAATTAATAGATAGATAATAGATATCACATGAAGGATACTTGAAATGAAGATTTTGAAGTTTATTATTTTTAAAAGAATTTTGCGTCAAGTACTGAAGTTAGATAGCGAAGCATTAATAGCTAAGGAGTCCGCTACAATCATTTCTTCCTAATGTGTGACTCCTCAGCAGCGCACATGCACGAATTAATCTGTAAGTTCTTATTACACTTCTGTTGAAATCGTTTCCCGATCAGTGTGAAGCAATGACTTAGTCATTGAGGCAATCAACTTTCAACTGCTAGATTGTAGATTTAAACTCTGCTTCACTAAATTTGGACACAGTTTGGCATTATCAGGCGTTATCGGGTACTAGGTAAGGATGGCAAATCAGTTGATGAAGTAGTGAGACTTCATCAGTTGAGATGGCTGGGACACGTGTTACGTATGCCCAACTACCGACTGCCCTGATGTGCGATGTTTCATGGTGTAGGAGTAGGTTGGAAGAAAGCTAGAGGCAGTCAGACCAAAACATGGTACAAATCCATGAAGTCACTGACAAGTGGACTGAGCTATGTTGGTAGGTGTAGACTACCTGGTTGGGATCCGCGAGACGAAAGCAACCGATGGTTAGAGACCTTGAATGATATGGCTCAAAATCTTTTGCAATGGTGTAGGTGCATCCATTCCTTGTGTTCTCTCAAATTCTAATCTGAATTCTTCACGTCCTTTTTTCCTCTTTCCAAATTTATTTCACTGGATTATACTCCTTGAATAATATCTTCAAGCCCTAATGTTTCGGATTACTGCTTATACTCTTACCACCTCTCCCGCTACGGGATGTGAATCGACAACTGTATCTCTGTGCTAATGTGGTATGTCAACTCGGACTGATGTACGCATGTACAAAGTTCTACGTTGTTGACTGACTGATTATCAGTTTTTAAACCTGAAGTTTCGAATAAATCTAAGTGAATTAATCTGTATTTGTTTACTAGGTACCATTAACCAATTGACTGAATGATCAGTTGTGAAATATTGTTAAATATTAACCAGGATTTCTGTGTTTTCAGAAGTTTACTCAATTAATCTCAATAATATGGTGAGAAGACGGAGAAATGTAATATAATTGGACGATGGATATCAAACAATCTAGTTATACTGACAATTCGAAAACCAGTAAAGGTTATTTCAACAAAAAGATAAATACGGAACGGTAATTGGAAATATGAAAGATACAAAATAAAAAATTAGTTGTAAATATCTTAGTCTTACAGTAGGTCAGTTGCGGTCAGAATAGCTGACTGGTAACGTTTTAGATTGGGAAGCTGGATGAAACGGGGTTGGATCAGCTGGGCACCACAAGTTCCGTCATGACTACAGCTACGCCTTACTGACAAGTGGCGGATAGCACGATATCCAGGTGCAAGGTTTCCCACCAACTGCCTTTAACCACCCAACATCTCAAAATAGTGTATGTGATGGCAAGTCATTTAGACTAGCAACCACATCACAAATTGGTCGATCGAATTTGAACAGCACTACAGGACTAGACAAACATGACGTTGGTCACTGCTAAAAAATAAATCATTTGTAAAATAGTAAGAAAAGGTCGTCACACCATCCGAAACATTAAAATGAATAAAAAATTTGAAAGTACGAACACTTGTCGGAGGCATTAATATCCTAATATTAAGGATTCTACAAACTTAAGAATGAGATGTTGACAACTCCGACACAATACTTTAAAAGCTGTTATAGGATCAATCAGATATCTGTTTTTCTATCGAGAAGCATGGTCTCCCACTTCCTGCTGTCTTCTATGCAGTACTTCTTACGGTTTAGTGGTCATTCGACAAAAGTTATATTTATGTTATATGTAGGTCTGTAAAACTAGCAATTAAATCAAATAAATTATCAGTAATTTGGTTTTATTTACTTTTTAGGTCCATCATTAAATCCTCTTAAAAAGAACATGTTAAATACAATTGAAAATGAAAAATGTGATATTGTGATTGCACTTCAAAAACAAATATTAAATGTCAGCTTCAGTGACAATGATGATTACAATGCGGGCGATGATACCACTACAACCGATGGTTTAGGATCATTAATTTATTTACGTTATCACTTGGCACGTCATCATCAGCATTACGAACATGAAGATCAACACCTAGTTCATGAAAGCTGTGATGGTCATTTACCAGTGGGTATGAATCACCAGTTATTAACAAAATCAAAGAAAAGCACTTGTCAACAAGATAGTTACACGTGTAGAAATGAAAATGATCCTGCCATACTTACTCCTTCTCGTGCGTCATCGTTGGTTCATCAACGTACACACAGTACAGATGATGTATCACAATTAATTACAGGTTTTGAATTGTCCAGTCATTGGGGTACTGAAACAGCAAAGTGAGTTATTTTATATAACTATCTTACTAAAAGTCTGTTAATTATTGAATGCTACATGATGAGAACTATAGGTAGATAAAGTCGGTAGCGACAGTTGGTATCAATTAGTTTTATTGGCTGTGTAGCTCATACTAACCTAGTATCAAGACTGTGTGTATTATGTAGTAGTTAATACTATTTGATGAACTGAATCAAGGTATGCGAAATAACATTAAAATCAGTTATAACTTGGTTTAAAACTTGAGTAAGTCATCCAGTCATAACAAATGTAGTACTTGGTTTGAATGTGCATCAGTTCAAGTTGCAATACCACATTACTACGAAAAGATGAAAGCAAATAAGACGAAAGGCAAAGGAGTTGAAATAGTTATAGTAGACATGATAATGAGAAGAAAATACATTTAAAGTATGGTTTGAGAAGACGAAATGAAAAGGTATATATAAAAAACTCCTGGAACACAAAATCTAATAAGAAATAAAGAATGAGTTTTTCCACGTTATTGTGATCGATTCTGAGCGGTATCGCTCATTTCCAAACCACCGATCGTAACTATCACGCGTAACCCAACTAGGCACTTTTTGTACTTACTAGCACGTCTTAGTTCATCAGTTAACGAATCCATGGACTGATACTAAGTCTTGGTTAAGCCATTAAGCTTTCCATAAACGCTCTGCATCAAAACTATAATATATGTTTTAAACAATTATAATAATGAATCGAAAGGAACCAAGGTTATTAACTTATTTAGTTAGTCTAATTCTTAAATGATAAATTTCACTCAAAAATATCTGTGAAATGATTGTAAGTATATTCAGGTTCATAACAGGAGTTTTTATAAATGTATTATAAGTTACTTTGCACAAGGGGATGACTAAATTGTTTGGCATCAACAGTCTCAATGAAAAGTATACTTTACTAATTTGATATTGATTTAACTGACTAAAGAAGGACTATATAACTGAGGGAAAGAGTCGTACTACATCATATAATGACCGGAGATAGAAAAATGGATCATTAAATCTTGAATAAGTTCTCTAAACGTGTCATACTCACTAAAAGACCTTAAAGTCTTGTGTTCAAAACTTGGCGAGGTCATGGGTTCACACTACAGAGAAAACCTGAAGTAAGACGAAATAATTATCTATCAGTTCTTGAATTGTATGATACAGAAAATCCATTCGTTTAACGTACAAAAATAAATAAAAACTTATTAATGTTGAGTGAAATTCTCACTTTCTGGTGTTTTTTTTTCAACTTTTCAATGAAAACCTCTCATGGTATATGTTTTTCTAGCTCATCTAATGAAAGTATATCATATTCAGTATGTGAAAGTATTACATCACCTTTGCCTCAATCATATCAACTTGTACAACATACATCTTCTGTTAATCACATAAAATTACAAAATACTGTGTCAGTTAATAAAGAACTGGTCAATAGTAATAATAATAATAGTTCTGACAAACTATTTGATATAAATTCAAATCATGGGCTTATCGAATTAATTTATGATCCAATATTGAAATGTTACTATGATCCTAAATCTGGACGTTTTTATGAATTAATCTGATGAGCTCTAGAATAGAGATAATATGAAGAGAGAAATAGAGAATGCTATTGCATATAGATAATATTTATCATGATAATTGTACTACTGATGTAATATTTTTGTTTTGTTCACCATGTAGCTTTGTGGATATTTTTTTAGTTGCACATTGTTACTTCTAGTACACGAGTATTTTTGTTAAATAAATAAGAAATACTACTTCTAATACAATTACTACTGTTAAAGTCACTATCAGTAATATTTTCTTTATAGTTTCCAGAACATTCTTTTTATACTTATTCCTTCTAAGCATAGACCTTTTTTAACTGTGATTATGAATCAAAAGATGTTGAGGATTTAGTCTTCAGTAAAAATTTAATGTCTGTCTTAATTTATGTATCATAGAAATTATTTGTAAATATGTCCGATTTCATTAATTATTGTAAATATATTGAAATACTGATATTTTCAAATATCAGCATTGTACTTATAAAATCTGTAAAGAAGAAATATAATGTACGATTTGTAACTGATTAAAAGGTTGTTTTTCTACGTGACAGATGAAACGATTATTGTAAACTTATAATTATTGAAAGGCTATTTCATCTTATTCACTCTCCATGGCGTATACAGATGTAGAAGCGAGTGGAGAAAGCTTGGGGTTCTATTATAGTCAAAGTAGTCCGAGAAATACTTACTGCTTATTTCGGTGAATTACTCAAATGTTACTACTGGCTAGTTGTTTTTTTTGTTGTATGAGCTTCATTCTGAGCCTTGTGTAACTACTTGATATTTAGTAATTTAAATGTAATCACAATATTGTGTACACTGATCATAATAATAATTCCAATTTCCTTCAATATCTTCTTAAAGTTAGTCAGCTGATTAATTGTTCTGTCTACTAAAAACTATTGGATTTGGTGTTCGATGTCACGAGGTAGTTACTGATCTGGTCACTTCTATACGTTGTTCCGAATTGAAAGGAAACTATTTTCGCGTGAACGGTCGAAAAAACTATACATGTATTAGGATAGGAAAAAAGTATTTAATGTTGCATAAAGCCTTATTAAATATTATCGAGGATGAAGATGTTTAAAATGTGTATTACGGTGTTCTAACTGTCTCAAGGATATTTAGCTGTTGACACACATATCAAAAACTTATTCTAAATTTCACGAATAACATACTTTATTCAATCAGATAATACTGTTGTGTAATATCTTACAGCTTTAATTGGTCTTGTCATAGCCAGTATATAGAGTGAAGAATCTCCACACGATATTCTGAACATAAACCAATCCCTAAGGACTTGCCACATCTTTACAAATATAATCACTGAACACCTAATGAATAGCAAATATGAACGCCACTTTTATTTTGCTTTGCAAAAGGCATTAAAATCAAACGTTTTCAATTAGATAAATAAGGAACATTGTTAGCCATTTTTGCTTATCCAGTAATATTCAGTCATTAAGTTTATTTTAATTCCATCATCTTACAGAGTAGTCACTTTTGTTTGTGTAAATGTGGTTTTCCTTTGCCTACTTTATATCTCTAGTTTACCATACATAGTATGAATAAACAAAAATACTACTACTGTGCCTACAATCAGATTTTTCGGCTTCTCACTCATTCTTTAATTGCTTCTTGCCTCTTTTTCGAAGGATGGGAAAAATGTCATCAGTCGCTACCTAGTGATTAACCAGTTGCCTCTTTTTTGAATATCCATCTAAACTTTAAAAACTAAATTATGTCAGAGGTTTGTTTTCAACTATATAATTATTTTTTATTTTAGATATAACGAAGTTGTATAATTTGGTCAATAATTAAAATGCATGCAATGGCTAGTCATTTAGATTAATTGTCACATTCTGACTTGGTCGATTTAATGCAATCCTGACTAAAGGACTACAAATAAATGACACCGGCCACTATCCTTTGATCAATCAGTTGTATCTAGTTATATTGTTTGAAACATTTAGGCATTACACAGATGAACTTAGTTGTAATGTTAAACCACAATCATGGCAAAAGCGTTTAATAAATCTTGATTGAAGATAGTATTGTTATGAGTTAATACATAATCTAAGTTTCATTTGCTGATCAAAATTTATTTTGTTTTAAACACATAGATATTGGTACAAGGAGGCACCAAATACATATGCGCCACACAAATCTCATTTGATATGTGTGAGGGCTGTGATACTGCTCGGGTGCCCAAACCGAAGTAGGTGGTTTTCTTGGCGGGCCACACACTGAGCCTTCGACCTGAATGTCTGATCCACAGGGCAGTGAAGCAACGTAAGGAGATGCAGTCACATGGTAGCCGGTGACCAACGATTGGTTCATACACCATTTGTTTTTTCAGGATACTGGAGCCCGTATGCACCACTGGTTTGGAATCAGGGTTTCCCAACTTCCCCAGGTGGACTCTCCATGTCCACCAACCCGGTTAAAGCGCCGTACATTCGCTTTTCGTCCTTTCAATTTCGTAAACAACACCCCCGCCACAAGAAGGCAGTGAGTAAGACTTCCCTGGCATAGGCTATATACGTGTGGCCATGTGAGAGCATTTCGAGAGGGAGGGCGGACTCTTCCCACTCTCGGCCGTACCAGGGCATTCGGGGGCTGCTGATCACAAATGAATAACTAAACACCACTGCATCTATTACACCAGTGCTAATTAAAATATATCAACTCCATTCACAATATACCTCAGAGATTGCAGTAGTTTAACTCTTGATGAAAAAAGATCCGTTAACATGTAAAACAATCGTTCTTTATGATAGCTTACGATTACAAAGCGTAGATTTGAAACTTTATGGCAATAATCTCCAACTATTTAATAAACTGAAACGTCATTGATAAAATGATGCTATGCCGAAGACCATAAGAGAAATTATTAGCCGTTCGGAATACAAAGGCTACGAAACAGTAATTCCTTACAGAACCCTCCCCCAAGAAAGGGAATACACAAACTTTCTACATGACTTATATCTAAGGTCCGCAATTCGTCTATTAGTATTAAAATCCGCATAGATGCGACAAATAAACTACTTCATGTGATTTCAGTTCATTTTACTTTTAGAACCCTTTCTGTAAGGTTGGAGATAGTTCTTTGCAAATACAATACACATCTAACTACACAGTACTGTACTACCATTTTTTTAACATTTTAAATTTACGTGAAGCATATACTGTCCATCAAATCATGTTTGATATGTATTAGTTAATTAGTAGAAAAAAGAAAAAAAAGGAAAAAAACTAGTATTATTGATTATAGAATGATTTGATTACATTTTACTAATTCATAGCTTACAGTGAATAGATACAAACGATTTACAAAAATTAGCGCAACCATTTTCAATGCAAAATAAAACAACACTTTGTATTCCTTAATAAGTTTGCAAATATATATTCTTTAAAAAAAAAAGAAAGACGGAAGAAAAATATCAACGACTATCAACGAATTAAAAAAATAATCCCATTTAGAAACCACAGAACTTATTACAAATGTTTTTGTGAAGTTGTATAAAAAGTGAGGTAAAACAAAAGAGGAGAAAGAAAGAGATGAAAGAAATGGAAGTCAAGGCAATAAAACAGTGATAAAATTGTTACGGATTAGTAAACATAACTGTAGTTGTGTTTTCTATGCATTATTATTATTATTATTATGTTTAGTTAATATTATTACATCCATTGGTTATTTATGTTCAATTGTAAATGGTTAATACTGAGAGAATCAATCCAATAAAATTGACTGGTTAATTATCATGAATTCATTTCTTATCTGATAGTGTGAAATTTTAGAAAAAACAATAATACTAAGGTGTATTTGTACAGTATACTTGGATTTTCAGTCTCCGTAAATATATATGAAAAGCTGATTTACGGTGAATAAATCGGAACATAGTAATACTAAAGAATGAACATACATGTACACACAAACAGGCAGAATCATAGACTATGACTATTGGCAACAACAGTATAAGTAAGTTTATCCGAAAAAATGTAAACTGAATCAATCAAAAATCTGTTGTATAAATAGATGTATGGTGTGTAACAAGTACTCTCAAGTAATTTGAACATTCGTGTGAAAGTTTACAGTAGTATTTTTGAAAATATGATTTGTAAAAACCGGAAAATTATCAACAATACTAAATAACAATAACTATAATGAACTATAGAGGTATTAAGTGTGTTTATTTGTGTGCACATATGGCATTCAGTATTTTACCATTCTAGTTATATAAAATCATTTCATACATCCATATATGTGTATCTCGATCATAATTATATGTGGTTAGAAAATGATTACAGATTCACTGTAAAGAGTGGGCAAAAGCATCCCTCTTCTAACGAACTGACATAATACAAAGTAATCTATCAGGGATTGAATTAGTCGAAATGAATCACTACTACTAATTATCAAAGATATACACATACGAATCAATTAGATTTGAGGATAGATTCGAAAAAAAAAACAGAACAGAAAGATCATAGGTGAATAAGACATAATAAGTTATATGAAAAATGTAAGTTGTCTTTTTAGTTAATAAAAGAACACCCACCTTTCACACAAACACACTCAAGCATCATTTTAAAGTGAGATAGCAAGTAATGCGTAAATCAATATAGTATTTTGGAAATAGTCTGTTAATCTTTTCAACAAAGTTATAAAAATGTAAAGGTGACGAACGGGTTAATATAAACACAAACTTTTGTAATTGACAATAAACATGGAGAAAACAAAACAACAGCAATCATTTGTTTATCTTTTATGTCATTGTTTTCTTCCTCTTCTCTTTTTTACTGTACGTGTGATCTATATTGATCTTGATGAATGTGTTTCAGTTGAGCGTGTAATTTATCCAATTCCTTTTGTTTAGCAGCAATACTGGATTTAGTTTCAATTACCTAGAAAAATTGACAGAAAATTAAATTCCGAAAGAAAAATTATTCATCACAGTTAATTGTTAATTTCGTTGTATTAGGTGTATGAAAATGAGAGCGATTTTATTATCATTTGGTTGCCATTGTTATTGTTGTATTTATTCGTTTGTTTGAAATTACAGACCGATTGAATTTCATGACATTCTCATTAATCATCATTTCACAGGTCTATATATATATGGCTTTGAGTCGAATGTGTGCGTAAGAGAAAGAAAAGTGTTATTGATCTTGTCGGCTTAGACAAATTGAAATAAATGAAGTGGGAGTGAGTCTTGAGATGATGACTGAAATTCATATGCTCTTCGTAGTGAATAAGAAACATTATTATCCTTTTCATCAAATTATAGGAACAAATCTATCATTGTAGAATTGTCAATTAGGGATTAACGGATATAATAACGATTGTTTTCATACAAACATTAACAGTTACTTGCACACTTGTATTGAAACTAATGTGTAAGCAACATGGATGATATTATCTAGATGTATCAATTGTAGATAGGTAACAATGAATTTGGAACTTTACTGAAGAGTATGGCAAATGATCCTCTCTACAACCAGTAATAATTGAATCGTAAACGTTCTTTGATTATAAGTCAATGAACACAGATCAGCTAAGCATTGTCTACCTCATATCAATGTATAATGTAGATTAAAATATTTAGCCTGCGTTGAGCGCATGGGAGCACACATGAAAAACTATGTTTCAAAACAAGACCGAGTTAAACCTACAAACGATACTATGATCGCTCTCAGATCAACTAGACACACAGAAAGTTTCATTTAATCCAATGACAGGGTAAATGTATTATTTAAAGCTTGTGTTATATCTTTCGTTTTTCTTGCTAATACAAAGGCATCCTTTTTTGATAAAAATAAAAGGAGGCTGATAACATAAACATCCATTGGTTATACCAAAACTGAAAATCGTTAAGTGCTTACCTATCAACTAAGTAATCATAATATGTTTACATAAAATATAATAATGATACAGTGAATTGTAATATAAGACACATTTCAAAGTGTAAAAAATCAGAATAATCTCATAATATTATAACCATATATATTTGTAGTTCGTTCTAAAAGCCGTGATCAATATTATAACAACAAAATCGACACATACTTGTCTCATAGATGAAACAACTCGACCATTTAAATTGTCTAATGATGTCTCAGATTGTTCTTTGTCTACGTTCACTGGTGTTGTTGTTGTAGTCATTGCTAGTTTGCTTTTGGATACGATCATTTGTACAATTCGTACCAAACGATCAGCTGCATGTTTGACAGATCCACCAGCATTACGTAAGCCTAAACAACTTTGTGAATTCGGATCAGCTTTAGCTATACAAGCAATGACCAATTGAGCAGTATAACCAGCTGTTGTTTGTGCAGCCGATATTAAACTTTCTGGCTTTAAAGTTATATCACCTGCGTCGATTAATTGTGAAGAACCACTAACGTGCATTGTGACAAATGCTTGAGCTGATTCAACTAAGTGATTCGCACCAACAGCCACATACCTTGCCTACATAAATTTTTAAAAAGAGAGACGGGACATACTGCATAACACTTCAAATCATTTCAAATATGTAACGGATTTTTTAAAAATTATTTTGACCTAATCATGGGTAGTCGGAAAAGACAGCTTATGCAACCACCAGTCAGAGATAATGTAGCTAAACAAACATTTTACCTGATAATTGTTCTAGGTACTGTTAAAACTCTGCACATCCTGTTTATGCTTTCAATAAATTGAAACGGTTTTGAAGAACTTGAAATAAAAAATTGCAGAACAACCATGAAAATAAAAGATAAATGAAGAATAAATGAGCAGGTAGTTAGGTCAGCGTAAATACTTCACACTATGACAGTGTGCACTGCTGAAAACAACATACTACTCAATAACCCTATTAGTAGTTAGTCACTAAGTTGTCAAATAAAAGCAGTGCAGATGTAAATATGTGTTCAATGAGGTAAAAACTGAGGAAATAAAGTTAGCGATAAAGTGCAAATTAATAAATGCAATTTGAGAGGCACTATAAAACTCTAATATATCAGTGAATATCTGATGAACAGATAATAAATTCTTTAGTACTTTTAACAATATTCAAAGTCCAATAATCTTGTTAGTTGGCTTAAGTAATATAATAAACAATAATTAAATCTGAAAATCACTCCTTGATTTCATCGGTTATTGAATGATCTACAAAAGCCTTATCTTACAATCATAAGAAATTTTAAGCAACATTTTAAATGTGTTCATTTTTGTTCTTGGCTTTCAATATTCATTATTGTCTTGGTTTAACTATTTGAAATTATTTTGTGAGTAAAAAACACAATATTTACATCAATTTAGGCAACTGATCATATGTCAAAAGAATTCATGTGTAACAATCTTAAAAAGAATATCTACTGATTTAGCACGTTTGATATGCGGCTGGAAGTGGGATCCAGAATGGACGTTTTAACTCACTTGAAACTCATCAATTGAGTGTTCTTGAGACTTAATGTTGACGTCCACATTAAGACTCGAACATAGTGTCTTTCGTTTAAAATGAACAACTCGTCATCTATTGAGGTATTGAATTCAGGTAATCATCAAATTGTTTAATGAATATGAAAATAGTAAGTGCGAGGATAGTCAACGGGTGAACTCGAGGAAGCTCAGAAAGAGCTAAAGATACTCTATCCAAACATTTTTTGGAAGAATATCCCAGAACCACTAGTGTAGCTTCCCTATTGGACCACTGCTAGTAATCCTGTGTATGCAGATTGGAGGGCTATAACGATGATTTCGTGTTTACTAAAAACTATAAATACCTGACAGTTTTGTACCATAATTGACACTGTTTAAAACAGCATTCCTTTCACTTGTCTTCTTCCTTCCCATTTGTGACTTGGGAGGGTTTAGCGTTCGAGTGCTCAAGTATATTGAGAATCTAAGCTCTACATATAACAGTAAGGATTTGTAATTTCAGGTTGTTGAAATGTCTACTGAGCTTAACAATTAAATTAATATAAAAACCATACACTTCATAATTGGTACATAGTTTTCATCGTACAATAAAATAGGTGAAGAACTGTTAACAACTATCGCCTCAGACCCATAACTATTAAACAGTGAGCAATCACGAACACGTAAAGGATCAAGACGATGTCTGTTTATAACTCACAGTGGGGCTGATAACATCGAGTCAGTAAATAACAATGCTAGCGTCTACATTTTATGTCTCATGAAATTCGTGGTACACTAGTGTCATGACAAACTGACTTCGGTGAGTAATTACCTCATTCTCATATCGTCAGATAGACAGTTAGGATAATCACACCATTGACTAGCATTTATAACCCAATGATTTCTGAAATCTTTAGAAATGTTTTCATTCCAACCCCAAAAATGTTTACATCCTGTTCCATTGAATGAAATGAAAAGTTTTAAAAAGGAAATTATTTGTTATTTTTGAAGATTAATATAAAAGGGTATTATTCCTTTAGTATTCATCTTTACTCTAAACTTTGAATGTTAATAATTTTACTTAGCACTAGTTACGTGGTCTGCTAATCCTAATTGATGAATGTAGGTTGATCGATTTTATCAATAGGGGTCAAGAATTTCAACCACCGGAGGATAAATGTCATGAATGAAGTTAGTAATGCTAATATTGATTTTCTGACAAATATTTTACAGAGAAACGCATTTAAACAAGATTTTGCTAAATATTCAAAATATCTAAAGTAACTGCTTTCAACAACTCTTTTGTTAACAACTATAAAGAAATGAACTTCCCTGAAGAATACAAAACATATAAGAAATGTTAGCTACTTACGGCTGATATTAAACCTTGTGCCCATTGTGATTCAGATTCTAGATCAGGGGTTTGTGGTATATCAATTGGTTTTAATCGACCTTGTTGAACAAGTTCACGTTGAGCAGCAGCAGCCCAATACATTAAACTTAAAGTAGCATGAACTAAATTTCGACAAGCTATAATAAGTGCATCCATACCGTCTGATGATTCTAAATCTATATCTTCATTAATATTATTTATAGTTGTACGACTATCATTGTTAGAAATTTGATTGTTTGTCGTTGAAACAACGGTGGTAGTTGTATATTTTGATGTTGAAGTCATCTAAATATAATATTTATTTAAAAGAAAAATAAACTCAATTACATTATGATTGTAAATTGAAAAAGTCATTTTTAATTTTTAAAAAAAACATTCCAGCTATTTATCATTACAGAGACAAGTTATATTCATTTAAATATTTAACATCTAGTTATAAGCAAAAACAAAACAAAACAGTTGTCTACATAATGGGAAGAAAAGATAAAGTAAGAAAATATATGTTAAGAACATTATATCCTTAAGCATGGTACTTATTTTGTTGACAGAATGAAGTAAATATGAACAAGAATTACATAGATTTTAATAAGAAAATAAAATAATAAAAGTCAATTATTAGCAAAGATACACGTATATAACAATGAAGAAAATGAAGGAAGTCTTAGAAAAAAAAGAAGAGAATTCCCTTGCAAATGAATACACTTGTTACAGTTGTACAATCGTATTTATAGTTATTCTATATACAATAGTCTATATATAAGATAGAAAATGGTTGTGCCACTAACAAATTCAACAAAATTAATAAGAATTTCCATCGAATATAAGTTACTTTATAGATGAAGGTTAATGAGAAAAAAATGAGACGAGAATAAAACTTTGAAGAGAGATATAAAAAACATTGGTCTATTTGACAAATAGAAAGAATAAAAGCATTTAGAACAAGCTACACAATTAGAAAAGCGTTTAGAAGCATGGTCGAATAAGGTATTGGACATACCGTTTCTGAAAACAGAGACCAAGTATGAATAAATGACTTGTCAAAGCGTCGACAATGCACATATTTCTCAAGTAACCTCGCGCTTAGAACCAGTTCGTTTGACTTAATTAATAATAAAAGAAAACTCTGATGAAGATGGATAGCTAGAATTGACTAGATGATTAACAATTGACTGATTTACATTACCCTTTAGATAATCTTGGTGGTACAATGAAGTTCAAAATGATGTCACACATCCATCTGTAACATGTTATTTTCGTTTCAAGCAGAGATAGAGAGAACGGTACTGAGGTCGAGTCCCAGAATGAACATGAACTCTAGGATGAAGGCACGTCAAGCTGACGAATTCCGAAAAAAAAAACGCGCATCTTGGACTCCAGTGTTAGCTACCATCCATCTCTGCTGACAGTGCTCGTGACCTAATAGCAATATTGAGGCAATCCGCACAGCATGCAAATATGCAGAAAAGAAACTGATCAATTGAGGTCCTAAACATCAGTGGGAAGACTCAAACAACCAATACAAAATGATTTATTTTCATTTTGTCAACAGCTCATTATCCTTCGACAATAAAGTAACTTATATTCGACACTTCGAATTTTTAACTAACTTTTGATAATTTTATTAATGGCCCAAAGAATTTTTACCATGTGTAAAATAATTATAAATACGGTTGTGAAAATTCCCATTTTGGCATTTAGTAAATAAAGAAGGAACGAATTGAGCGAAGAAATTTCTTTTCAATTAGTTTTTCATCATGGCTCTACACTAATATATATATATATGATTTACAATAAGGAAATAATACTCATCGAGTGGATACTTTACGTAATAATTACATAATGACACATCGATTGTAAATTAACATTGAGTAATTGGAAGGAGATGAAAAGAAGGACAAAGATACCTACCGTCCCTAAGAAAGTATTGTTCACAAAATTACAATTCGTAAATGACTTCACTGAAGAAATTGTGACTCACAGACTAAGAGAAGCTGTACAAAAAACATTTAATACAGCCAAACTAAATACTATCTTCTACAACCACCCCACAATAAGAACGGCCAATAAAGACAGATTGCCTGAATTCGCCAAATCCATGTATATTTATCGATTCAACTGCTCCTGTAGAGCCAGTTATATAGGGCGTACAATTCGGCAAGTTTGTCATCGTATAGCAGAGCACCATCCGTCATGGTTAAGCAAAGGACAGGTAGGAGTGGTTAAAAGTTCTATTCTCGCTCACCATATTCCATCAAATTTGCCACATGGTTTACGATTGCGCTTTTTGCACATTGTGGAAGCCATCGCAATCCATGTTCACAAACCTAACCTTTGCATTTAAAAGAAATTTGTACAACCAATTTCGCTACCTAGGCCATCGGTATAAGAGTGCTTGCAGCAGAACTAATTTTCGTACTTCTTCCATTTAGTTTTTTTTTTATTTTTTAACTTTGTAATTTTCTCAACATTCATCTCGTGATCCTTACATAACTACTATTCTATTGACCATCCATCAAAATATTCTGTTCTTTCTCGTTTTCATATATTATGCAACGTAGCAACTTCTTGATTTTCGAATAATCACTTTGAGTATTATTAATCCTCTTTCTTCCAATTACTCAACGTTAATTTATAATCGAAATGTCATTATGTAATTATTACGTAACGTATCCACCATGATGAAAAACTAATTGAAAAGAAATTTCTTCGCTAAATACGGTTGTATCGCTTTAGTAAATGACATCGTCTGAAGGAACATTTTCTTCTCTGACCAGACTTTATCTTCTTTAAGCATGTTCATTTGTTACGTTGTAAAGAGTTTGGGGATACCTGTTACGTTAGCTACTTGATCAATGCAGAATATGATACACAACTAACGGAACTCGAGCATATAGAACTCCCACAGTCACAAATCAGAACACAGAAGGTGCAGGAGAAGCGACTGTTGGGTAAAAATCCAAAATGTACAAAAAATCATAGGTATTTATAGATATTAGCGTTAGCTATAACATCATTATAATTCAGCCAATCCGCAAGGGCGCAAGTTATATTACCGTTCAATCGTAGCATGCTACATTGATATTCTAGAAAACTCTATCAGATTTTGATGGGGTGGAAACTCAACGGTTCCTTTAGTACCTCTGGGAGCTCCGTCGTGCTCCTCGTAAGCCATCCAAACAATAATAGGCAATTATTTTCCAATGCAAGAAGATAAAGTGGATTTAAAATTAAGATCAAGATTACTGAGTCACACATACTGTTTAGAAAGTACCAGCTGAAAAACGTATGTTTACATACATAAAAAAGGAATTACAAAGTATACCAGCTTTTTTCTAAATTGAAAACAACAAATGTTGTAGAATGAAGTGAATTCATGTAAATTAGTAGACTATAAACGTCTAAAGTACACAAACATTTTACAGGTTAAATTTAATTTTCGAAAAACCATATACAGATACATTAGTTCGTAACACTTTTTTTAAAATAAAGCACAAAAGTAAATGATCATTTGTAAACTATAAAAAGTACAATATATTTATTGCGTAGATTACAAATAAACCATACTGACAACACTTAACAAATTATTAAAGATGGTGACGATGGAGCAATTTCGTGGATTGGTTGATGTTAGACATTAACACCGTTGGGTGCCGGTTCAGTGGTCTAATAGTTAAGCGCTCGCGTGCGAGACTGATAGGTCCTGGGTTCGAATCTCGCGGGGGGCGGGATCGTGGATGAGCACGGCTGAGTCCCATACTAGGACGAAACGGCCGTTCAGTGCTTTCAGGTTTTCCATGGTGGTTTGGCTTCAATTGACTCATGATTTCAACTATTGAAATTACTAAAATCTCCACAAAATCCCTTCTGATACTAAAGATAAGTTAATAATTCTTCTTATAGATTCCTAACCAATGATGCAAAAACAAAACTTATTATTCAAGATTTCTTAAAAAAAGGTAATGTCTACTTAATCTTTGTAGAAAAGAATACATTTTATCAATACAACAGATTGTATAAAAACATAAAATTAACTGTATTCAATATTTAGCTTGAATAAACAAGTTGTTAAATGAATTGGCGGTCAAGAAAAAAAAAACAAATTATGCAACTACAATACACTAAAATTATATTTAAAATAATAAATGATTTATTTCATTCATAATTATCTTACCGTATCTTTAGACTGATCTAATTGTGAATGACTTGATTTTTGTGAATTTAATGAATTCTATAGAAAAAAAAGAAGACCAAAATACATAACAAATCTTTAAATGATCATTAGAATATGGTTGATTATTTAATAAGACAAGTGAGTAATAGAACATATTAACATATTTTGTATAGTTTTAGTTGAAAGGGTTTTTTGGAGATTGATTTAATTGATGGGTGTTATTCAACACAGGTCGATTTCAAACGATGCATCATTTGAAACCAGAGAGCATTGGAGAGCTATTTAGTCTTAGTACACATGACCTTGACATGGGTCGGACTCATGACCTTCAGATTTCACGGTGGACTCTTAACTATTAGAATTACTAGGTCGGCATTCACTGGCACAATTTAAGTTCCGATCAATTTGGTACATAATACGATGATCATCTAATGGCATTTGTCATAAATGCTTCATATTAGACATGTTTGGACCCCGTTCTTCACTATGTCCTGATAAGACTATAGGAATATTGCGAAACAGATTTTGATAAGTTTTATAAAGAACAATCGAATGAAATTGACTGATTGGTTTTATAATGAACTAATAATTCAACATCATACTTTGGACATCAATATTAAGTAAAGTTTCGGCAACATTATAAATTACAGAATTATAAGTCAAAAATCCTTAAGAAGATAGATGCGCCATTCTGTCAATCAATTTAATATCTAAATGTTTAGTGATTTTTATGAAATGAATAAACAAGGTAGTTTCCCCTAAGGTTAATTTTAATTTCAGAAATTTAATGTTTATCGTTCACTGACCATGTACTGATTTCGCTACAAGGATTTGATCCTTAATTTAATTATTTTGATAGCTAGTGATACGAATCGGCTCAACAAAACAAGATAGATGAAGCAATGGACTAAAGCTGTTATCCACCAGTGTGTGTTAACTAAGAAAACACTGTTTGCTGTCTAAGTTTATAATAGGGACAAATAGTATGCTGTTGAAATTACCAAATATTAGGAATTGATTCGATGTTACAGAAGCTTAGATTTGTTAGAAGCTTATATAAGTTGGGAAGCTTTTAGATATTCACGTAGTATCGAGCAGATATCTATTTATTATATTGTTTTATTTAACTGGAATAATGTACCCGATTTTGAGCCACGTCACTAGTCATCTATTACTAGCAACCGAAGTTTTGGAGTGAACTTCAGTTAGTCTGGAATTACCAACAGTCAATGATTACACGAAATAACGCCACGTCTTGGTTAGGTCGTCCTTAGTTTTTTCTGACTTGCTGCTACTCCATGCAACATTAAATATCGAGGTGGATAGTGATTGAACATACATAACACATGACGTAGACATCTTATTCAAGAAAGATTTAAAGCCTTATAAACAAATTTTCCACCTCTGTTTGGTACATTATGCTTGTTGTTTTATTTCGTTATTCCACAATGTGAACAAGATACTTCTAACACACCTATGATCAAAATGATCCAGACTGTTAAAGTTTTCTACTTTTATAGACTACATAGTTAAAATAAGAACTTTAGTGAGAAATGTACAAATACAAATCAAATTACAGGTATAATACCTTAAATGAATGTTTTGAATGTAATAAACCAATACGTTCAACACTTCGTTCGATTTCTCCAGCTAAATCTTGAAGTGCATTTTGTACACCAGATGTTGATGAAGATGATGATAATGTGGAATGGTCAATATCAACAGCTGTTGCATTTGCTTCAGCAATACTCTTTTCAATATCTATAGAACTGCCATAAATTGATTTCCGATCAAAATGATTTTCATAAGAACTTGTAATTTTATTGTCAATTAATATTGGAATCGGTTTAGTAGAAACAGCTGGTTTGAAATCTAAAAGTAAATTTTTAAAGAAAATGAGAATGTCACTCATTCTTATGAATAAAAGAAAATACAATGGTCAGTGGAAAGATGTTATTAATTCTTCAGAGAATACTTTCTGTAAGCTGTGAAATCTCAAATATAAACATTTTTTGATGATGTAACGTCTTGTGGATTGGATGATTTATTCATAAAGCTGTTATGAAAAACATCATCCACGCTAACTCCTATATTCATTTGAACTACAGATTATCTCGTTGAAATGATAAACCAATGTAAGTTAGACTACCATTGAAATTCTAAAAGCACAGGACAGCGGTTTCATCTTAGCACAGAACTCCTTAAGATTGAGCATCCACGGTCCCAAGCGCAAACGCTTTACCTTAGTTGCCTACTGAAGACAATAGAAGACAGTCGCGAAATGTCATGAACTGAGTGAAGTTAGACACATTAACACCGTTCGATGTCGGCTCAGTGGTCTACATTTTTTCTGTCACACAAAAGCAATCTATTTCTGTTTCCATACATTTTCTAACTACGTTTCATTTTTCAATTTACTATAATGTATAACTTCCATCAATCCACGACGCTGCGTGACCATTTTCCATTGTCTTCCGAAAAAGAAACAATTCACAAAAGATCTGTACAGTAGTACAATTGACAGAAAAAGGTTTCTGACTGTTAGATTAAATAGCTAAATAGACCCCCAATACAATGGTTAGCTAGCTCAAAATGATAGTTTACAGGGGAATGGTTATTGTAGCATAGTGCTTTATGATTTGGAACGGTACTTTAGTTGATTTTATAGTTTGAGATTAAGACTGCCTATTTTTTTAATGAAAGAGATTATATATGCTATTAATCGAATCAATAAAATGTTAGCACTTTCTGGAAAAATACTTGTGAAACTAATGTAAAAGTATGTGTTGTGCACATACTGAATCTATACATGACTGACTATACAACAAAAAGTAACTACACACCAGCAATATCGTCTTCGTTAGCACCAGGTAAGGACATTGAACAGTCAACAATTTCAAAAACGGTTTCTCGTAAACGTCTCATAGCCAGAGTGACTTGAACACTATCCGGACTTCCAGGACCAGAATCAAGTGCCTATAAACAAAAAAAGATGTATGAAAAGGCAGAAGAAGATAGAGTCAAGTAACAACGACAAAATAAGAGAAAACATAAAAGTGAGACACTACTATCTTTTCAGTAGTATTTATTCAGAATGTATTCAAGATGGACAACCGGAATAAAACACTAAATATTACAACAGTTATTTTTACTGCACCAAAACTTCAAGTCATAATTAGTCATTTTAACTGAAGAAAAAGTAAACCAAATATAATCTATATGTGTAAATAGGTGACTTGGACAAAAGATGAGCTACTCGATAAATGGTTCATAAATGCATGTAGGTCGACTTAACAGTTCTTCTGGATGTGACTACGAAATGGGTATTCAGATGCAGGAACATACATTTTCATGACTAAGATAAGGCGTGACTACCACTATAGACAACATCCTTTTTCATCTGGTTCTAAGTGAACATTGTGTTGAGATAAATTAAGCATTTTCAGTTTTGTATCATTTTGGAGGTAGTTTAACAAAACGTCCGTGATTATGACCTCTATGGATAGTGGAAACCATTAGGGCAGACTCGACATAAATGTCGATAACGTACATTCAACTATTTTATTTGCTCTAGTCTACGAAAGAGTCAACTCATTCTTAATCATATTAGTTAGTTTAGTTTTTATGTTGTATATTCAACTCTCTGACATTCTATAAAACAATGAGTTGGTGTTACTTTTATTATTATTGCACCTAAGTTGAAATTACTGGCTTTTTATCTTGTATTTTATCCCGTTTCATTATGTTGATTACATACGATTCATCACTTTATAACGTTTATTACTAAACAAAGAAATACTTGAATAAACTCATATTCAAAGCCAAAGTCAATACCCTATCAATCTTTGAAATTTCAGACTTGTCTAATTGAATTTATGTAGAACACTAATTAAATTAAGACATTTTTGTATGCTTTATACCAGCTAATGTAAAACAACATTTATGGATTACCATTGGAGAGCAGTGTAGATCGTTGGGTTTCAGAGTTTACATCACCAGACTAATCTTAGTTACACAGCCATTACGTAACAAAAGCAATGGGCAGCTGTTTTGTCCTAGTATGGGACTTTTAGGCAATACTAACTCGTAACTATCTCCTTGGGATTTGAGCCTGAAACCTTAATGAGAGAGGTTACTTAAAACAACTGCCATGTAAAGCAGTTTGAGATCTTTCCTTTTTGAAAACATCAGCAGTTGAATAATCGTTATTTATGAAGTTTAGCACAGTATGGAAAATATTATATAACGCAGAAGTCAACTTCTCATTTCTGAAAACAAAATTGTCTGCTTAATTATTAGTTTGCTGCAGCTGAAAAAAAGAATTATTGGGAAGAAATGTTGAAGAGCTATAAATTTTAGTTTTAAAACAAAAACAAATCAAACAGTAATGACATTAGATAAGAATCGCGTCATATTTAAACCCAGTTGATTGAAGTTCAAAAGTATCACAACACACAGAGATCTAACACCCCAAATACATAGTATGTATATGTCCGTGTATGCCGTTGTTCAGGAGACTAAAACTAGGACGAGATAGCTGCTTGGTGTTGATGTTAGTTCATGATGAAAATTGCTTGAGTAACCATACCAACAATAACAACAATGACAACATTGTCTAAACAATAATGAAAAATACAAACTAATAACTATAAATGAAACATAAGCATGGTTTACTTTATTCATATGTTCCACTAATTGTTTAAGCTCTGACATTGTACTAGCACTTCCATGAATCGCTCGTTGACATATTTTCTCTAAAGCAGGATAACATATTGATTCACTACAATCATCTAATGTATTTCCACTTCCTGATTCACGAACGACACCATTTGATAAAACCTCTTGAGTATTAGAAGGATTGGTCGATTTGCGCCAAGAAGCATTATCTTTTGATACGGAGACAGATGACAATGAAGTTTGTAGGACGGAATGAAGACGTCTTACTAGTTCTTCCGCAGCTCGGCGTATCATATCACCAGCTAAACCAATTTCGGATGTTTTACCTGATCCAGTAGCATTATTTGCATTAGTAGCTGCTTGAGTGATAGCTCGAGCAGCACATACTAAATAAGATGGATTGATCACTTGACCTAGTGCTGTTTCCCTTTCGAATTCCATATCATCATCAAAATCTGGAGGTTGTCGTTTACAAATAAGAACAAGAGCAGAGAAAACATAAATAGAATAGTGGTTTGATAAATAATATACAGTGGATAGAATTGAGTATTCTGACCAATTATATAGTAGGATAATAGTAATTACGGTCACTAACATTATCAGTCATAATCATAATTAAAACATGCATTCAGATTATTATAATGATTTGCGATCATTTAAATAGTCTTGATAGCCAAAACAGAAGCTTACTATTATTAACTCATCAGCGAGGTGTAGACTCATATACTTGGCTTTGAGACACACTTTAAATGTGACGGCTATCGATGCTATCTATCTTTCCAAAACCAAAGTAATTAGAGCAGAGTGAAAACCTGAAAGGTATTGGCGGGGCGTCAGATGCCTTAACTACAGAGCCCGAGTTCCACAATTATATATTATTCAAATAACTGACAATCAAATGCTCATATAATAAGCTTACCATACTAAACGTTGATAATTATTTACATAACTATTACATTCATATTCTAAACAGGAAATATGTAAATCGGACTGTTGAGAAAATGTTTTCATGCTTAGGTATATAAGTGGAGTCTTCTATAGGTAAATCGTTTAATTTATAAATCGATGCTAATGTCTGACAGTTAGTTCACCTAATGTACCGAAGATACGGACCAACTCTACATAAAGTCGTAATATGAAATTTTGTTTTCTGTTTCGTTCCTGATACCTTTGGATTTATTTACCTACATAAAACATACGATGATTCGTTAAAATCAGTGAGGGATCAATGGGTATGAAAATAAAGTAAAAAGGTGGGAAGTACTGAAAGAGAGATCGTGGAAAGTTTGACAGTAAAACTTTCCATAAAACTATCTGCTTAATCAATCTAGTTCACTGAATTTTTCGTTAAAGCTAACCGTTGTACCGTTAATCATGAAATTAACTTTTTGCTGAATCTGACTGTAAACTTCGACTGCTTCAAATTTTGTATCAGTGGCCTCCAGATAACTAATTCAGTGTTCTGCTGAACTAATAAACAAGTTTCAACAGAGCTTCCATCATAATTATTCAGAACTTTATGACGTTAATTTTCTGATCAATTCTGTTTGTTTAGGTTTGGCTAGAGTGGAAAAATGCGAATACTTAAAACACAAAGACTGAAAGAACTACCTAATTATCGCTAAATGTAATGGTATCTAAAGTAATATGAAAGAAAATATTGGGTTGTATTTGGAAGGAATTGTTCTTGTACCCAAAGTTTAGATACTGTGTTTAAAATATTTTCCATCATATATTGCCGTCAATTGAAAAATCAGCTGAAAATCAGGAAGGATTAAACAACTCGTATAGTTCTAGTTTAAGAAACTACAAAAATCAGTTATCATCCTCCCCAAGTTAGAAGCAAACCAAAAACCTCAATAAATAAATAAACAATATATTTGTAATATCCCAATGAGTAGAAAAACTAGACATTTTCTGACGTTTCGCGGCTTGGTGTAAGTCACTTCCTTAGAGAATAAATAACCAAATCCGGTTATTTATTTATGACAATCTACCCAATGCTCAAATTATTCGAAATCATCAAATCAAACCTTGGTAATGATACCTAAAAACCTCAATGTTGCCGAGAAACAAGAAGGTAATTCAATTAGGTTATAGTAACTTATCTTAACAATTGTAATAAGCTTTAACCTAAGATTTGTTTTTTTTAATAATTAACAAATAACATTCTATTCAAGAATTCTGAATCACTCTGTGCCCAAAGGCAACGAGGAAAACTGGTGCCAGTCAAACCTCTGCGTACAACGAGACTAAAAATATTTAAATTACTGTTAAATAAACAACCACGTTATCGTTCTTCTTTATGTTTAAGATGATACCATGAGCTCATTTGGTTCAAAAGCAAATCGACACGATCATTAGCTACAACTCTTCACTTAATAGGAAAACCGTTTTTATCGTTTCAATTAGTTATGCGTACAATGTATTCAGAAAGTCAACTGGTAGCTCATGAAATGTATAATTATCATGAAACAGGCTAAGTCTAGGTTCTTTGTCGATTCCGACACATCGAGTTTCGTTGGACGGAAACGTTGTGTTAAACTGAATCATGAAAATGAACAAAAACTTAGTTTTCACGATCATTTACAGTGACTCTGATTATGCTTAGAGTCGTAATTGATTAAAGGTCTAACCATTTAAACAATCGTTCAAATATAAAATAATTTTCGTGAGATACGAAAGAGAATCATTGTGAGGACGGTACAATAGTTGGGAATTCATTTCCTGACCAAGAGAAAACAATCTGTACAATACATTTTTCAGTTAGGAGAAAAATATTTGAAAAAACGCAATCAAAGTCGTCTGTAGTGATGAGTATGTGATTTTCTTGGAAATGATCAATCATAAAATTCATTAGGAAAAAAAGAAAAACATCTACACCTACCTAGTGTATGTAATAATCCATCTTTAACATCCCATTTATTTAATCGTTCATTTAAATTACTTAATATAGTTATAATTGATTCAAGACTGGTATGAACGTTAGATTTTGCATGATCAGTTTTTTTATCCAAACTTGTGAATTTTTGGGCAGATACTTTCAGACTAACTTTTTTCAATGGGACTGCTGGAGGAATAGGTGAAATTGGTGGATTTTCATCTTTTATAGTAGGTGATTTAGCCACAGTAAACATATCACTAATAGAACGTAGAGAATTTGATAAGCTAGATATAGTTTCAATTACTTGAACAGCAGTATCATTTAAAGCTTTTTGCTTAGTTTTCATTAAACTATTTAATGTATCATCTGTTTGATCATTCCAAAATTCAATAGCATAACATACTGCAGAAATAGATTTACCATGATTAAGTAAACGTACTAAACCTGAGACAACATCACGTGTAGATGTTAACAATTGTACTTGTCCTTCAATAGATAAATCTGGATTAGATGATAATAATGATGCTGTACATGAAGCAGCATTTTTAGCTGACTCAGTTAATTCTGTAGCTCGAATAAAACAATTTTGTGCAGATATTGCTAAAGCATCTTGATCAGTTGATGTTGTTTTAATCTGAAAATCAAATAAGAAAGAAAGTAAAAATAGCTATCTGGTTTATGTAAGCATAAAAATGAAAATTCACACTGTAAAAGATTGAATAAATGAAATCATTTCGTTCTGATTTTTTTAGAGATCTTATTATAATATTTCGTAAACGCAAACTATTTATTAAGTTATACGAATATTCGTCAAGATTAGAACGAATAGTTTGACAGTAATTGAGCGCCGAGTATAGAGAAGTCATTATATGTGAAAATTATATTTGAAATATTCTCAGTGATTGAAATATAACTAATTCCAACGTTTCGTCCGGCTAACTTGTCTGGACTTCTTCAGGGTAATAATCAAAATCAAATTTTTTTTCTTTGATAATTTTGATTTTGATTATTACCCTGAAGAAGTCCAGACAAGTTAGCTGGACGAAACGTTGAAATTAGTTATATTTCAATCGCTAAGAATATTTCAAATATTATTTATTAAGTTATTGTTGACGAGATGTTTCAAAGAAAACCTGTATCCTTCAATACTAATGAGGAGATTTATGAAATAACAAGTTGAATCAAGTTATTAAAAAGGGTAATAACGTCATAGAAAGTTAATTTTTAAAAGACTATGGTCATTTGAAAAAAATAATCATCTCACTTCTTGAATAAGCTAGCATAAAAAATACTTATAGTTTTAACGTCACATTTACTTAACAAACTGTTACTATGGCTGATCTGTGGAGTATAAAACATAATTACTATTCATTTAAGGAAAATAAAAATAGGTTTAAGGAATTTATTCAAAGAGACATGAAAAAACGCCTTCATATGGCGAGACTCTAATTTATAGACGAGTCAATCAGAGGCATTTGAGGGGTTTCAAGGTCATGGTGCCAATTTCAGTACCCGACGCTCACGTACGATCGGTTTACAGTGGATTTTAGAGAAGACGTGATTATTGAGCGGCTACAACAGACGGGACTAATAAGAAGTTCCTTTATTTGTGACTGCGGTAATCAAATGACTGCTGTACCGTGTTCAGACTACCGTGATGAGATCGTCTTTCGACGTTATTTATGTTAGAGGAAGAAGTTTGCTTGAACGGGAAATTTCTTCGCTCGATCACGTTTGAGACTAAAACAAATCATGATAATTGTTGCGAATTGGATAATAAAAGCACCAGTAACACTGGCTGCAGTATTTTCAGACTTTACTGAAACTTCATCTGTTCAATGGTATGAGTATCGTAGTGATATATGTGCAATGAAAATGACAAGTTTACACGAGCCGTTTGGAGGAGTTGTGAGAATCGTTGAAATAAACGAAACAGTAGTCCGGAAGCGGAGGACGTAGTATGAAGGAAGACTGGGTAAGTATCACTTCTATAAATATGCCTCACAGGTAATTGGAATTTACAACAGATAAACCCAAAAGTGACACTTCCAAAAGGTCAGAAACTGACGAGCAAAGACAATAATACCAATTATACGGGAATACATGCCGTCGGGTGCCACAATATATACGGATGACTGGAGAGCCTACCGATGCCTGAATAGACTTGGATATGTGTATCATGTCGTTATCCACAAGCGCCGTTTTGTTGACCCTACGACAGTAGTGCATACTAGAAATACTGAAGCTATATGGTCGAGGCTAAAGGAGTTCTTACGACCCTACCATGGCTCGAGAGGTCGACTATTATGGAGCCATATGGATGAGTTCCTCTACCGTATGCTCTACGATTTCCGAACCTCTGAACGTCCTTCAAGCCTTGATAAGTTTTTGAACCATGTAAAAGAAGTATATCCACTTTAATCCTTTGGTTTTTTAATACATTTTTACTTTATACTAACTGCCCTCTGATTGGCTAATATTTCTCAAGGTCATTTAAGGTCCGTTCAAAGGTCGTCCATAAATTAGTCTCACCTTTTCATACATTAAAAAAACTGCTGATCTCGATGATTAATGAACACACTAAGTTACCATCAACATAGATTTAAATATTGTGCAACAAACTTTGCATAAAATTAAAAGTGATTAAACATAGCTAATGAGAACTAAGTTTATACTAAATTGAATTTCAAGTAGAATAACTTACTCCGGCTACCCTCGTGGAGGAGCATAAGATGCCAACCAGCATCCTCCCTGCAACTCCATTTTGAATAATCATTTCCAGTTGCTATTCGTCCTTTTCATATCTGCTTTCAATTCCCGGCACAATGTATTCCTTGGCCTTCCTCTTTTCCGCTTTCCCTTCGGGATTCCAAGTAAGCGCTTGCCTCATGATGCAGTTTGATGATTTCCGTAATGTATCTTCTCTCCATCTCTAGCGTCCTTTCCTAATCCCATCCTCAGTCAGAAGCTGATTTGTTCTCTTCCACAGTGGGCTGTTGCTGATAGTATCCAGTCAACGCACATTCAGTATCTTGCGTAGACAATTGTTGATCAATACTTTGTTTATGGTTGTAGTGGTTCTCCGAGTTCCGGTTCCGTACAGTAGAACCGGCTTGACGTTCGTGTTGAAGATTCTGAATTTGTTGGTTGACAGTTGTTTTAAGTTCCATATGTTCTTCAGTTGTAGGAGTGCTATCCTTACTTACTTACTTACGCCTGTTACTCCTCGTGAAGGAACATAGGCCGCTCACCAGCATTCGCCATCCAACCCTGTCCTGGGCAATCCTTTCCAGCTCCTTCCAGTTGTTATTCATCCTATTCATATCTGCTTTTATTTCCCGACGTAATGTGTTCTTTGGCCTTCCTTCAGGATCCCAAGTTAAGGCTTGTCTCGTGATGCAGTTTGACGATTTGCGTAGTGTATGTCCTATCCATTTCCATAGTCTTTTCCTAATTTCCTCTTCAGCTGGAAGCTGGTTTGTTCTCTCCCACAGAAGGCTATTGCTGATGGTATCATTTGGGAGTGCTGTCCTTCCTTTGCCTAAACTCGCCTTTACGTCTTCATTGGATCCTTCTAGTTCACTGATGATCCTGTCCAGGTACGTGATCAGGTTGAATAACGGTTCATTTTTATTTCTATACTAAGCGGTTAACTGATTACCTGACTAGCAGTTATTGAAGATATTTACTAACTAATTTTACAAGAAAGGCGGTCACTACAGAGTATGCCTGTTATAAAAAATCGTTACCAAAATATGTCAAACCCAACATATTCAAATAGTATTTGATCAACAAAAATGGAACATGAATTCGGTACAAAAAAGTATCTAGTAACACTGAACCCAGTGAATGACCTTCTATAGGACTGAAAGACATACCGATATCACTTTGTCTAAACTTTAGTTCAGAAAAAATTAAATTGACCAAGTTAAAATGTCATTACTGATTTACGCAACTTAACATCTTGTGAACCATACTTTGATTTTAAGTGGTTAGAGGAAATAGATGCGCTTTGAGTTTCGTGCTGGTTATCAGCAACTTATATTTACATTTACGAGTATTTTTACATCATTATTAAAAAGGACAATCAGAACGTGTCACATACACAACCATTAAGCAATAATGAATTTTACAAAATATAAATAAAAAACTTACCAGAGTTTGCATATCTTCAACAATGCCTTTTTCCGCTTGCATTACTGCTTCTTGAGCAGTTTGAAAAGCTCTTTGCTTAAATGTAACAGAACCTTTATCAGTAGGTGAAATGGGCGTCTTAAATGATTCTTGTAACGTACCAGCACGTGCAAACAGTGCAGCTGTATCTAAATCAGCTACTAAACGATTTAAATTAGTTATTGCAGTTGTACAAGCATCAGCACCACGAGTACATGACTGAAGTACAGCTTTAAGATCATTCAATCTAGAATTTAGATTATTTACTCTATCTGTATGTAATGGAGCACGGAGAAATTCGGAAGAAGCTGCACCAATAGCCTATTTGTAAATGTGAAGAGGAAAAAATTAGAACATTTATATTCCATTTCTAAAGAGTATCAAGATAAAAGATTATGGGAGAGTGTGGAAAATACATAGCAAAAGATCATTTTTCAATAGCAAGTACTAATCACATGGTGAGTTTTATTGAGCGCTAATAATAATTTTTTTTTATTCGTTGTTTTCGGTACTTGTTATTCTTATTAGTTTTGAATCTGACGATTGACCGGCTGCAGGTATTTCAGTAAAAGAATACCTTAAATAATCGTTTACGTGATTCGAGGAACTTGGTTTTGTTACAATGCTGCAGTATGTGAATGAACATGAAAAATCTGTTTATTTGATATTTCATCAAAGTTTTAAACTGAAGAGTATTTTAAGCAAAATATGAATTTCAGTGGTAAGCACAAACGGGTAACTAGTTTACTGATTCACGATTGATTGATTCTTAGTAATATCCTGTATATCTGATCTTTGGCACTAGCCGAAATGATATCGATCAAGTTAAAAGTGACAACTCAAGTAACTCGACATCGAGTGCACTATATTGACATTTTAGATGATTAAAGGACGGCGACAGGAAACTCTGGTACCACAACTAATTATTCATCTAAGTAATAAATCGTCAAATGAAGATTGAATTTACTTGAGTAGCATGACAAAGCTTTTGAGCTAAAGTAGGCCCCGTGTCAATTTGTGGATGCATTTTCAATACAGAAGACATTTGCTGTACTGTTTCAGTCATTTGAAGAAATTGTTGAACAAAAGAAGATATGATTTCTGCACAATTTCTCCTTGATTGGCGGCATAAACTTCTGTTACTCTAACCATAAGATCAGATAATTCACGTGATTGATGACCTAGACGCGCATGCAGTTGAACAAAGTTAGCTGGCAATGAAACAGCATTTTCATTTGAATCATTCTTTTGTGATCCATTTGATAAGGGTACTGTATCATCAAGCTAAATAAGTAAACAGAGAAACAGATTAGTAATACACGCATTGATGCAATATTTACTAAAAATATATTACTGATTATCACCAAGTAGTCAAGTCGGAAATAATTAAATTAAGACTCGATTCATTTTATAAATACCGACACATTTCATGAGTAGAAAATTGTTTGGTTTATACTGAACAAATAATGATTTGTAGGATTACGGAATATATCTCGTAGTGATTCAAAATAACAGGGATGCAGTATATTTCTACTTCTTAAAGTATAGACTAGTCAGAGAAGAAAACAGGTAAACTAAAGACTCAAAAATCAGTTATTATGAACCTTTAATTAATTAATATAACATGTGATAGCAAATTTTCGTGAGTAAAAGTCATTAGAAAAAGACTTTAATGAGAACAAGTAGTGAACCAAAGGTCATCATTAAAAGATTTATGAAAAATGATGAAATTGTTGCAATACGATTGGATAAAGGTTCAGCTATAGTTATCAGGAATCGAAATTACCATGTAAAGTAAGTGGTTTAAGTCCTAAACTATGTATCGGGGTTTAACGTTGATAGACCTAACAAGGATTCCACTGCAGTAACTGAATCCAGCATTAAGGAACAACTAAAAGAACTTCAAAAGATGCTCAATGATAGTCCAATTTAAAATGAGCTTAATGAACATAGATTTTCGTGTATTGTTTTCCAACATGATATAAATCAAATACATGCTTAAAAAACATAATGTCAATGATAAAATCACCATATATCAGTTGGGCTTGATGGCCTGTGAAATTATTGAAATCGATTCACGGAAAAAAGGTAATTCCTACCTTATAGGATATATTCCAATTTTCTGTAGGAAAAGTCTAGGTGGATATATTAGATAGAATTATGATGTTAATAGATGTTTTTCTATTATTTACAAATGTATCCAAAGGAAGAAACCATAAGTCTAATATGCCATTAATTTGAATTACCTCCTTTGACGAAAAATGCGATGAGAAAATCACTACTATTAAGTATAAAAAGGATTCAAGTTAAATAACCAGTTGTACAGACGAATTAATGGACTGGACAAGATAAAATACACGGCCCATACATCCATTATTTGTAATAATATGAAACATGCTTTATAACTACCATATCAGTTTAAACATGCAAATAAAAACATTAAATATACTATGGAATAGTTATTTCATAACCGAGAATTTAACTAGTGCACCACTGAGAAGTTTTATACTTGTATCTATGACAGTTGTCTTGTTACTAATGGTTATCAATAGTACTTCAACTGCACACTAATCTACATACTATGTACCAACTAGAATAAGCTTTAGAGAATTTATGTGTCAGGACTAATCAATTATTCGACAAACAATTTGATAATTCAATAAAATATATATGTCAGTTATTTCAGCTATTTCGTTAAACATTTTAACTTGTATATAAATGACTTTACTGCATTAAAATCTGTGCTCCATGTCTGTCAACTTTGATATTTTTTCGTTGTTGTTTACGTTTTCAGGTCATTTTATTTATATGCTTAACGTTGCATTTCTTTTCTTAGAAATTCGCATATATGCATCAATAGTTGACACTTCTCCATAGAAATCATACGAAAAGGGGATAAACACAAGCACGTAAGCACACTAACATGAATATAAAACGAGAAGTTGGCCAGACCATCATCAAGTTACTATTACTGCACGGATTTGTAATAAAAAAATTATTCACACACATACACACATCGAGAGGCCGAAAATTCAGATATAAACAAGATAAGAACACAGATATTGAAAAGTTAATGATGACTAACCTTTGAGCAAGCTGAAGTGATAGAGGCAATGTGCCAATTCAATCCACCTTGTTCCATAGCAATTGTATCGATCTGTTTAGATAATTCAACACAAGCTTGTTGTAACTGATCATTGTAATTGATCAGTGAATTGTGACAGTTGGATACTGGCAATGATTGTGACTATTGTATAAATGAGAAACAAGATCAATAAATAGATAACGGAAGGGATTTAAAACAAATTTAAGTTTTTTTTAATTAACACTAATGGGGAATTTTAACTGGGGGGCTATGGAATAAAGTTTAATTGAATCAACAAGGCGTTCATTGATTTATACATTTTTATAGTGAACAAATTGACTGAATTTGATCATAGGAATCATCACTTGTCCACCCAGTTAGTGATGTTTTAATGATAAACTGCTAATAGTGAAATCTTTTATAATTCTTAGTTCTGATTCCTGGTGATGAGTCATGAATGCGGAGCTGTATACTACGGGTACAAAAGCTTCTCACTGCTACACTAATTTCAATGATTGGTCTAGTTAAATCCAAATTGTGATTTAAAATTGATAATTCACATGAGAAACTGATTGTAGTTATACAGACACTAAAAACCAGAAGGCATTGAACTGCTGTTACTTCCTAGTACGAGACAACTTAACAATGCGCATCTACGTTACTAACGATTATTGGACCTAGAACCATCAAATTTCAACGATAGTGATTTAACCTTTAGACAACAGAATTCAGTGGTTTACATGTCTATCTCCAACTAATCGAGAATATTGTGTAGTTATCTTTCAATCTGACTAGTGAGTGACTCCCTCACATCTAGCACGGCTGAACTCCACCATTCATAGCTTTTCACCAGAATTACATCTCGAAATGATCTAATGATGAGAACCTTATCAGTAATAGTGCTATAGGGGGTTTGTGATAAATGATGATTGATTTGTTGAAAAAGTTATCCGTTATTTATGTGAAAAATGCCTTTAAAAAGACAATAAGATAATGGATAACGAAAAAGACTACTTACTCGTCCTTTAAGAGTGATAGATACACAATCAATTAACTGTTGCATAGCTTCTAGAACAGTACGTGTAAGACTATTCAAGTTTGTTTGGTCGGACAGTCGCATCAAACTTGCGCATGTACGAATAGACTCCTATATCAAAGTAAGACAAAATTAGATGATGATGAAATGTCAAGAATTCATAAGGTATTGAATGTACTTAGTTCAACTCTGACAGTGTATCAATTTTTATAGAAATGATAAAAATATTTGCTCTTTATTTAAATGCAAATAAATATAAACAACAAGAAAATGTAAGTGGATATTACTTAGAATAAGAATAACTGATGGTAATTTTGGTTTCAATTATGAAGTAGTCAAATGAAACAAAACAAAGAACACTGTTGTTCACTAGCTAACTGATTGTCAAGAAAAGTTGACGGTAATGAAGATATGTTTCTGAAACTAATACAGAACTCAAAGACGGATATGTCTATATTGTAACTGAAAGGGTTACAGAACCATACACGTTAAAATGTACTATATCTTAACAGTATGGAATGCGGAGATTTATAGAGCAGGTAGATGATTCTAGTGGGTTTTTTTTGTGAGTTGTATGACTTTGTATATCAAAAAAATAGCATGTATATATAGTCCTTTAAATTATGATGAGCATTTTATATTCGATCACTAAAATTAGTACAACAGAGTATTTTAGCCGACTTGTTTGAAGTAGGGCAATTCTTGTATCGAGAGACATAAAACGTGAACTATTTTATTCATGTTTTCCAAGAAAATAATTCAGGTTTTCATAAACGAATATTGATGAGATCACGGGAACCTAAATTAGACCAAAAATGGAGATCTAATGACGACAGTATCAAGTTTTAAGTATAAGACAGCATAGAATTTAATTAACACTTCAATGTATATGCACCTCGATTAACCAGAAGGGAGAAAACAATTAATAACACTCATCCACTATTTAATCGATAATATGTCTCCATTTAAAATAGTTTCTGGTCTCTTGCAATCAATCTAAATAACTTCAAATCAGGTTTTCATACCGTATAATTATATTTCAAAACCAATGGTTGTGTAAGTAAAACGCTATTCATGATTTTTCTAAGCCAATTTAAAGTTACTTAAAATGTAATATTCTTTTTTCAACAATCTAATATTAGGATAGACAGACATCATCATCCATTGCGAAACATTTGATTGAGACGGGTCATAAGGTTGATATCAAATCAGCATTTGTTGTGTTGTACAAAAGCCTTCAAGGACGTATACTAAGGTTTATTGAAGCCTTGGCTATACGAAAATTGAAACCCCCTTTATGTGTTCAAAAACAATTTGTACTTACACTTAACCTATCCTGGTAGTACTGATTTACTATCCAGAATGGTAATCACATTTGTTTTTGTGTACTTTAATATTTTTTCCTTTGTTATGACTTACCCTTAACCTGTCTAGTTGACCTTTTAATTTTTCATATATAAATGTTCTTAACAAGTATATGTGTGATCAGATTGTTCGAAATGTATTGCGTAAATATATCACATAATTCTGATAAACTACGTCTTCTCATTGCATTATCGAAATTTATCAAAGGGACTAATTGTTTTAAATCTAATATTACATTATATCCCTCTTTGTAAATTGATCTTTTTGTAATAAACAAAATTTTTCTAAAATTAATCATTGTAAATCAGTTGTTTCTAATCAGTTTATATTAAATACAGATTAACATGTACAGTTAGTTTTCTTCATACCTAACTATTTGTATTTTGAGTTTTTTTTATTTGAAGATTTCATGAATAAAGCATTGTTATTATAAGTAGTATTATATTCAAATATCTAACTTGATAATGTATAGACGTCCTAAGTTCTGTCCTATGTAATTTATGTAACCAGCTTAAACAACCAAATTAAACTGACTATAGAAAACTACCACTTGTATTAAAGGTACGTAGATGATATTTTTATCATTTATGACAACAAATATGATGAGTCATCTTCTAAATACGTTTAATAACTGTCATCCAGCAATAAATTTCACATTTGAAGTTGAAAACAAACAAAATATTCACTTTCTTGATGTGTGACTGACAAGAAAACAAGACGGAACTCTAAGCAAATCTATCTATAGGAAACTCATGTGGAATGGCCAACTATCAAGTTTCCACAGCTGGGTCCCCATTAGTCGAAAGAGAAACTTAATATTATCACTCGTTACGCGAATACAAAGAATTTGTAGTCCCGAGGCCACAGATGACGAACTGGGTATCTTGAAGGAAATACTTATCAAAAACGGGTATACTTCGATGTTCATTGATAAGAACATAAAACGGAAACCACCGAAAACAAACGACTTCAGTCGAAAAGAAAATATTATACATAAACATCGACTTTAAGGGTGATAGAGCCACATACATCTTAAAGCGGCGAATTACTGATTCTTTAAGAAGAGCGTTCTTCGCATCAACATTGGAAATAGTATTCTCCAGCTGATCATTGTTCACCAATAATCTTAAGGATAAATTATCGCATCTGACCAACTCAATGTGCATTTACCAACTTACCTGCTCATGTGGAGCCAGGTATATGGGTCGTTAGATGCGTACATTATCCAAAAGAATTCAAGAACATTATCTGGCGTGGCTAAATAGAGGAGGAAACGGCTCAATACGAAGCTCAATAATCAAACATCTTGTTAAAATAGGTCACTCAATCAAGACCGACTCTGAGTTCAAAGTCGTCCACGAGGTAAATAGAATTTTTCCAAAGACAATTAAATTGCATCTTCTTAGCATTGCTATAGCAATAGCCATACATCTGGGAAAGCCAAAATTGTGTGTCCAAAAGAGATTGGTACAACCTCTTCATCTACCATGGTCGAGCGTAAATGCTTAACTTCTAGACTACTGAACCGGCATCTATTGTTGTTAACGTCTAACTTCAACCAATCTACGATATTGCACGACCATCACACTCGACACGGTTGAACTTCACTGGCAACAGCTTCTCACTAGAATTCAGAGAATTACCTCTCGAAGTTAGTCACTAGTGAAACCAAAACTATTTCGGTATTGTCATACATAAATAAAAAGTCTAAAATAAAATACCATATCAAAGAGCGAAAGAAACATTAACTGACTTTAACGAAATTTGGTAAATATGTACTAATTGAATACAAGTTATGCGCCATTATTTCCCAATTACCAAGTTGACAATTTTCAATTGTTTCTTTACTCAAATGTTCAATTTGTTCTATACTGGTACGAATAAGAGCTAATGAACTCTCTAAATTTTGTACATTTGATGAATATGAATTAGTTCGTTTTGAATGATTAACACTGCTAACTGATACAATAGCATGATTTAAATCATTGAGTAAATTTTTAATAGTTTTCTGTATTTGATCACATGTAGATAAACCAGGAACATTTTGCCTGAAATAATAATAAGACTAAAGTGAGGAAAACAAAATAAAATAATGCGTTTTCAAAAATGATTTACATTTTCAATCAATAAGTTTTTTTGTTGGTATCAAGACATCGCAAATGGTTACTAAGATACGAAAATTGCAAAATGACGTTATAAATAGGCAGATAAAGAATAATATATAGCATCAAAAAAGAGGATGCAATCTTAAACACAGCTGACAAGCATTCACAACTTTTCGACAACCGTCATATAATAATAATAATAATAACTTCATTAGTGTCTAATGACAAACTCCCTTGGATTACTAAAGGTGTGTAGGATCTACCATTTACATGGAGATTTTATCATACAGCTACCCATTTAATAATTCCTATCATACAAACTGCGTTAAATGACTTCAAGTAAGAAACCATCATTACAATCAAGGAAGACTAAGAGTAGATGGTATTTGAAAATAAGATTAGACAGATGGTTCTTCGAAAACGTTTGAAGGATAACTTTAAATCTATAGTTCGCTTAAGCATAAAATCTAGAACGAACAAGAAAGATTTAACTAGACTATGGAGATGTAATTGTTGACAGTGATTTATTGGCTTACATGTTAGAGGCCCGAAGAGTTATCTGTTTAGCTGAATAGATATCCAAGAATAATCAATTGGAGGGTTAGTGTCTTAGAAACATATCTCCTTCAACCCACTATTGTAATTTATCATGTTTATTTTCAGGTAATATTTTTTATATTAGTGTGTCATTTTACTACATGAAAAACCCATTGATCTGTAAAATAATCTTGTCTTCAACTTCAAATAATTCGAGGCTTTGTCTCAATAACTCAGTCAAATAAGCAAAGAGCACACGGCCACAAGTCGGATCACTATTTATCATCTACTGAACAGAATTATTTTCAATTCATTTTACACTTTCATCACAAATCATAAAACCCTGCTTCATAACACTGATTTAACATGGACGAATAAACGGATTCGTAATTATTATAAAATCATGATAAGATATACATAAATCAATATTTTAAAGCATTTAATACTACTTAAGTAGCAAAATCGAAGCGAGATCTCTGAATTTCAATATTAGCTACAATCCAACTGTTCTATAAAAAATCTTTGAAACCATTAAATAAAAATTCATAAGTATCTGAAAAGGGATAATTTAGTACTCCACTTCCAAAGTTACTTAAAAGTAGGAAAAGCTAAGAAATACCAACCAAGACTGACTAACTAATTTTATTATTATTAACTCATTCAGCAAATACAGAACTGTGTACTTGACATGGAGACAAGCTCTAGATGTGAGGTCAGTGACACTAACTTGTTGGTCATATCGCAGTAGGTGGAGTGGGTTTATGGCTTGCAACTGTGGCTAAAATTCAAATCTCTTAACTAATGAGCCACTGAAATTAAACAATACTAACTGTTAAGTGCAGACTATGTTAGAAAGCAACTTAAATATGAGTCACTATGAAACTAGGTTTAAAAATTTATTTGAATATAAAAAACAAGATATACACTTATAATTAATTCAATGAACACAAGTTGAACATGTACACATTTATGTTTACAACTTATTAACTGCAACTCGCCGAACAAACAGGCAACAACAAACAGATAAATATGAAGATAAGTCATTCAATTTACCTTATCTAATACAATCAAGCTACTTCATATTGAGAAAAACTTGTTTATCTACTTAAAATACGTTTGAATGTAATAATCATAATTGGAATGAATAAAATACACTAGATACTGAAAGTTAAGCACGAAAACAAAATTAAATTAAAATAACGATTGAAATACATGGTTGTTTGTTTATTAGTAACAAATAAGACGACGATAAATGGAAAAAATTAATGACTATATATGAGGTAGTGACCATAAAACCAGATGTTGGTTGTATTTTTTTCTGCGACAAGTTTAACAGTGACAATGACATCAATTTCTAGTGAAAATAACTTTTAGTTGAACTGGTTACCACTAAATCATCAATAAAAACGGTTAACATGAATTATCATCTATGTGCATATGCGTATTACCAAACATTTTCTTGTGTTAAGAGTAGGATTACAAGTGTAATCATTAAAGAAAGATATGTATGCACGCGTTGATACATGAACATTATTAATATTTTCTGTTTCTAACATTTACTGCTTTTTATATAATTGGAATAAAAGTTAATCGTCTTATTGAGAGAATTTGGAACTATAATTCCATAGTTATGAAGCACACATTGACAGATTTTATTTTGATAATTATAACATCAGATTTTTCAACAAAAAAAAGAACATAGTTGCTTACATTAATTAATGAAGCTATTATGGCTCCAAAAAGTAACTTTATTGAAAGGAATACTAAGTAACTAACTCCAAGTGTAAACTTGGACATTACTTATTTACACTTGTTACCGCTCATAGGACGTATGCCATTTATCAGAGATTTCTAACCAACTTTGTTCTGGACCACCTATCCCAAGTATTATTAATTATTTTGATGTCTGCCTCTGTAATATGTTCTTTGATGAGAATTCTAAGATAGGGCTTGTTTTGCGATACAGTTTAATGATTTCTATAATGGGTATCCTCCTCACCTACAGTGTCTTTTACTGACTTCCTCGTCAGCTAATATTTGTATTAGATCCTGTTTGTTTATCGATGGTATTGCCCAGATTTTTAAAAGCTTCCACTTCTTCCAGAGACTCACCATCAGATGAGATTTGGTTTCTGCTTGCTGTGTTGTATTTCCAAATCTTGCCTTTTCCCTTATGAATGTTTAAGCTGACAACTATAGAGGTCACTGCTATATTGGCTGACTTGATCTGCATTTGTTGCTGAGTATCGGATAGAAGAGTTAAGTAATATTTAAAGTTCAAATCGTCCAGCTGCGTCTAAGCTGTTCATTGTGCCCTATGCACCTCCTAAGATATGGAGGTTTTCATTAAGTCAGAATAACGAGATGAGAGTTGAAAAACAAATACCAGGGTAACAGAAAAAGTCATAGTATCGGTGGTAGTTGAAAAAATACCACTACATCCTAGTTATAAAGTTACAACATTTCGCGGACTGATGTCACAACTTGGCATTGTTGCTCATGGATTTCCTCCATATTACTCCCACATCAACAAACATTGCGCTTCGAGGTAAGAGAAAAATAACAGACTCAAGCTGAAGATATGGACCAGTGAATTCCGACTTATTGGTTTGACGGTGCCATACTCATTAAGAGAACTTGAAGATCCTCAGTATCATTTGTCGTGGGATCACAGATACACATTGCTACAGAGTCCTCAATTATAACAATAACAACTGTTTAGTCCCGCATGGCTTATTTTGATTGTACTCAGGATGTTGTCAGTCAGTTTTGGAAAACTTGTATAAAATCCTAATTAAAAGTCAAAATAACCAGTAAAATCTCAGTTTCCTTCGAACGAAGATAATATAAAACATACTGACTTTGTGAATAAACCTATTAAATCATGTCCCATGGAAGTTAACTACAACAGCAATAACACAAAAACAAAGTTATCGAATATTTCACACTAGTGAATATTATCATCTAAACCTTTTCTGATAATACAGTACTCTACAACTAAAAAACTACTTACCGTAAGGTACTAAGTAGATTTAAACAAGATTCATGTAAATTATGTCGACCATCTTCAAAATTAGATAAACCAGTTCTATCATTATTAGCATTATTATTATCATTTAATTTTGTTTGTATATTCTGACAATGATTATCAATTATTTGACGACTGGAATCGATTAGATTTGCGATACATTTGGCAACAGTTTGTCCACATTTTAATACAGGTACTTGAAGCTAATATGTGGATCATGTGTATATGAAGTTAAAGAGAAGTAAGGAAAAAAACAGTGAAGGATGTCTTGAACGCATGAATGGATATATATATATATATATATATATATATATATATATATATATATATATATATATATATATCACATAAACAGGTAATAAACAAGAAATACATTGTAATTATTTATATGAACTATTAAGTATGACTATCACATTATAGGATGATTATTACTAACACAATCTAAGATAGTTAACTAATTCACTCTGAAAAAGGGGTATGGAGATTTGAACCAGGTAATTTTAAATGTTTAAAAACTCTATAAGTAAAATTAGCAAGCATTCAATTTCAGATTCATTTTTGATAGTTTTTACACAAGATCAAATATTTTTGTCACTCGCTTCGTTTAAATAGGATTGTAGATAATTATAAATAGATGTAGATGTCATTTCCGGACGAGAATAAAGGAAAAGTAACCGTTAGAAATTACTTAAGGTCAGTGAGATACAACGTAGGACCAAGCATATATATACATCGGTCCAGACTGTCACACCTCATTAGCACAAGATGAATGCTAGATTCATAGAAGTAGTTACTACAATGATAGTAATATATAAAGAAAGGTTGAGTATAAGGACATAATACAGGAAGAAGGAATTAGTTCGTAGAAAGAAAGGCGTAAAGTAATTTTAACTTCACGGTTTACGGGAAGACAAAGAGTCTATACACCTACGCCATTGTGATCGATTCTGAGCCATTTCAGTCAGTCTTCAACCATTGGTTAAGATAATTACACGGACCGCAACCAAGTAGTCTGCATCTACCAACATGGCTCAGACTAGAAGTCAGTGACTTCAAGCACTGATGCCACATTTTGGTTTCGCGACCCCTAACTTCCTTTCAACCGTCTTCAACATAACTCAGCACTGTGCGACGTGGTAATCGGTGTTCAGGCATACGTAACACGTGGCCCAACCATCTCATTCGATGAAGATTCACAACCTCATTAACTGATCTACCATCATTCCCTAATACCCTGCGCCTAACATCACTATTACTCACGCGGTGATCCCAGTAGATGCGAGCAATATTTCTAAGACATTAGTCATCAAATTCTAGTAGCTTACGAGTGTCTTCTACTCTTAATGGCCACGTTTCGCAGACGTAAAGAAGAACAGAGCAAACTATTGCACAGTATACTCGTCCCTTAATTTATAGATAGATATCTCGCCTTCACCATAGGCGAAGTAAGTTGGCAAAAACCAAACGAGCATACTGAACCCGTGTGGAGATTTCGTCAGACACCAACCCAAAAAGGGTGATTAGACTTCCAAGACAAGTGAGGTTGTCAACGCGTTCAACTACTTCACTTCCTATCCTTAGTTCTGGTGTTGACGCTGACCGATCCTGAAGAGACGATTTGCATTTACATGGGGAGAAACGCATCCCAAACATTCTAGCATTGTTTACTCAGTGCTATCAGAATGGTCTGCATTTTATGAGTGTCTTCACCAAACAGGACTATGTCATCTACGTATTCTAAGTCAATAAGTGAACGTCCTGGTAGGAGATCAATGCCCGGAAATTCAGTCGACGAGAATGTTATTTCCATCAGTAGTTCTATGATGAAGTTGAACAAAAATCGAGATAGTGGACAGCCCTGTCGGACACCACATGAGGCTGAAGAATCAAATGACAGTTTGCCATAAGCTCTGACTCGATTGGTAGTGTTTGAGTAAAGAGCTTTCGCAAGATTTATGTACTTCTGAGATGCGCCTTTCAGTGACAGGCACTGCCACAGAACCTCTCGGTCTACAGAGTTCAATGCCACTTTTAAGTCAAGAAAGACCACGATTGTCGGACGACGGTAAGCATGCCTGTGTTCCAGAACCTGATGAATGGAAATTACTTATGGACTAAAATTATACGCACATTCTTATGATATGACCATTAAGCGACTATATTATATGTATATTCATATTCCTTTCATTATAAGCTTTTATTTGACGTATTAAGAATTATCATACGATTTACTATTCTTGAGATAATCCCAATTTATTAGTAACAAATTCTCACAACCACAGCCACTTTTGACTAGATCTTCCACAAATGTTATTTTCTATTTTATGGTGTGATTTGTTTGTATGTAAACTCAGTAGGATTGAAATATATGATTTATATCTCGGGGGCGTCATTAGTTTGGTTGTATAAGTCAGTGTATCTAAATTGGCAACCGTATTTCGAGATATCGTACGGCATAAAAACATAACAGTAGACAAGTTTCAATGTGATCATTGATATTAAAAGCTCTGATCTTCATTTTTACCTAGTGAAAAACTTAGTGTGTAATATTGGAGTTTTATCATTGAAAGTCAATTTAAAGATAAGCGTCCACGGAGAGACATGAATGTCCTGGGTGCTCAACGGTGAGGAGTCTCATACCAAGACAAACCAATTGTTCAGTGCTCTTTGGTCTTTTAACTTATTTATTTGTTTATTTAATGGCTTTATTCAATATCATAATTTGGTGCAATATAGAATTCTCAGCACGACTGAGATTAATCAGTTACGAATATAACGTAGAAAAGTACTTACTAGATGTTATACATTCTTTCGTATTTCGAACAAACAGAGTTTGATAAAGTGTGTTAAGTAGTTATTTTATGGAGTTCATTTAAAATACAAATTTGAACACAGTGTTATCTTAATAATTAATCTTAAACTATATATTGTTTTAACAGTATAAGAATTAAGTAATATTTCAGAGCTCAAGTAGGCAAATAATAAGTACTTCCGTTAAGATTTTTCACATATAGATTTATTCATATATAACCGATTGAAAAAGTATGTTGCTAGGTCATTTAAATTTATTAAGAATAGAGTTTGAACGAGGCATGATAAACACACAAACAAGTGACATGTATTTCCAATCCGATGAGTCATGAGATAAACAAACTGGCGGGATGCATCCACCCAATCATATATTCATCCATCAGTCAAGGAGTGAGTCATTAAAAAACAAAAGAACTAGCGACTATTGTTGATATACCAGATTTTTGTGTATGAATACAGCCTAGAGTGAAGATCAAACTCATTAACCGGGACGTATAAAGAACAAAAAACCATTTATGATCACTTAAATAAAACATTTTAAAAATCCTTAAGTATATAGTGTATTTTATGTCCAGACATTACTATGAACTCAGTATATAGAACCAAACAGTATACTAAGCCTTACCGAAACATTAGTTACAAACCGTAGCAAGTATAGGGCTAAAACAAAACTTTACCAAAAGACTAATGTCTACAAACAGAAGATATATTTGTCAAAGATAACAATTTCTTTCATTATCCAACATTATTTCAAAGTAGATCAAATCAGATAATAAAAACACAGTGTAGACGATAGCTGATAAATTCGGAAATAAAATTATTACGGATTACGATCAAATAATAGTCATCTTACACGCATACAACCAACACGACGCAATGAAATATTATTATTAATGTTGAAGACATACCTCGTAAGTTTCTTCAGCTAAATGAGCAGGTGAACCGGCAGCATCACGAAGTAATAAATCAATGTATTGATCAACATCAACTTCTAGTATAGATGATGCTGAGCATAGTTTTTGAATTATATCGGTCGTACCAGATGTTGGATTTGTGCTACGTGAAGTTTTAATTATATTAAATACAGAAGCAGCTGATCGTGCAACATGTTCCAATGACTGTAAATAAATATATAAAATGAATAATAAACTATTAAACACTATTATATTATCAGTAGTAAACGACGAGGCGAATAGTCACAATTAATTGTAGTGCGAATGTCACATGAAATTGATTTTATTTCCAGTCGTGTGTGTTATGTATTGATATGTTAAGAAGGATTATAGGTACTTGATTGTATAATATTGTAAATATGTATCCACACAGTAAGGTAATGAATTATTATTGTTATATCCAACTTAATTCAATTTAGACAAATCTGACTGTTAATCTAACTGTAAATAAATCATAGAAAATGTGAAGTATTCTTAAATCACTTTGATTTGTTTTGGGAGTCAAATAAATCTATATCACCAGACTTCGCACCTTTGTCGAAGGCGTTCAAGTTGCTCTGTAGATTCAGTTCAAGGATATTAGAAGCGACCAGAAAATCAAATCGAGCGTTCATTAATAAGATTTTTCAGTAAGCGAATAATTGGTTGAAGTTAGACATTAACACCGTTGGATGCCGACTCAGTGGTCTAGAGGTTAAGCGTTCGCGCGCGAGACCGATAGGTCCTGCGTTAGGACCTTGCGTGGCGGGATCGTGGGTGCGCACTGCTGAGAAGTCCCATATTAGGACGGAACGGCAGTCCAATACTCCCAAGTTTTCCGTGGTAGTGTAGCTGCAATCGACTCATGAATTCAACCACTGAATATTTATTTAACAACTGTATAAAATTAGCTGACTTTCATATGTTAAGTCGAAGTCTGTATGGACTAAGTACAGTAAATCAGATATTTATTCATAAATACGAAGACTATTCGTGTTAATGAATTAAAAGTTTATGATTCTATCTAGAACAACAATGAGTGTCCAAGTTGGATCATCCCATACAGAGAAGAGAAAACATCACCAAAAGTGAAATAAATTACTTGCAAAAAAGGTTCATATACCATTTGTTCCTTCAGGATCCCGTAGCCTATGTGCACCATCAGTTCGTAATCAAAATTTTCCAATTCCTCTCAACTTCGTAGAATAACACCCTAACAGCGAGAAGGCAGTGAACAAAACTTCCCTGACAGTGGCTATATACTCATGGTCACATGAACATATCTCGAAAGGGAGAGTTCTCTTATCCCACCATCAACAGTACCAAGGCATTTGATTTTATATGACATGCGATACAATAAACGTGAGTGATAACTCAGTAGTTTATCAAAACTAATTTAAAGTACAGCGAGTAAAGTCCTTAGTTAGGTATTAGACAAGCTTGTGAGATAAATGACTCTGCAATCTAGACTTCTTCAGAATCCTTGCATGTTATATTAACATTAAAATTGTCCTTGATATTTTGAGAGATCGCATAAAATGTTCGATACATGTATACACAGGAATAAAAAAACCCCATATGTAATTTCTTATTCTAAAGCACTTATTAACATATTAATAATGCGAATTCATTACATAAAAAGTGCTTACATCAGCTAAACGTCTTTTTTCAGATAGATTTTTGATTTCAGACAAATAAGGTCGTGTTGTTTGACATAATTGTGTAGCTCTTTGTGCTAAATGATTAGCAGTAGCTAAAATCTACAAATCAATAAAAAAAGGCGATGATTATTAGAAAATGCGACAAACATTCACCAGAAATACAACTGTAGATCAAAAAATAGCAGAATAAATAATTGTCACGCAATAATAAAACAATAAAATAGTACCATATTTCCGTAATGGCATTCTCTAATAAGTCAGCTTTACCAATTATTTCATTCACAGTAAAATATATATTGTTAGTTTATCAATTCTATATTTCTTCTTTATTAAGGCATATTCGGTACTTTACTACTGTTGTGTTATACATTACATGGCTATTGTGAGGCAGCACAAGTGAAAATGGATAAAAAATACGATTAAATAGTTCATTTAGTGAATAAAGCTAGAAAAACACACTACATTAATTGTTCTTACTTTGGTCGGGCATAGCAACGGTAGCTACTTAGTAATTGATAACATCAACACACATGGAACTCGATAAATGTTGTTTCGCTGAATTAAATCCTTTGAAAATTTAAAACTAACTTTGAAAGCAAACAGAATTATGTATTAATGTAGTATTGACAACAAGATTTTTTAGAAACTTGGAAAGAGTAAACATCAATTGTCAATTAACAAACTGAGCTAAGTGGTTCAACACTTTAAATTATTCGTGAAGTGATTAGCTGTTTGTTAAAAAAGAACTATAACCCTGTAGCTATATAAATAAATAAATAGTATTTTGCCAGTGAATGACACTTTTTTTTATTATCGACAAGCGTATAATGTACAAAATATTCAAAAATCAATAGTCAAAACGTTTCCTCATCCATTTAAAAATAAACATACTTCTAAAGACGGAAGTCCTTTGGATGAAGCTTCATTTTGAGATTGGCATATTTCGCTAACACTTTTACGAATAGCTGCTACATGATCATGTATCGTAGTCAATTGGTCAGATGACCTGAAACGAGTCACATGACCTGGTCGTGAAGCTGGATGTGCTGCAGCAATGAGATAAGCAGCTTGATAAGTAATTTGTACTAAATGGTTGGTGACTTGTGCTAAACCTTTGACAGATTGGATGAATAATCCAGCTTTATTATCAGTTATAGATGACGGTATTTCATTTAAATGTGTATTAAATTCCTTAAATCAATTAATTCAAAGATAAATAATACAAATGTTAAATTATATTCACTAATTAAAATGTATTGTTGATGAAGAACAAAGATAATATAGCGAAGAAAAACTTCATTTCAACCTGATACATTCTGTCTGCATGAAAGCCAAACGAATCTGTACCAATGATACAACCGTTATAGAAGTTTATAGACAGCATTAGATACTCGTCAACAATGGATATTCACCTAGATTCACTGAATAAATTCTGAAGCCAAAACAAAAACGCGAAAGTGTCTATATCACTAAAGAGGACTCTCTTAATAGAAATTCCGTTTAAAGGAGATACTGCAGCAGGAAGTTTGAAAACAGACTTTGAGGTCTCTGAGGAAAAACATTCCATTGGGTTGAACTTCGTAGTCTTCTTTAGTCGGACTATGATTGTTAGTTGCATGAAGGACAAGCTCCTACTTTGGGTTAAATCAGTGTGTATCTAAGACTTCGTTTGATCATGTACAACAGATTATAGTGGCACCACAAAGCGAGTTCATTCGGAACGCGCCTTCGAACATTAACCTGATTGGCCATCTAAAGGACTGCAAAAGTCAATCAAAAGCTCGATTCTGAAATATCTAGTTGATTCTAGTCACTTTCCTTAAACTGAGTCCTTAAAAATTATTCACAGTTTGTAGAATCAGTTCTAAAATAATACAAATAAAAAACTTATGTAAACTAGAGGGCATAGCTACCCGCTAATTCATTCTTTCATGGTCTTGATCTTTCTCTATATTTTCCATAATATATGGGTTTTCTTCTACTCCTTCCCAATTATTTTCCACAACTATTAATCAACCTACATTATCACAAATTTTATTTATTCTGTTTTTTAATAGCTATCATCAAGTGGACAAATACCTTCATTATACGATAGAGAAGTACAACATAACTTCCTCTCAGTATTTCAAAATTGTGTAAAATTGGTGACGTGATACTGTAGTGGCTGGTCCTATGTTGAGCAACGCTTAATTTAAGTGAGTTGGCTCACATGCCTTCTTCACCATGCATCATTTCGCCTCGCTCCCTTCTCTTTGCTTCGTTTCTCCGATCTGTCACAGCAACAGAGATTTACTTACGCTATTTTCCTACGAATGATAAGTCTACAGTCACTTCAATGCGCAATGGTCTAAAGCATATACAGTTTAAAACATGTATTAACAGTCACTGAATGACGAATATTAATATAGAAAAGATCAATATCCTTCAAATAAATGAATAAGATTAGGAGAGAAGCATTGTATTTAACAAATACTCCATCTTACAATTTAGATTTGTTATTTTATTTAACAGTAAAGTCGAGCAAACTACACATCTTACCTTATCAATATCGCATACTGCATCACAACATTGAGGATAATTCAAATCATTGATTGGTAAGAGTATAGGACAAAACGTGCTATTCCTATCTGCTGTTTCAGGAGAATTCCCTTTATCTTCATTGTACACATTTGGATGTATCAAGCTGTCTAGTCGATGGAGTAATACATCACATTGATTACGCATATGCATAGACGTTTCAGTCAATTTGGCTTCATTTTCACTATTATTGTAATTGCTTATAGTTAGTTGACTGTTATCATCATCATCATCACCATCATTTTGTTGAACACCATCGTCCATACGAGATGAAAATGTTTGTTCTTTAGATGTCACAGCCTTTTGATCTAATTCTAAAGCCCAATCTCTTAATTTTCTATGTAATAAATCAATTAATTTAGAAGTATACAATGAAATGTCGACAACCTAATACAAAATCTTTGAGGCAGTATGAAACAATCGATTATAAACATGCCAGTATGAATATATCAGCGAAGGCAAAATCTTATGCACAAAATGCTAGACAAATATCCATATACGACCAATGATATTTCATACTTTAAATTTTAAAAGCAACAAATAGTAAGTTTTATTCAAGGTGCTGCTATTTGGCAAACAAAACTTAATATGAACAGATTGTAGTCAAATTGACTTGATCTAAAAAGAATAGCAACTAATCGGGTAATTGGTTGTTCGTCAGTAAAATTATTTAGCTTGTTGTATCATTCATAAATAGCCTTCAGGGAACTAAGCTGGCAGTTGGATTTAGAGCCGCGTCATTTATTTTCACATTCAGAGAAATTACGATTCAGATCTTACCTATTTTAGCCTATTACTCCTATTAGGAAATAGGCCCCCTAACAGAGGTATTTAGACCATAACTGACTTTATTTTCTAATTAAATAAATCATTTACTTCAGCACAAACATTTGATAAGGAAATCAAATCACCACTACGAATAACGAATGTGAATGAATAAAAATGGATAAAACAAAAATATAAAATATGAAAACAGTGTTAAAATATTCTCACAAAATTTACAACTTCATTTCTTATTTACTGGTTAGATGAATTCCCACTCAAAATACAAATCATTCATTAAAAGTTCACACTAGTTTGTTATCTCTTTTGAACTTGAAGACATAAATTAATTAAAAGCCTAAAACAAAGATACTTCTGTCTTACAGTGATAAATTTGAAGATAAAATCTCTATTTGAAAAACAAAATTAAAACTCAGTGCTTTTAAACCATATGCTCGCTGTGAAGCATAAAAATCTTCGCTTCAATATACAACAGGGTTCTTTATTAGCTGTGCACCAATGTGGAGTTTCAAAGTCAGAAAAAAGCAGATCTCCGTTATTTTAATCGTTTAAAGATCTTCATCAAATTAAAAGACTAATATTTGAACAAAGAATATTCTTTTCGTTAAACTCTCTTCAGATTCTATTTTTCAATCTTCAAAAATTAGGTAGCTTAAGTCATCTTATGATATATACTAGGAAAAACAGGATTACCATTGATGAAAATGTATGTGCATAAATTGAAATGAATAAATTTAATCTGTAAACCTAGAAAATTAGAACATTTAAAAAAATTACCTTGTTTAATTAGTTATTCATTATACTTTGTGATAATAATCACTTTTTAATTTTGCCGAATTGTTAATGAATTCAATGGTTTGAACGAAGCCTTAATATATATATATATATATATATATATATATATATATATATATATATATATATATATATATATATATAATTGCATAATGAACTAAATCACTTTTGACCACACAATCATAAATGTGGATATCAAAGGTTTTTGAATCATAGATTATAAAAGTATATATACATATAGACTGGAATTTAGACAAACTAATTATAATGTATGCAAATAAATTTGTGAAATGTTTATATACGCTTAAAATGGTAAAGAAACAGATTAGATAGATAAAAAAGAATAAACAAAATCAGTTCACCTATAATGCATCAGTTTTTCTTTCATTTGTTTTTGATCAAACCAACAAAAAAAAATTGAAATGATCATTTCTGTTAAAATCATCATTAGTAAGAGTGAGATGTATTGTTAAATGTCATTTGTAAATTAAAGATGATCGGAAGATTTGACGGCACCATTATCGGTCAACTGGTTTCACAGTACTGGACGGCGTGATATCATGGACTGATTAAAGTAAGACATTAACACCGTCCAACATTAGCTCAGGAGTCTCATACTAGAACAGAAAGACCGTCCAGTGTTCACACTTTTACGGATAATTTAAAAAAAGTAATAAATGAAACGTCGGCTAATATTGTAAAATGGAAAAAAATAATTCTAACTGCAATAAAAATCAAGCTACTTACAATAATGACTTGGCAAGTGTTAAATTTGCTGACGGTATACCAGAATCATTTTGACTTGACTCTAAGGTACGCATTGCATATTGCAGTCCATAAGCAACAGGTTCAGCCGCTTGATTAAAATTATTTAATAAATGACCAATAGAACGTAGTTGTGCACTACGATAACCAGCAGCACGTACTACGTCAGCTACGGCACCAGTCAATCGATCAGCTATACAAGCTAATAAAATTAGATTACTCTGTGAACCAAATGATGATTCAATTTGTGATGGTTTCATTTTACCAGAAACTTCATAGCTAACACTTAAACAAGTCTAAAATGAAGTACGAAAAATAAAAAAACCTTTTATAATTAATAAGAAATATGTATATAGTCATCGAAATCTTACAAAAATTATGAACGCATTGAATAACTTTGGAGTACTATCAGTATATTCACTTTTATACTATTATTTTCAGTAATATATCTACACTGTCATTTGCTTGTTTTAATGATCTGACAACTAATTTACATGGTTCGACATTATACAATGGAACAATTAATTGATTATAAGATATCAATATGCTAGTAAAGCAACGATAATTCACCTGCTGTCACCGCCTAAAAACACTACCTTCAGTGATTTCGATATGTTTTACGAATATGATACCACCAGCTTTCATACAACACATTATTTCAAGATACTGGGACTGAGAAGGGAAGATGAAGTAAAGTAGGTAGCTTTATTTTATCAAGAGAGTACTGACAATCAAGAGAAGAAAATAATACAATTCAACCGAAATATCAATTCGGTGAGGAAATTAGTTTTATACTGAAACTAAAAAAGTGTCCAACATTGAGTTGACTCGATAAAAGTTGTTAGTCATGCAGTTACCACACTATCGGCATTTTCGCTAATTGCTGTAATAATTCAGTAATTTTGTCAATACATATCCATTCAATTGTACAAAACTTAAAGGAATTTATTAAAAATCCAATCAACAAAAGTTGCTTATCCTATATTTAATTGATGAGGGGAGATAAATGCTGTATAATTAAAACTTCTTATGCAAACATGTCAATTACGCAAATAAATATTTAAAATTTCAAAGATGATTTACACTAAAGAGAAGTATTTAGATAAGACAGTTAATATGTGTGATAGGAGAAGTGAATCGATTTTATTATTATAATAGGTAATAACTTGAACAATTACTTTCAACCATCTAATAAACAAACAAATAATGCTGATTCCTTTAAACTGGTGCCCTCATTTCATATTACTCGATACAATCCGAACAACCCCAAGTTCTATACAAACCAGATAATGATTAATACCTACTCATCAAGTAGTATATGCATTTCAATCTTACAAGAAATCATTGGTAACTTCTATGACTGAAGCAATGAGTCTCGGTGATTTCGACTCCACGTGAACCATCAGTTTCTTTAGTATTGCCGATAGGCATTGGTGACAAGTGCCAGTTAGAACCAAATCTAGGTGTAACATTTCCTGTCAACAGTCCTTCAACTACTTAATATTAATAAACGTCAATGACAGTTAAGTATTCAATCGAATAGATCAACATATATCTCACTTCCGAAAGAATAATTTTTGGTAATAAAAATAAAAATATTTTGATTACCAAACAGAAATAAAAGAACATTTACATTTCTAATATCAATCAAATAGTAAAATGAACAACAGTGTTTTTTTTTACTTTAAAATAAACTTATTTACACTGTCAATTCAGAAAGCTGAATATCTATACAGAACTGACAATTTTCATTTGTTTATTTTTCTCTTTATTCCTTTATAAATATTTATCTCATTAAAATGAAAAAAAGCGAGATATAACTATTTATCTGTGAACTTTAGATATAAACATTGAATTTTGATCTATTTATTATGCTAATAACAAAATATTGTAGAAAGCCAAGTGACAATAATTCTGATTAAACTTACACGGGCGAGTTGCTTAGCTGTTTCACTCATTTGTTCATAAATATCTACAAGTGGTAAATTTGATGAACGCATAAGTATGGCTGGAGGTGATAATTCATATGAAGATAATTGGTTAGAATCAGATTTTTGGCTATTAGTTAATTCTGAGGTTTCGTTTGCTGACATTTCCACTATTCTAGAAGCATCTTGAAGTAGTGCAAATAAACGTCTTACAGTCACTTCACCAGGAATATAACCTAATACAGCATTAATTGATGTATTTAACTGTTTAAAGATTAAAAACAAGAAATATCATTAAAGATGAGAGATATATATAAGAGTTCATAATTAAGCAATTTTATACAAACAAAAATTATACGAGAAGTATGTTTATCAAAAGATATGTTTAAGTCATAAATAAATCCTTTACCATAGAAATCCAGTCAACAGTGTCAAAAACGGAATGATTCCAGTCATTATTAATAGTGATATAAACAACAGCTCCGTTTAACAAATTAGTACCAATCTGAACTGGATCGACTAGTGGATAATCCGCAGAGCATCTGCAGCAAAAATAAAAGGTTCGAGTCCCGGTAGGAGATATTAACACCTAAATCCAAATGCATTCAGCCAAACCGTTCTAAATATGATGAAACACGCGTTTATGATTTTATCACTAGTCGAAATCCATCTACTTTACAAAAATATCATTATATTTGATAGTATCATTACATTACGAAGTCATGTTATTCATAAATGATTATCATTACCAATAATCTTGACTGTTAACATACACAAATCTGAACTGAGAAGTAGAAAAGAAGTACTTGAACACCATTAATTAAATTTCATTTAAACTGCACGATTATGTTCAGTAATTAGTACAGTATTGACAGAATACCAATTGCTCTAATTATCAGATAGTTCTGAGTTACAGTGATTGAAAAATTAAATGGACGTTTGTCACAAAATGAGGACAAATGCAGAATTACAATTTTAAAAAAATAAATTAATATTTCAATGAGTTGATCAGAGGCAATGAAACAAGGACGTGGAAATATTGTTTCTTTCATTTAATAAACAACTTTAACAATTCATTTTTTTCATTTCAGTGCCTGTTACTCCTCGTATAGGAGCATAAGAAGCCCACTAGTACTCTCCATCCTACCCTGTCCTGGGCAATCTATTCCAGTTGTTATCCATCCTTTTCATATCCGATTCTGTTTTCCGACGTTATGTGTTCTTTTGCCTTCCTCTTCTCCTCTTCCCTTCAGGATTCCAAGTTAGGGCTTGCCTCGTGATGCAGTTTGGAGATTTCTTCAATCTGTGTCTTAGCCACTTCTAGCGTTTTTTTTCTGATTTCCTCTTCAGCCGGAAGTTAGTTTGTTGTCTCCCACAGAAAGCTGTTCCTGATGGTATCTAGCCAATGGATGTTGAGTATCTTGCGTAGACAACTAATTATAAATACTTCAACCTTCTTGATGATGGTTGTAGTAGATCTCCGCGTTTCAGCTCCTTACAGTAGGACTGTTTTGACGTCTGCAATAAAGATTCCGACTTTGACACTGGTTGGCAGATGTTTAACAATGTTTGAACAAATATACAGACTGATTTTATATTCAGAGGTCATTACAAACTATTGGAAGCAAAGCCATGGAAAAAGATTCATCTGCTGAACTCATGATTTTATAATTCTTTCTATTTTTTATCACGAAAGTAAGACAAAGGAAGGAAATGATATACAAACCATTTCAATCATGTTTCAAATAGTGACATTATACAATTGCATTCATAAAGAAATCTATTTTTGTATTTCGATAGGCATCTTTATCAAACTGGCTGTGTAACTGATACTAAGGACTAGATGTTAAACTATAGGATGGACAAAATAAGGTGTTGATCAACAAGTAATTGACATATATTAATTTATCTCAATTTGTAAATCTCAGGCATTTGGAAAGATTAAAAGAAGTCACTGTTCATCAATGTTTACAAACGGAACATGAGTTTATGCTGATTGATAAATTATATAGATAAGAAAAAATGAACCGAAGTAGCGGGATATAATATAAAAGAAGCAAGTCAATATTAACAATAAAATAGTTAAGAAAATTAAATATGACCGATAGTCAAAGCTGATTGATAGATAAAGGGAAAGTTAATTTTATAGTAAAATATTTCTGAGTTACACAAACACACTATTTAAATCGAGTAGTTATTTTACTATGAACACCCAAGTAGGTGTGAGGTATAGTGGTTGAAACATTTAGTCAGTTGCAACGTAGAAACTGGTACGCATTTACATAGATTCAAGTTGCCATAACCCATCTGCAGAATCAGATGTAATTGTCAGGTTAAAGACCAGAATAGTTGAGGGAGTAACAGTATGAGTGGTGATTGAAAAGACTAGAGATCGAAGATATGACTCAAGAAAATATAAATAAGTGAAGTAAAAATAGTAAAAGGAGTTATTAGGAATTAAGAAGCTAAGAATTTGGAGGAAGAAGGAGAATGAATACATCCAAATATCGCAGGTTTAAAACCTAGAACACCTATATTGATTTATGCAACCTAAGTAGCATTAGTACCACTCTGATGAATCAATACGTCAGTGATAACCAACATAATACTAGGCAAAAATGTGCATCAACATAAATTGTCACAATATAGAAGCACACAGAGACGAATTCAACACAAATAGTTTAGCATAAATTCGAGTGCAAATCGCATTATGAAAAGTTGATCATTTACAAGTAATAATAAATAATTAAAACAAAACAACAACAACCAGATACTCACCTGATCAGCAGTCACTCCAGCATCTTGCAGTTCATCATCGGGAATAGTCGTCTGTGAATTGTGTCTAAGTGCCCATGTAATAAGTTGACCACAGGCAACAAGACATGTTTCAGCTATTGACATTAAATTCTGATGCATAACATTTGCAGTAATTTGAGTTTGCTGTTCTGAATTTGTTAGACTTGAATTAGTATTATTTTGTTCTATCACGGTAGAACAAGCAGATATACTGCTTTGACGTTTTGATGCAACACCGTGTGATACATTGATGACTCGAGCTAAATCTTATTTTTGAAGAAAAAAAACGAACAAAACAAAGACAATGAGAGAATATCGAAGGTATGCGCGAAATATCACATAAAAAATGTCATCATATGAGAAAATTAAATATTTATCTAAATTACTAGAAACCGGCCATTTCCAACGAATGTTTGAGCAACCTTCCGCACAACTATCTGTTCACAGTAGTTCCCATTAGATACGAGTGGTATTTGTACATTACATTTATCTACCATATTAAGGAAAGACACTTGCGTTGTTAATCACAGCAAATTTTCAGAGAATACTTTTATCCTGGTAAATGATTTTCGTGAAGATAGTTACCTTAAAGAACAATATGTGTAGTTGCATTGTTTTAAATTAACGTATCTGACTGGGTCAATAGTACATATTATTTGAGTAATAATTTGTAAATCTGTCTTCTCACTAAAAAACCTTTATTTAAGATTGTTCCTTTCAAGTGACGTGAGGTTTGAAGATTGAAAATCTGGGGTTTTCTATGTGACCAGAAAGAAAAAACAATGATTTTAATGAATGATCCAAGAGAGTGAATATTTCCTACGCCTGACATCTATTTATGCTAGTATCATATGTCAAGGGAGCTGAGGTATCGATAGCATTGATCTTGTTCGATCGTGCTAAAATTCCATTTTTGGGAGCAAGCATCTCCATATTGTGGCTCTGATTGCGGTGAGTATTGTGTCTAGGTATACAGCTTGTAGCTAGAACTCATAATCAGTGAGAATATACAAAAAAAGTATACATGATGAATATTTTTATAAGGATTATCTAGACAGCTGTAATTGATATTATGCCAATATTGTTGTAACAGTGAATGAACTTGCCGTAAACACTGAATAAACGCATTTCTGTGTCACTATTCATTTACTAGTTCTGGATTGTTAGTTGGGAATAGTTACTTACACTATATTTCATTCTCCATAAGGACGTCGATACTCCGACTGTGACATCATATATTGACGTAGACAGTAACGGACTATGGATGTTCCTATCTTATTTAGTCAGTTCATCTGACTGTTAATTAATTACGCCAAACAAAACATTGATAATACTTGTAAATTATATGTTCATCTTATAAACACTACAATGAGTAGAAGGGAGTTTACTGGGCTGATCATATGGTATGGTGAAAAAACTGTAATAGCCTGATAGCCGACAAAGAATAATAATAATAATAATAAAACATGACGATCAGGAGAACGTATAACTCTGTAGCAAAGTAATCGTTTTTTTCTAAACTTACTCGAATCAACTGTTGTTGACTGAGCTGCATTATGAAAATATCTAGCTAAACTACGTATACCGCGTAGTACGGGTCCAAGGTGATACAACAATTCTTGAACAATATTTAATCTGGATTGCATCATTTTTTTCATATTACCTTCATAATTATTACATGTCTCCTTGATACGTTCAATTAACGGAGGAAATTTATGCCAAATTTGTTCTAATTGATTATTTGAATTCACATAATTATTATCATCCGGTAAAGTGAATACTTGATTATAATCAGTTATTGCAGACCATAATGAAACACAGATTGAATCAAGCTGATAATATGAACAAAAATAAATTTGGAAGAGATAAAAATATAAAATGAATAAACAAACCTTTTTCACAACCACGAAAAGTAGTGATTGAAAAGAAAACAAAAATTAATTGCTTTTTTTAGAATTAATTGTTTAACAATTACGAAGTCAATATTTCCAAATACCTAGTTCTACTGCTCCTAGGATAGGAGTTAAATTGATTAAAATTAAGTAATAGATGGGAGAGAAAGTAATAAGTAACATTAGAGAATTCCTTGATCACAATTAATACACGTATAGATACACATATAAAGTATAAGAGCTGACTTTAATTACTTCTTTATTACATATACAAGGAGTAAAAGATTGTCAGCTCTAGTGGATGCATTACAAGTTGTTGAACTAAACAGATTAATTAGGAAGCTTTCATCGTTATTCTGAATAAAATCATCATGACCTACTTTACGTACAATTGAGCTTCTAACTTCTGACTATACGTTATTCACTCTTAAGAAACTCTTCAAAAGTGTGAGAAATACATTTAATCGGTTAAATTCCAGGAACTGAAGTAACTATTATTTGCATGGCTTATCTATCAAACTCAGGAAACCAATAGTAATCATCGAACTTGATTAGTGCTCCAAAATCGCATAGAGGTATAGAATCAAACAACGATCTCTGCATATGAAATTACCTAGAAGTAAGCCCTATGTCATATAATCCCTTGCTATTTGTTTAGTGACCAAGGTCCACAGACTACTAAGAATTTAGGAGTTAGTATTGCAAGAATCCGATGGTCAGATGTACTTACAATTTGCAGTTACTTTTTAAAAGAAATAACAAGTGGGAATAAACACTGCAGAAAAAAATAATTGGAACAAGTAATAATATCAGATAGTTTGAAAACTTACTGTTTCATTTGGTAACAAATGATAAGATGGATCGAACAACTCTGTTCGTAACTGTTCAATAGCTGTTGATATTTTAACTAATTCATTCGCCTCCACATCACCAATATGATAATCTGATTCACTTAATCCATTCGACTGTGATGTCTTTTTTCCATTCATTAAATGATATAATTTTTCTGATAATTCAGGAGGTTCATTGCCAAGTACAGATTCAGAATTAGCAAAACATAAACGAAGATCAGTTAAACAAGCTTGAGTATTTCGTGTCACATCAGTTAATGCCGACTGGACACCAGAATCTTGAATTGTTGGTGCAACTGCATCAGCTGATCGTAATAAATCTTCTAAGCACTAGAATACGGTTAGAGAGAAAGAGTGTGAAGAAAAGAATTATAGATTAGCAAAGGAGAACAACAATGAAATAGTACTAAAAACAATAACAACAATGTGAAAGATCATTTATCTACACTTTTTTAAAAATAAATAAACATCTAGGTAGAGCAGACAGTTCATTGTTTATCAATTATATATTGAATCAATAGAAAAGTTATGTGCACACTAGTTGTGTTTTATATGGGAAAATAAGTCACACTTGCATCCTTTGATGAATAGGTCAGATAAATAACCCCAATACAGAAAAAAATATACATTAATGAGTAATTGTGTGTATAGTGTAGAAAATAAAAACAGGTGTTGACCTTCACGAGAAGTAACAGGCGTAAGTTGACCTTGAACTGTAAAATATTATAAATTATTCAATGTTTCATGTAAGGATGATCGAAATAAATACGATGTACAACATTGATATAAACAGAATATAAAATAAAAGTCAAATAATGAATCATCATCTTTGATTAGATTATGGAATAAATAAAAGTTTTGGTAAACACTTTTTTTTTTAATTATGATCCTTTTGGCTTCAGATTACAATCAACAGAGAATATTAAATATTTTCTTCAGGAAAGTAAATTCGCTAATATTATAACCTGATAAATGTGCAAATGATGAAATTGAAAATGTTCCAGTTACTCATCCATACAGGTTTGCTTGCATTGAGGATTTAGAAAAAAAAAGTAGTTCATTGAAAGAAAAGTATTACGAACATTTTGCTTAGAATGAATATTGATATGTACGAATAGAGTTCATATAATTATTGTAAAGTGATGGCCCGGTTATTAGGACATTTGACTTTTAATCACTATTGAAGAAACAACACATTCCTCAACGCAATTTAGCTTCGGTAACCGAGTAGTACTATTGGTTATCAAAATTACAATGTGATCCAAAGCTAAGTACACAATTCTTTTTGATAAATGAATGAAATTAATTATATAAACATTAGATAAAGCTGTTAATTTTGAGCATACAATAAATTGATATAACTGCAAATAACATTATAGTACAAATCCTCAATTTCAATTCGAAATCTTTTGAAAGTGAGGAACAATACAATAATAGGATAGAATTCGCAGATGAGCCACAAAATAATCTAAGGATAATTTACCTAACGCGAAATTATATGGCAGCGAAACAGTCATAACGGCTACATGTTTAGGTGTTTATTTTGGAAACACCTTCACGCAAAAATAAGACGACTGGAGAAAACTAGTTAATGCCTCTTATTTTAGATAGAGAGTTCTGGATATTAATGGATTTTTTTAGTTTTATGTTACAGACAGATAAGGTCATTGATGCGCTTTGCTATGTAGTCTGATATTAAGATGAAGTAGCTGTCCAGAGTCTCCTAGTTTTCAATGGTTGTATAAGTGAAATAAATCCTTGGTGTAAAGAATCTACCAAGTGGTTGAAATTTCGCATCGTTAAACTAACAAGTTACTGTTCTACTTATTATAATTAACAGTAAAATAGGAAATATGTAGATCGTTTAGTTATAATTATATATTTTGCAATTAAATACTGACAGAAATATACACTACTAGCTAAGAGACATTAAATTGATTAATACATCAAGCATAACATCAGAATATATTCTGGATATCTTAATAATCAACTCCAAGTATATTTAACCGACTTTCATGCAAATCTGAAGGCTAGTGCCTTAAACAAAGTACGTATTAGGATGAGGCATTAATATTTCATCTATCCTTTTGACTACATAAATAAAAATACTATAACAAAAGATGACGACAAAGGATGTTAAGTTTTAATTTCTTTCCAATTTACACAATATACATTTAGATAAACGTAAGTAAATTTACTCATTGACAAACAAAAAGATTGCGAACAAAAGCTTTCATTTCTAGCACTACGTAAAACTCATGAATCGTTAAATAGGACAAACTTTCCATTTTTTAAATTCAATATTAATAATAATAATAATATGCAAATTAAATTAACATACCTTCATTAAATTTTGCGATGCAGCAAGTAAATTAGCTTGATTTTTTACATCATACGGTTGAACACGAGCAATGTTACAAGATAAATTCACTTGAGGCATTACACGTTTTTGCAATTGTTCTAAATCCGAAGCCAACTAGAAATTATACATAGAAAATACCAATATATATAGTTAGATTAATAATCCATTATTTTATATCAAAATCAGAATAAGAGTAATGATAGTTTAATATGTATCAACACGAAGTTTTCATGCATATATATATATGACAAAACTACATTAAATTACAATCTAGTACATGAATAAACAGTAAATGAAATAAACAAATAATCTTTTAATATGAATGTATCTCCTCAATGTCAAATTACATTTTGTTATACTATACCTGTTCAACTGTAAATGATGTGTGTACGCGTATATGAAGTACATATTAAAAAAAAAAGATAAACAGAGTTTAAATGTATAATTCAAAACAAGTAAAGAAATGCTTAGTGTAAGACAAAATTATGTCAAAGTATAAATCTTAAATATTGAGTAATAAATTTAACACATTTCAATCATAACATGTAATTCATTACAAGTATAAAACAAATTTACAAAGTTTACAATAAAAAGTTTATGCCTCACCTTGTATTTATTGATTTTGATTTCAAGAGAATACATACCTGACATAATTAGTTTAAGTCTGTTTACTACTTGCTAATAATAATAATAATGAACTCATACAACTATTAAATGTTATTCATTTAAATATGATAGCAATATGAAGTACAAAAGTAGTTGTATACAGTAGTAAATATTCATATGTGTATAATCAAGAACGTTTAGCAATGAAATAGGAAATATAATGTTTCTTGAGTTAACGTAGTATTTATACATTAATGTATAGGGTATATAACGATAGCCTGATTTCAATGTAATCTATAAATGGATTTTTTTACTAAGAATAAAAACGACATTAGTAATCAAAGTAAAACATAAAACACATGCTATTTAAAAATAAGAATACAAACAAATGTCAGTATAGGGTTGTGGAGATTGTTGAGTTTATTAATTGAGATTATGAACCGATCAATGTAAGAATACCATTGAAAGCATGGAAGCACTGAACGGTCGTTCCATTCTAGCATGGGACTCCATAGCAGTGCGCATCCTTGAACGAAACGGCAGCCCGGTAATTCCAGGCTTTCAATGGTGATCTAACATTGATCGGTTCATGATCCCAATTAATATATAAAAATGTCATAATCCAAATTATTATATATGCACATATCTGTAACCAGGTTGCCAACAAAAAATACATTGTTTTATTTCCCTTCAAACTTGTAAAAACCAACAACCTAGTAGCTGCTAACCTTTGAATATATTTTTTCAGACACCCTGTCATTCTCAGACGAATCAAAGACAAACTTTGTATTAAACGACGTTACCATTTAAATGCTCATGTGGGCCACACAAACCAAGTGCTAAATAAACACACCAATGAACATTAACATGGGTAGCTTTCATAGGTGAATACAAAACAATCAAAAGTTCAGGATTAGAACAAATTGTGAACACTTGTTTCTAGTTATTTGATGTTTTGTTACTACCAATGCTGTAGACTATATATATATATATATATATATATATATATATATATATATATATATATATATATATATATATATATATATATATATATATATATGCAGTATTTTATTTAGTCTATTAAATTCATTTACATTCTTGTCATACTATTTTAATGTGCGTTCAAAACAATTTCCAACTGAACTCATTCATGTAAGTAATTTCAACCCGTATAGTAATCATTATTTTTAAACATCACAGGTTGTAAGTAGTTGACAAGAACTTAAAGACATAAAATGATTTCTTGTTATTCTGCTCAAATCTTTGTTTTTGTTCTGCTTATTATACAGAGGACCTAGAGAGACATTTAAAACGCCCTTGGCTATATCCTGAATTAGATGAAGTATGCTGAACGTATAGTTTACATTTCCGATATAATCCGCTACCGAAGTAACAAAGCTTTCTCATAAATTGGCTTTAAACACACATCACACTCACTGCCTAGTTTAAAAACAGAAAAATGTCTCCATATTTTTAAGCGTCTTAAGAAATAAATATAAGTAAATTTTTTCTAAGCCCTATATAAGGTTCGCGTTTTGCTTTCGCGTGACAATCTACAAGTAGACTTTCTGAATCCGGCTAGTTCGGTGCCATAGTACGTTTTAGCAAGTATAAATTATGGTGAATCACTTGCAAAGATTCCAAATAAATCCATCAGTACCACGGAATATTGATCACACACAATATATATTGACAATTATAATTGGATAAATTTCCGAATTATCAGTACGGGGTTGTGGAGATTAATGAGTTCTCACAACTCTATACTGATAATTATCATGTGCTCACCAGTGACTAGTTTCGAGAAGTAATCCTTTGAGTCCTAGTAAAAAACCGTGACCAGTGCAATTCAACCTGTGTCATGTATGAGGCAGTTATCCATCGATGATAATGGAAGATGATCACGCAACATTGTGGATTGATTGAAGTTAAACATTAACATCATTAGATGCCGAGTCAGTGGTCGAGAGGTTAACCTATCGCACGCGAAACAGAAGGATCATGGGTTTTGATTGTTGCATTCAAAGCCAAGGATACACACCATTGAGTTATATATAGAATTTATAAAATATGAAATCGATACTAGGAATAGATAAAGATAACTGACACAGTAATAATGAAGCAGAAATTGTATATTAAGTAACCTCATTTCACTTAATTTAAATATTAAAATGAATAAGGTTTTACTACACATAATTATAATTCAACTACGGTTTACACAACATACCATATGTAACATAGCCTATTATAATTAGAAAAATGTAGAAGTCATTTTGAGGGATCCGAATAAATCCTATCGTTCTTACTTATTATACTGATATTACGTATCATTTTATAGAATAATGTATACGGTAATACAAACTAGGGAATGCTATAGATCATATCGACATTAACAAAATATATATATTAACAACCTTTATATTGGTTAAGGAATAGCTGAACTTCAGAATTTGAATAAACTATGGATTCGCTTGTAGATTTTTTCAGGTGACATGATCATTACAGGTAATTGAAAAAAAAACACCAATCGATATAATATTATATATTTCGTTGTGACGATTGAGTTATATCGATCATGTTTGAAATGTAATTGCTAGGTATAGCAGAATGAAACGCGTTATTTTAGTATTCAATAACAAGTAGCTTTATAGATTGTCTCTATCCATCCAAATAGGGTAAAAGTCAGTGTTAAATTAAATTTCGATACTATAGGATACATTGCTTTGCACCATTCAAATATGGTATTACCACAAAACTCAACATAAATGTGGTTGAAAAACCGAATAACCGCAACTCGCATTACTATTATGCTAGTTGGTTGAAAAAAAAAATTTGTCATGCTTCACAGCAATATAAGAATCGAAACAATAACCCAGATAATGTACTTGACATCAAACATTATCATGGAGATTTAGTGTAAAAACGAACAGCTGATAAACTATAGTGCAATCTGTACTACATGAAGATCTTTTGAACTAGAACACTTCAAGCAATCGAATATCACATATCTGTCTTCTGCATTTAACATAACTATCTATATCAAGCTGATAATGCCTGTAGATTGGAATGAATTCTGTAATTATTATATTCGGAATATATTTTACTACTTCTAATATTAATAATAACAATATTAGTAGTAGTAATAGTATTATAAACATTTGTAGATAAACATAATACATGAAAAAATTAAATAATAAAATGCATTACCTGATATGTATCATTTTGACAAATACGTACAACTTCTCCACCGACTGTAGCTAATGGACCAACATTATCTGCTGTAAGTCGAGTAGCAAATTCTAATCCTTTTGTAAGACGTGATCGAATAATTGGTGCAGCTGTTGCATGAGCTGTATTCACTAAATTTTCAGCTGCCATAATTACATTTTGTTGGTGCTCCAATGATTGAGCATTACCATCAGTACATTCCTATGAGTGATTAATTGAACCAACAAAAGATTATATGGCAATAGAAATTGTTGGAGAGGGAGTAAAAAACTAACCAAGACTTGACATTTATGATAAGTTAGAAGAGAATCATTCTTCGATAACTTTTTATTCACTAGAAAAATACTTGAAATACAAATCAAGAGTTATACTTAAAAGACTCTACTCAGGTTCAACTGAAAGTACATGATGTTAACAGGTACAAACATAACATGTTCAGATTAAAACTGATAGGGATTTTTTGTTTTGAGAGGGAATTGAACAGTGAGTTAAGATCGGTATTAATTCTGGCTTTATAAGAAGACACTTTACTGTAGTCTAAATTAAAAATGCACGTTGTTACAAAAATATAAGCTCTTATATATGTAAGACAGACATTAGTAACATAAAAAAACATCCAAATAATACCCGAAAGAATCAAAATGCAGCATTTTGTAATACCATATATGATGTTAACCGCCCTAAATTAGCCATTACTTGGAGAAAAGTGCGAATACATGTGGAAAAAATTAGATCCACTGAGAATTAAGAAATGTAACCAGTTTTTTCCTTTAGTTTGAGAATACAAATCTTACAATCTAATATTTGATCATACATTATATCGATCAAACGGGTTAAACAGTACAAAAATATAACCTGTTTAAAAATTAATAAAGCTGTATCTTAGTGATTTCGGCACTCGACTTTGAAACAGTAGGTCTCAGGTTTCAAGACACCTTCGTCGACCTATTTTAGTTTGGAAGACGGATGGGACCATTATCCCTCACAAAAACCGTGTACAAACCTGTATTTTTAAAATATGGTACACTAAAGTAAAAGGTTCGGTTATGTGGGTTTCATTTAAGTTATCGAACACCTTCTGATAGACACATACCTAATCACGTGAACCATCGGAGAGATAAGAAAAAATTTTTATAGCTAATAAATACCTTTTGGACCACTAACTATGAATCATATTGCTTGATATCTTCATTTTCTGAATAACTGGTTCAAAATACGTTCTAATTACTAAACAAATATTTACAAGCATCTTGTTTCAAATGTTAAAAAAGGAATAGTTTATTTTGATTTTTTTAAGTATCATTGACATACCTGGGCAACTGATAACAAATGATAAATTTCTTTCTCTAATATATCAGCACGTTTAGCTATTTCGTTGGATGGTATTCCTAATGTTAAATCCTGTTTCATTGCTTCCGAGCGTAAATCTGCCACTAAACATTCTACTGCAGACGCTAATGCATTAGCTTTACGTACAAGTAGAAGACCATCGCCAACACTACCAGGTAATTGATGACTAACCGAAAGCAGATTCATAATTACAGGATCTTGGTGAGCCTAAAATTATCAATATTATTATTATTGATAATAACCAAAATATGCTGAAAATTAATGATTCCATGAAAAATAACAGTATTTCAATGACCTGAAATCCCAAACAGGTAATTACAATGTTTTAAGCATTAAATTTGATAATCTGTAAGCTGATAATTGAAATAATTATCGTCTGGGAAAATAACGAACGAGAAGTGTCAGTTAATGCAATCAACTGATGTCTGCATAATTCAAAGTGAATGCTTATAATCAATGTTAATTATAAAATCTTTTTAAAAGAGATTTCAAGAGATAAAACGATCGTAGTTACTATAACAAGATAAGCTTTTAGTGTAACAGGAAGACTGACATAACAGATACTGGTAGCAACACCAAATAGCATCTGTTTAGCACCTTTAATATCATTAGAAGGTGTAGGTGAAATTAGAAAGAATCTTAACTTCAGAAAGCATAGGTTTATATCGTTTCGTAAACACAGATTATTTTTATTTTGTACTAAAAATGGTTTATCATACATCAAAAAACCATGAATTGGTGCCAGCCAATATGTAAGATCGGATAGATAGAAAATGTAAGTACTAGTCCTGAATTCATTAAGTAACAGTAGTTATAAAAAAAATTAAGTAAAGTTGATATTTGATTCCAATCATATAATAGTAGTTCAGAAATATTTACTGGCATGATTTGCAATAAACAAATAGGAGTTTTGTATTACTCTGAAACGTTTTTTTTTCTACACTGGATAGTATATCAAGTATTCTTCACTATACAGACGCCTTTTTTTCTACAGAAACACATCTATCTACTCCAATCCGAATGAGATAATTTAGATATTACCTTTTACTAAGGTGATTAGAATGCAACTAAACTATTTACCTAATCAGTCTTACAATGAAAGCTATATTAGATAGTCAGAAAACTGTACCATATTCATGATAAACATGAATTTCGTAGATTAATACTATTTATGTTAGAACTTTAGATGCCTAATATATGATTCTATCAGTTTCTAACTTATGCAAATTGGTACATTTTTGGGAGGGTGACACAGTCAACCTATTGAACTTTATTTCTTATGGCTTAGTCAAGTAGGTATTTTTTGTCAAACAGTAATCCGGTATGATTACTTAATATACAGTATGTTGTAAATAAATCAAACAAATGTTAACTCTTATTGAAGATTCCCAAAAGACTTTGTAACTCTCGGCATCAGAATAAATGTCAGAGACCAAAATGAATCTAAGCATTAGCATGAACATGTTTAAATTAGTGAGATCTGGGGATAAAATATGAGAATAAAAAGAAAACCTACTTGTATCGAAGTTCCTATTAGACAATCAAGTAAATTGTCTAATTCATTATGTACAGAGTAAACACCTTCTTCTAAATCATTAACTAGTTTACAATGTACATTAAACATCTCATGATCATTTGTTAAGAATGTGGCAGCTGCGCCAGATGATGATGAATCTAATAAAGCTCTAGCTGGTAATGGTACAGAGTCTGCAGCTAATGCAACCTGTAGATAAAAGTAAACAAAACAAATATGAACTTCATTGTGTAAAAAAATATTAAACTAGCACAAATAGAAATTTTCACTATGAAAGATATCGACTGAAGAAATGTCCGTCTTACCTAATAAGATAATGAAGTATTCAAACTGTTTATCAAGAAACTTTGATTCCAGTTTCATGAATGTTTGAAATATAATAAGTTGTTCGTGATGATGAACATGAAATAAAGTAAACTCAGTATAAGTCTGTGCAAATAATGCCATACATTAGAAAATTCACTTTACAAATAGTTAAAATCCAAACAGATTAACACACAACACTTCAGTGTGAACTGATACAAAGTTTGTAAACTAAAATAGAACCCTGATCTACATAAAAACAAAATGGGTAGGTAAGACGAACATCGGTTGACTTTTTCCATGTGAAATGGTAACTAAGTTCTAGTGTATATCTTCGTATATGAATCAAACTTTATATGCGTAAACCAGTGATGATGACCATATCGAAGCAAAAAAATCGGATTCCGAGTATGCAAAACTAAGATAAGATTCGAGTGGTTTATTGATTAGTCGAACGCTCTAACTAACCTTATGAAAGGTATTCATTTAGAGTCTTACATTTGACAGGAATTAGTCAACTCAACATGAAAATAAAAATCTCTAATAATACACTTCATATCGTTTGGAAGAAAGCATTTGTAACTTATCAGATATTTTAACGCCATCAGAAACTGAAGATTGAATTCAACAGCAACCACGCATACAACTCAGCAACGAGCTATGAAGATAGATTATTGCTTGAAATTAATCAAATAAGACAATATAAAAACGTCAGGAGATGCATATCTTTGGTAGTAGTTAACGAAAGTAGGTTTGTATATTATTAGTTTCTTCAGTAAACTGAAGCTGATACTCACCACTAGGTTGAAACCAAGGTTTTATGAAAATTTTAGTTGAGCAGTCCATATTCATTCCGACGGTTCAACGCTTGAATGTTAGCTTTGGCTCAGTCACTGATGTTGAAAGAAGCTACAGCATAACAGTAGTACGTTGGACTGCCTTGGAAATGTCAAGAAATATATAGCCCTCAAAACAACATTAATAATATCAAGACTCTATTCATTAAAATATTACGAGAGAATTTACATTAAAAAATAAATACCTCTTTTATGGTATGCATTAATTGTTGTTGTGACTCCGGTTGTTCCATTGTACATGCAACTACTTTAGCGCAAGTAACTAATTGGCTTGCAGTTTTACCAGCTCGTGTTGCTGAATGCACTAAATTCGATTGAGCATTACGTAATATTTGTACTTCAATATCATTTGGATTTGATTTATTCTCTACTAAGTATTGATTTACTTCTTCATCAAGTACTAATGCACCCGTTTTAGCCTTTTTCACTAATCCTGTCATTGCATTAGCAACACTCTAAGAATATAACAATAATAACTATGAAAATACTTGGAAATAGACAAAAATAAAATTACATAGTCACTCAAGGTAAATACTTAAAATATATACGAGGATGTTAGTATCCATGTAAACATTTATTTGAATAACAAGATTACTATGATCAGACTGGACTGCAGTTGTTATATATCAGGATGTTATATCAAATCTATAAGAAATGATGGAACTACTACCCAGTTTTATGTTACCCATAACTGTACTGAGTAGTAACTATGATTTCCTATTTACGATGTGTCATAACCTGGTAATAAGTGTCCATAATCACGAGTGTCTGAGCTATGATAATATAAATATTTTGTAGATTGTTGTGTTTAACATCTGAAGATAGCTATTATGTTCGAAAAACCAAAAAGAATAATAGCTTTTGGGATTGACGTCCATAGTCATTTACTATAGGTCTAATCGTGGCATTTGTCAGTTGAAATTTAGTAGTCTCGTTGAAAATGAAGCGTATGCGTCATTAGGGAAGTGCCGGATAACGATAAGATTTCTGAATACAGAAAACACATTATTCCTTCTTTCATTGGAAGCTGTATTTAGTTGCACCTAAAGGCTAGAGCTAAAATTGTGATTAAGAATAAATTATCGAAAAATCGGTCAACTATGACTAGGCTTAATATGTCCATAAAAGTTATTTTTTAATATTGTGATGAATTGTAACAAACGAAAATAGATGACCCTTCACAAGAAATTTTACAGAACATAACAAGATATTGAATGCTGAACTGTTAAAGAGAAATGGGATTTCACAAAAAAAATGAAATAAATTTTCGCAATGATTTATGAGGATTGTGTAAAGATATAAGATAATTAGTACAGATAATAGCTACAAAGAAGTGAGCCGCTCAATACTTTGTTTTTGCACTATTTCAAATGATGAATAGAACTAAATGTATGTAAAACGACAAACACTAATGAGGAATAACTGAATATATCATATTTTTCTTTAATTTACAATAAAATTATGAATTAAAACACAGTACTTATAAACTTAGTATTGAATCGAAGATTGAAAGAAGTGTATAGTGTAGATGTGAATGTTGTAAATGAGCAGGTAGAAAATGTTTTATACTTTTAACAGACTACTTGTTAGTAGTCTCACTAAAGTCTATATTATATAGTTTCATAATTAAGCAGAAATTATTTACTTGTTTAAAGATGGATTTCAATCAGAGCAGATAACTAAAGGAACCTCGTTATATAACAAGAAAGCTTATGAATAACAATTAAGCTCCAGTCAATAAGGTATGAAAAATGCATTGGATCCACTAAATTATCTTACGATGTTTCAACACATACTGTATGCAGTTAATAAGAAATGATTTACATAAATAACTCACCTTAGTTAATGTAAGTAAACGATCTCTAGCTTCCCAATCAACTATTGATGCACAATTAACATGATTATTCTCTTTATATACAGTATCATTTTCATTTGTTGATACACAACACTCAGGTATTGTTGGCGGTGAAATTAATTGCAATAATTGACGACTTGCATCACCCACGCGACTAGCAGCTTCTAGTAGGGCTGCACGATCAGTACTACTCTTCGAATCAAATAATGAACTTGTTGAACGTGTTAATGTAGAAGCCTTGAATAAAAAAAGGAGATAGAAATTAAATATTACAGACAAGAATCTTAACCAATAATTCTTTCATACTAATATTCATCAATCTTAGAACGAATACTTTGATAGAAATTGGGCGCCGAGTATAGAGAAGACACTATATGTGAAAATTATCTTTGAAATAATCTCGGAGATAAAAATTTTAATAAACGTTCTTTCATTTTACAAAAAGAAATAGTATGTGTGATCAAGAAGAGTTAAATATTCAATTTCATTACCGAAGTTATGAGCATAAATCATTGAAGTTCCTTTTTTTTATTCATAAAGAAATGTATTGTTGACATAAAAAGTAACAAGTAAGATACAGCTCAAATTGTCCAACGAATTTAACCGACAGTGTTGTTAGGACAGTAACAATTCGTCTATTTCTTTGTACTATTATAAACACTATCTTGCCGGTATAAACGTGCATACTTGATCACATGACAGCCTACGCACATATCTCTCTAGCTTAAATGTTAATCGCTTAAATAGCGCTCTATGAATCATCATCTTCCTCATGTATATATGTACTCGAATCCTATTAATTGCCTTTACCTTGCCTAGCTGTGCCTTATTCGATTCGATTATAAATTCGCCACAGTATTTGTTCACCTGTCTGCTCCAAATTCGCTCGATGTGTGTATACGAATCCAAACATCGTTGGAATCTATATATTAAAGGTTATCAAGGTGATTAATTAACGAAGTTAAACCACTACAAACAGTACGCTTTTAAACAAGGTTTTAATAAAAGCTTTGTTGATAGTCATTTTAAGAAGAGGAGATGGATGATGGCTAGCAATGGAATTTGAGATGAGCGTTTCGTCCTATTTGGAACTCATCAGCTGGGGGTACTTGTATCCCACAATTGATGTTCATTTCGGGACTCCAACCCAGTACCATTCGCTTCAATAAGCCATGGTATTATCCACTTAGCTATTGAGCCCAAATAGTCATTGTCTTGTGAAATGGGGCAAATTTTAGTTCAGATATATTGGTTGTTCTGGAAGACTTAAACAACCAATTGATATGAATTTATGTTCACTGTATGAAATTCTTGTCATTTGAAATTTAATCCAAAATAACTGTTATTTACATTATAATAGTTATAAACAAATTCCATACTGAATAATTCACAAATGTTTATATATTTTATTTATCCTCGTTAAAATTGTAAAACATCAAAGCACGAGTGGGTGTGTTTACTTACAATGTCAATAAATGAACAATTATGACAACAACAAAATGTACATCCGAAGTGACGGACTTACTTTATCTGATGAATTATCCATTGATACAGATGAAAAAGTAGTACGCATTAAGTCGAGAAATGCATCAGATAAAGCTTGCGCAGCTTGCTTTAAACTTGTTTTATCTACAACTGATCCATTATTGTTATTAACAGTATCAAGCTGATCATATAAACGTACACAATGCATAAGACCTTTTACATTCATTCCAATTGATGTCATAGAAGCATCCATACTAGCATAATCTATTTCAGCATGATTATTCATATCTAAAACAATGAATTCAAAGACGGAAATAACAGATAACTTGACTAAAACATATTACAGAAAACAATAGCTATATATATATATATATATATATATATATATATATATTTCTGTCGCGTTGACAAAGATATTTATTCAGCATAATAGATAGAAAATCATTCGTAACATACTTCGGAAAAAGTAAATTGTAATGATCCACAATCATACTTTCATCAGTGTCATATTTATTTCCAAGAAATTTATTATTATTCTTTTCTGAAAATGTTCGAAGTATATCTCAGTGACATGTTTTTCTTTTGTTAAAATAACAGGACTAACAAGTGACATCAATCGACGAATTTAATGCAACATGACAAGATATTAATCGAATCGCGTTTAGTTTGTTTTAAATGGTTTGGATATCGGTCCATTACAAATAATGAAAGTTACCAGCGTTTATATTAACAGTCATTAAATAAAGTGATTTATACATAAACTATCATTCACCTTTTTCATGAATCATAAATGTGGTTATTTCATTTCTAAATAAGGATTATTTACATACATTTCTGACCCCACGCAGCTATTCTTATTGACATTCGATTTATTTACACATAATTTCTGCAGTTTATAATCATGACATATTTGTTGGTTTGTTAAACAACGCTAACGAGTACAATAATTATCCTATGCGATCTAGTCTCAAAATTCATTCACTCATTGAAAATAGTTATTTTTGACTTCGGATTATTGTTGGCTGATACATCATCACTTGATGACGATTGATATTATTACTACTGTAATATGTATATAGAGCAGATAATCTGATTGAGATTAGTGTGGTTATAGTAACCAGTGATTGGAGACTTTAGTTAACACGGCTCATAATAGTTCGCAGTGGTACACGTTGATTGACTTTTTGTCTTTAAGAATCTGAGGCTCGAAATTTCCTTATGCCTTTTTTTTCACGCACCAAATCTTTTTAACAACTACAGATACCGTTAGCAACTTTACCACTCGGGGATTTGATTTGACAACTTCATTTCGCAGAGCTAATGTCATATGGCACATTGAGATAATGTACTTCTGTGTCAGGTTCTATAGTGTATTTCATTAGATGAATAAATTAATCCAGTCTTAATGAAAACCTAACCGAAAGATTGTTCCTAATAAAAATTAGCATGGAATGCCTTAAATAAACTCAACCCTCAGTATTTATGAGGAAGAAAATCTTTAATATAGTATTGATGATGTGAATCTTCTAAATTCAGATAATCATTTGTTCAACAAATAAAGAACATCTTGAAAAACAAAATCGAATCGGAAATCAAATAATCCGGAAAAATAATTGTTTTCACACAAATTATAAACAAAAGACAAAGAACTAGGTGTACAAACTGTCAAATAGTATAAGAATTATAAATATTAAAGACATAATGGAATTAATAATTAACCGATTTGAGATTTTTAGTACAATATAATAACTGCACCCAAGGTAATTGTAACTTTGCTGTAAGCATAACTATATTTCAGCTATCGCATAGCTCTTTCTAAACTTAGAAATCTTTTTATGTACAACTAAGTAACCAAGTATACAATTGTATATTTAAACTATGGAATTACACGTTTTGTAGGTAACAACTAAAGATACTATCTAGTTATCCAAAATAAGGTAGGTGTAGCATAGCTGGAATCTACATGTTACTAAGCAATGATTTCTTAACTATGTACGTAAATAAATGGCAAACGTAAAAAGTACTTTACCTTCCCTATGTACAAACATACATAATTTAACTAGTTTGATACATTCAAATGTTACATATGTATAAAAAAAATGATTCTATTATTTGGCTGGTAACAAATTCCATTCTTTCATGAGACTATTTTTATATTTACGTCAACTATATTTTGGAAAATAGAAATCTATAGAAAATAAAACAAAACAAAATGCTCTGTCTATTCATCACATTCAGACTAGAAATTATTTTCAACAGTTACAATGAATTCTACTGAAAATTAATTTATATACATTTGATATTCAATTGATAATAGATTTCTAAGACTATCAACTTTCATTGTTACTAAATATCATAGGTTCTTATTGCTTAACAAACTGTTATCATTCCATATATATATATAGATATATATATATATATATATAAACACACATGGAAAATATGAGTTCTTTCTTTTCTTTCTTTTTTTTAGTGTCTATAAGTTACACTAGATTAATCGATATAAATATAATACTTGTATTAAGAAAACAGTATATGCTTAAACATATTATGAAGAAGGTAATTATAGATATATTATTGAATCACATAATGTTAATCTATAAATATACAAGAGAAGATTCTGAAAAACAACACCGAAGAAAAAAACAACGTGAATAAATGTATTTATCATATCATGTCACTTCACAAAGAAAAAAAGAATGTTGGAAAATTTATTTATTTATTTTTCTAATAAAGATGATGTATTCTTGTGTTGTTTTTTTTTTGATAGTTTGTTTTATTTTTGTCACATGTCTAAATAAAGTTTCAGACAAAGAAAACAGTAACAACTTATTTCTTATTTCTATAATCAAATAAATAATAAATATTTAATTAGTTAAGTAGTAATTAGTATTGAGCCAAAAAGCTTACACCTGTTACTCCTAGTGAAGGAATATAGACCTTTCTATTGTACAAGTTATAAAAGAGTCCAATAAGAGAAAATGTGGTTACTGGTAAAATACATCGAAAAGAATGAATATTATTTAAATGTTGATTCCTGAACTGTTTAAATCTAACTGGTGATCACTCGATATTTATCGTCAGGATAGATCAAAAAGTAGGAAACGGAAACTTGTTGAGATATTTGTGTTGACAACTCTATATTGTACCAAAAATATGATATTGAATAAACCTTATAATGATAACAATAACAATAATAATAAACTATGAGTAGTGTATTCAGCGGTACGTAGCCTACTGGAAGAAATTCCGTATGGTTACTGAGATTTACTCAGAATTACTTTTACATCCCTACGCGTAGAGAAGATAGTATTAAGCTGTTTAATACCAAAATATAGTGGATTCGAATATATAAGGCGATAAATCATTAGTCTACAAAAGAAATTAGAATGTTTCTTACGATGTTAGTCAATCCAAAAACGAATAAACAAAATTACATTATTCCTATGTAAAGTTATAACGGACTATCTTATACTAAAACAGTAATGACTCACTGAGTTTAAACTAAACAACATACTACTAGTTACTAGTAAATTTGGTCACAGTTCATCTGAACGTCAGTAAGCCAATGAATGTAAGATTTAACACAAATGGATGTCAGTTAAAGCCACGACATCACAAGATGAAATTTAGAAGGATAAACAACACAGCATCAAGGATAAAATAGGTGACAATCAGAGTGAAATGCTAGACATTGAGAATATAATTCGAAAAGTCAGAATAAAAAGGTATTTGTCAAGAAATACCTGAACTCAAAACCTAAAGGAAGATAAAGAGTAAATGAATCTGCGCCATTCTCATTAATTGTATATTATATCATGCTATTCCTCTAGCTACTGATTGCGGTTGCTGAGTGAACCTCAACCAGAAAATCACATTTACCAAAGTACTTCAGATCAACAACAAATGTTCAGCTGAAACATCATTTACCCATAATGGACCATGTTACCAAATAAGTAATACTAAACTATACCATAACATCTAAGATAAGTTTGAAAAATTACTCATAAAGCTGTAGCCTCTTAAAGAATGAACTATTTTGTACGTAAGTGATTAGTCATTATTTACTTTATGGCAATCAAACGTAAGTATAAATATCGATGATGTAAAACCTCAACTAGTTTGTATCGTTTAAACTGCCCCTAAATGCATCTTTCATCTGTCATTCTCAGTTAATTATTAAGATTAACTACACACATATATTAACCATTATTTCTTGATCTTATCTTTAATCTATAATTGTGATGATAATAATAACAACTTTTAAGTTCCATATTAATCTAACCAGTAAATTAGGTTAAACATCATATAAAAACTAACTGGCAAAACACACACACAAAGCTTCTAATAGTTCATATTTATTTAATCTATAACCTAAAAATCACATGAAATATGAGTAATCAAGTAAACAGAAAAGTAACTGAATCACATGTTTACACATCTCACGTAGGACGTAAATAATAACAAGTGAACAAATATGTAATAAAAAGATGAATAAAGTAGCAAATGACGTAAACAACTAGAATATATTCTAACATCATATTATTGTACTATACTACTTGACTATATTATATCATACGAATAATTTAAGCATGATTTCTTTATAGATCAGGGAAGTTATATATAGAAAATTTAATAGCGAAAGACAGTATTCCTCTATGATAAACGACCACTTACAATGAATTAAATGTACTACTATTGAAATTACTAGAGTTCAATCCAGTGATGATAATAATTAATGCACTCAATGTAAAATATGCAATCGTTAACGTAAAAACTTTACAATTTCGTTCTAGAAAAGCAATATTCATCAAAGCATTACTTACTACATAAACAGCTGTCATTCGCAATAAGAGTAAATAACTAATTCATTAGTCACTTGTCGATTATCGGTAGCATTTTAGAAATCAACAGTTTTTATTCAAAAAGATAAATACACACATCATTTTGTGTATGATAAAAAGTTAGTCATACATAGATTGAAAATTTGATCTATTTTAACAACAACAATAATAAGTTCCCATATATGATTCTTATCATTTCCAGAAGAAATAATGGATGAGTTGATTTTTAGTTACATATCTCTCCCGCTCACCCACTTACATATTACATGGACACTTTATTGAACAGATATGGTAGGAAGAAGAACAAATTACGATCGAAATACAATAAGCGAATAGGTGCATAGATAAAAGTAATGCAGTGGTAGTATTAGTGGTGTTATTTATTTGTTGAAAAATTGGGAGAAATATTCCGAAACTTTGATAATGTTTAATGGACAGGTGTGAAATTATTTCACTATTGTACTGCATTGTGTTCTGCATTCATCCATGAACATTATATATATATATATATATATATATATATATATATATATATATATATATATATATATATATATATATATCAATATTTGTAACACTTATCAATACACAAGATGAACACATATACTGAAATATCAATTACTGGATATCAAACGGCTATTATAGCTATATGGTTTCTCGAAAAAGTAAATGATACGCTCACATATCGATGAGAATACCAACACTTATTCAGATTGTGATAAATATAATTGAAAAATCTTTAGAAGGGAAAAAACCGAACTTCATAGGATCTAACAAAAACTAAGAATTCAAGACATTTCTGATTAGTAGACATAAAATTTTCACAAAATTATTTGAAGATAAACATGAACATATAGCTGATTTTTAAAATGAAACAAAAAGTATAATTTAATTCATTTAGTATTGTTTATTTGAATCTTCCTATTGATGCTTAGGACTGCAATTGATCAGTCTCGTATTGGCATGCGTGTATCCTGTGCGGATTGCCACAAGCATCATAAGATGGATGGTGGCTAGCAGTGGAATACAGAACGCGCATTTCGTCCCACTTGGGGGACGTCAGTTGGATGATATACATTTTACGCTATGTGATGAAACTAATCTTATTATTACTCAGAATGCAAGCGCATAGTAGTTTAATTAGTCTTATAGCATTTTTATGAATTTGTAGATGAATCAAAGGTTAATGAGACTTAAAACCAATAAAAAACGTTATAAAAACATATCGATCCAGTTGAAAAACAATTCTTTCACGAGACTGTTTATACTAGAAGTGATTATTTTCCGTCTATAACTATATTACTTGAACATTGATTTTACCAACAAATTTCAATCCCAAAGCCCAATTGCAAAACATTAATTCTAAAGTCAAACTCTCATCCTAATCTTTACGCTTAATCCTAATTCTAATTAACTGCTCCGTTGCAGCGAAATTGCATAAAATAGTATTGCAAAACAGCTTTACCTTTTCATATCACTAAGTTATAATATTTTCATAAAATTTAGCAATCTATCATACGACAACCATTATGTTGACGTGAACTAGACACCATAACATAGGAACTGCACTCTAAGACTTTACTGACTTATCCCTATACTTAAATCTTGACGAATAAAATCTAATGCGATTTTCTAAATCCTTAATACATTATCATCGCAACAACTTGAGTACTGAGCTCAATATCATTACAAGTTTTAGGTTAATAAAATTATTTTAAGTGAATTGAACGTCTGTTCATTAAAAAACTAATTTTCTATCTCAAATTATTCTACAGTTGAATTTAATATCTTTTTGAAATCGAATTCATGAATTCAATAACTAAATAAAACAATCATTTCATAAATATACGAGTATCTTTCAACTGACAAAAAAATAACAAAACAATCACATACAACTGCTACCAATCAATTTATAAATCATTTTCAACTTGGTTTCTTTTCAGTATTTTTTTGGCATGTATACAGTGATTTTTCACATGTATTTAAGTACATGCATATGTCGTCTGTACTACTACTACTACTATGTACAGTGAATTTTACGTATGTACTATATTGTATTGTGATCTGTTCAAACAGTAGAGAATCAGTTGTATTTTGTTGGTCACAAATTGTCATTTGTTTAATAAAAACAATTCTGTTCTGTTTATATTTATGTAGTTAACTTATACTGTATAAAATTAATGATCAGGGTACTTTTCTATCATCTTATCACATGTAAAATCATGTTTTGTTAAAGTAGTATTTAAAAAAAACTTAGATCGAAAGCTTGAATTTCTATGATATATTTATAGATAATAACTTGCATGGTTTCTATTTTTTATACTGATCTGAAATGCTTTAAAATCATGGCTAAGTTTAAATGATCACAAATAAATGATATATTGGGCAAATTGAAATTCAATCGATTGATTTCGATCCTTAACTAAGTGTTAGGGAAACATGATATTGGATTCTGCTACTACTGTGCTGTATGTTACCTTATGCTGATAGTTATAAATAGTATGTAGCAGCATTTCGAAGCAAGATACCTGACAGCGGAATATTGAATTTAAGAGGGAAAAAGACAGTAATTGGAACAATAATAGAATCGGAAGAATCATGAAGTATATAAAGGACAACTGTAAGAAGATGTGCAAACAATGTATTCATAGTATGGTTTTCATATTTTAAGAAGGCACTGTGTAGTTCTGCATAAAAAATTAGTTGATTTTCCCCAGGCTCAGTGTCCTAATGGTTAAGCGCTCGCGCGCAAGACTGATAGGCCCTGGGTTCGAGCCTTTCGGCGGGTGGGAGCGTGGGTGCACACTTCTGAGGAGTCCCATAATAGGACGAAACGGCCGTCCAGTGCTTCCAAGTTTTCCATGGTGGTCTAGCTTCAAACGACTCATGATTTCAACTATTGCCCCCAAATGCCCTGGTACGGTCGAGAGTGGGAAGAGTCCGCTCTCCCTCTCGAAATGCTCTCACATGGCCACACGTATATAGCCTATGCCAGGGAAGTCCTACTCATTGCCTTCTCGTGGCATTACTAATGTTTACAAAATCGAGGACGAAAAGCGAATGTACGGTGCTTTAACCGGGTTGGTGGACATGGAGAGTCCACCTGGGGAAGTTGGAAAACCCTGATTCCAAACCAGTGGTGCATACGGGCTCCAGTATCCTGAAAGAACAAATGGTGTACGAACCAATCGTTGGTCACCGGCTACCATGGGACTGCATCTCCTTACGTTGCTCCACTGCCCTGTGGATCAGACATTCAGGTCGAAGGCTCAGTGTGTGGCCCGCCAAGAAAACCACCTACTTCGGTTTGGGGACCCGAGCAGTATCACAGCACTCACACAAATCAAATGAGATTTGTGTGGCGCATATGTATTTGGTGCCTCCTTGTACCAATATCTGTGTTCAAACAATAATAATAATAATAATAATTTTCCCCACCTGAATTATCGTTCACTACACTACTACTACTACTACTACTCAGTTTGATGAATCGTTGTGAATAGCAGGTCAATAGCAGCTCGTAAAGCTCAGTAGTAATGTCGCTAAATGTCACACTAATTGAAGACTTTATTCGCATAACAGACATACTGTCGAACATATCTTGCTGACGTGAGTCAACTAATATGAAGCCTAGTTTCCAGACTTTAACCGGCAACGTCTGTATACTAAATTAGGGATTACGCAAATGGTTTTATTTAAATCTATACTTTAATCGATTTGCTCATAAATGTTATTCACTTTGATGACAACCTTTGTTTAAGACTTACATTATTTGAAGAACTAGCGAAAATCAATGACCGAACAATTATTTAATCTTAGCTTGAACCTCTTTAAGAGTGCAATTCCAAAATCGAACAATGAATCGAATCTCACGATGTTTGTGTTCTGATAGTCATATAATTTTATGGGTTCACAGGTGTTTACACTTCCGATTTTGTACTATACACGATTTTTTTCTCAACCATAAGTAATTGTGACGATGAGAAATACTCAAAAATATGTTTACATAAATAAAGTAGTAAATAATTAAAATGGCAACTAAAATAACAGTACTTACCGCCATTACGTCCCCGATTGTTTGATATTTCGATACCAGAGATTAGGCGACCCGTAGCCATTGTCATTGCACCTAAATGACTGAGTACACCAGCACGAGCTTGTTGTAATGTTTCTGAACGCCAACGTTTTGTATTCTGTAATTGAAATGCTTAATGTTACCAATAATCTACATAACAAATTTAATATTCGAAATATGATTTAGTTAATTAAATGGAACATTTCACTAGCCTATAAGTCAAGGAAAAGATATATATATATATATATATATATATATATATATATATATATATATATATATATATATATATATATATTGTATACAACCCAAACAATCATAAACATCGGACACTTCATGGATGGTCGATAAGAAGTAAAACATTCGTTTAAAACAAGTAACAAACAATGAATGGTGCATCTTGTAGATATGCTTTTCATAAAGCATTTCCGACCAAATCTATGTACACAAAAGGAAACTTTCTTCCGGCTTGTAAAACTGACTATTATAAAACAATTAAAACTTCTTTATTGAGTTTATTCTGTGTACAATGGAGATAGTTGAGAGGGAACCCCGACAATTACTTCACACCCTTTTAGCTGAAACATTTTTTAACCAGACTTACACAACACAGAAAAATTATAGCTTGGTATGTTTACTATTTAGCATATTGAAACTATACGTCAAAAGCTTAGGTTATATGCTTCGCACTTGAAATGTATCGAAAAGGCTGAATTTTGAAGAAATGTTATTGATAGGCATACATAAATTATTGCACGAACTTGACTCAACTAATGATATCAAAATCCAAGTTGATCAGGTCAAATAGGCCATAATTATACAAGTTGTATCAAAAATGTCAGAATACAAAAACAACCAGATTTATTCTAGTTGATTAATTCAATTCACATACTAATTATGGTACAATGACCTCAATCCTTCGATAAATTATTTATATGATTTTTCATACTTACTGATTTTCCTTCTTAGAAATAATTATAATAAATTTATACACGTAACCGATACAGGTTACTTATTTTGAAGACATATTTTTCTAAAAACTGTTGTTGCTTTCTGTATGTTGAATAATTCATTCCAAGTATTTACTTGACAATACTATTAGCATCAATTTATTAAGAAGTGTAGAATGTTCAATATGCACAATACCCTAGTAGGTGAAGTTTGTGCAGACGAAAATACTGAGCTAAAAGTATAACCGAAAACTGAGTTGAATACCAACAATCAAATTAAAGAGATAGAATACATGGTCACATTTTCTACTGAATATTCGGTATGTAGGCGATATATAGCAGCTTTTTGTCCATTTAGTGAGTGAATACTACATAAAAGGCCTACTTTATAGTGAATATTTCGTTTCGAGCCTTTATTTTCATGTTATTTACTTTTTCCATCTAGCAGGTTGGGATGCGGTGCTGTAGCGTATTGACAAAAGAAATATGTAGATAGCTCTTAATAATTAAGATGAAGTCTCAAGTAAAAAATTACACTCTTATGTGCACCACTAACACGATAAATGAACGAGATTTATAATCAAAAATACGAAACATCTCATTTTTATTGAACAGTGTGAACAAATGATTATCCTTATAAAAATTAAGCCCACTATTTTGAAACCGAATTTTTGTCCTTTGACATAATTTACAAGACTTATTCAAAAATGTTAGATTCACAACAAAACATACATTCTATTGAAAACATATTTTTCCGTATTCATTCCCAGCTTACAACCTGAATTCTATACGCAAAGACGATTTGTTAGATAGTTCACTTAACTACAATCCTTGTTTTATGGTGTTTTGCAAATATATTTATCTTTCCTCTTGTTATTTTTTTAACATCACTATTATTATTATTACAAAAAATGTAACCTTATAATTCTTGAATACCATCTATAATGTATCCCAGTTAACTCAACATTTTAGTCAATGAAATATGGTTATTTTGTTCACCTTAATAAATGTACATATTATGTTACATCTCATTAACACTTCTCGTACAACAATTATATAATTAAGATTACTTAATTCTACGCACTACTTACTATATTATTACTTTACTAGACATATAATCTACTAATAAATTTTAAATGTAATATACATGTAGTGAACGAAGACTTGGTGAGGATAAACAATTTATTGTTTAATGCGAAATTACGTTGTCTTTGTAAGATTTGGAAAGCATAGATTAAATACTTTATTTGCATATTTACCAATTGTCACTTACAAACTTCATCGTTCCTTCATTCCTGTTGTTATAACAATTGCTATTTACATTCCTGGTCTCTTCGATTCGATCTTCTCAACCTACTGCTGTCATGCATTCCATTTCTGATTGCTGTAACATACTACTTAAGTCTGTCAACATAAGCGATATATATATATATATATATATATATATATATATATATATATATATATATATATATATATATATATATATATATAGTCAGCTGACATCCGTATTCATCAACAAGCACACAATTAGTCTATTATACAGTTAGCAACCTTTTTGACATATGACGGAAGGAAAAAATAATACAGTCTACTATGATGGTACATCTTGAGTATCTCAGTAACTAGATTCGAGACAAGTGTTACATACATTTCGTGGTGATTAAATACAAGTGGTTAATAAACACATCAAATTCATTAAAATAAATTGAAAACATAAAAATCTATGGTAATACATGATGACTATAGAGTTTGAACATGCTCTCTGTAAATAGAAACAATCAAACAACTTTGAAAAGGATCATGTGAAAATGGATTTCTTTAATGGATTATTGTTTTATGAAATATTTTTACTTTGTTATACAAAATTACACCAGTGTTTATTTTTTAAAACAGCATTATCATCTCAGCAAGTCTGTAGAAAATCTGTTTAGTTCCATTTTAAGAAACAAATTAATAGACTTAAGATCAATACGAATAAAAGTATTAACACCTCGTAAACCAATCTGATAAAATTAATTAACACTTTATTGAACTAATACTTGAACAACTACTTCTAAAGACAATAAAAATAGTGTATAACACTTCAAAAACATACTATATCATCACCGTATAATGCTTCTTCATCTTCATAGATAGGTTTATCAATATCTTCACATGCTCCTTGAATTGTACGTACACCATAGTCTATACGAGAGAGTAAAGCACGTTTCGGTTGTCCAAGATCAATCATTTGGAACTGTAAACAAATATTCAATTAATAAGACGAAAGTGATACAAATCAATTTCCACTAAAAAAAATGTAAACAATCACTAATTGTATGGAAAATAGTAGAATTGGTTTTGAATTTCTGAAAAATGGTATTGTGTGAAAGGAAAGCCAACAAATAAGTGGTAATAATTTGAAAGGGTACGAACGTTATTAAACTCTATTTAAATAAACACCTTAAGTCGGCAATGAAGTTCTGAACCGACAATAATGGGATATAAAACTAGTGGAATGTCGGAAGTTTGATAGGAAGGTACTGATCTTTAAACGGTTCTTGTAGAGAGATGTACCAGTGGTTAGGATATTCGACTTTCTATCTCTAAGCAATAGCTTTGAACCCTGACAAAATGGTTTCAGTCTAATCATCCGGGTAATAATACTAACCTTAGTAAGTAGAGTGTGGCTCTTAGCCAAGTACACAAATTTCTATCTTCTACGTGAACTAATAAAACAGTAAAACAATAGTCCATGTTCAAAAGTCGAGACTAATGAGCATATAACTCATTTTTTCTGTTGGTTGTTTTAATCTTACGATTGACGTTTAGGACTGCAATTGATCAGTCTCAGATTGATAGATGCCAATCCTGTGCGGATTATTTTAATATTGTCTTAATTGACAAGCATTATAAGCAGAAATGAATGGTACTAGCCATATTCCAATATAAAAAATTAACTAAACTTCACCCCATTTCACAAGGTGGTGGCCGATTCGAAAGAGAGGATCATTGAGGACCAAGAGATGTCAAGCCCAAGCAACTATCTCTTGCCTTAAACATTTTTTCGTAAAAAGACCGCTTCATTTCTTAAAGACTGTGTTAGAAGATTATCCTTAACATGGAACTTGACGTGAAAGCATCCAAGTGGCATATCCAAGTCACCAAATCTGATGTTTAATGACAATATCGAAGTTTAGATTCGCATTATCTCGTAACCCACATACTTATTTATTTATTTGAACAAATAAATATTGCTACAAGAGGGCACCAAATATATATGCGCCACACAAAACAATGAGAATTTAAAGACAAGAAAAAAAAGTAAGGAACGTGAAAGAAAAAGAGAACAATAACGAACAGATTGGTGTAAGGTAGTTTAATAATAATAATAGTAATAATGGGGGAACGGGAAGGTAAAACCAGAAGAAATCTTTCAGTTAAGGAAGATACAACCACTTTTATGAAGAAAGTAAAAGAAGGTTACAGCACGATCTCCACTGGCTTCTGTTCTGAGCCATATCTGATAACGTCTCTAGCCACTGTGTTGCACCATCTCTCGGACCACAACCACGGAGTCGTGAAGGACCAACACAAGCCAGTCCTTTGCAGATTTCTTTCATACCACGACGCCATGTCATATACTGACCACCTCTCCGCTTTCTTCAACCAGTCCCAGAGTCGGCAAACAATGCACGACGTGGAATTCTCTGGGACGACATTCGTAGAACATGTCCAAGCACCGAAGTCGGTGTTTCAAGATGGTGACACCAATTGAATTATCATCTCTGTGCCCGAACACACGATGCCGAGCCTCTGCATTACTGACATGGTGTTGCCACTGAATATCAGCAATCCTTCGGAGACAACTATGATCGAACACAGAGAGTCGTCTAACGTCCTCAACTCGGGGAGGCCAGGTTTCACAGGCATAGAGCAAAACTGCTCTCACCGACGCGTTATAGATCCGACCTTTTACAGCCAGACTAACATCACGAAGGCGCCAAAGATGGCCCAGATTGGCATAAGCCGCTCTGGCTTTCACTATACGTGCATTGATCTCATCACTCACACCCCACCAGCACTTATGCAGCTACCTAGATACACGAACTTCTCGACTACTTCTATCTGCTCACCATCCAGGGTGAGTACAGGATTAGAATCCCACCAGGCTTGTAGAAGTACTTTGCACCCACATACCCTGACCTTCATATTAATTGCAAGATGTATCCCGCCGAAAATAAGTGGCAGGTTGATATGATAGACCATATTAAACTGATAAACACTCACGAATGTTGAAATTGTATAAGTTTAGGAAAAAAACTACTCGATTTGTGCTCATTATATAAAGTTTATCTTGCAATGATGTCTAGGTACTTAAACGTATGATACTCGTTTTTTAGAGTCCATTATTACCTTTCGAAGTAACTAAATTCCTTTTCTAAAACTTTGATAATAGGTTGAAATCAATAGAAAACAACAAACAATTACATAGTGTATAGACAATCACTTCATAAAAATCTAAAAGCATCTGATTATTATTCTATTCAAACAAATAACATAATAGAAACTATTCAAATTCATTATAAAGTAGGAAAATTGCCGAACAAATAATATCTAATATAATGATCACACAATATACATTCATAATGATATTCATAATCATTTATTACAGTTGTCACACGAACTGACTATTAACCCAGATAATTATGTTATGCAACAACAGGGGATGAATTATTTACTAAAAATATGATGACTAAACAATTCAAGTATTATATAACTAAATTGTATATAAATATCAAGTTTCCCACCGTCTAGATTAGTAGAATGTCATATGTGATAGTTTACATGTACATTAAATTACGTGGTAATGAAAATAATGAAAAAACCAACACACACATTTCACTGATTTATTCTAACTTATATAAACTAATTAACACTTTGGCAAGTGTCCAATAACAACTTCCAAATCAATAATATATATGTATATAATGTGATAGATATGAAAAGTAACATAATAATATAGTCATGATTTTAAAAAAAACTTTATCAATAAAACCATTTCCTAGATAGTCATTTAGGCGACCAAAAGAATGATGTACGACATATTTATGGTGAGAAACCTAATAATTTAGCGGTAAAACCCCTGTACTTTCACTAAATGAATTGTATATTAGAAATGCATTTTATCAATATTGATTTAGAAAATATAGGTAAGATTACTAATTTGATACAAAATCCATACGGATCAAAAGTAGTTGCACAATTCTGGAGTTGTTCAAAAGATAGACGGTATGAACTTAACCATGGTGGCGTTATAAAGGACTAATCGACTGAAAAAACACTAAAATAATGGTAGTGGGTGAATTTGTGTTTTGGTTATGGATTCGATATCATCAAATATCAATCGAAAAGTTGACACAGAAGGCAAAAAAACTGACCTACTGATTAAGAAAAGATTTCTTAACTGAATAATCAAATATCAAACATACAAAAGTGGATGTTTAAACATCTAATTGAATATAATAAAATAAGAAATCAAGAAATGCACGGAACTACACACGCTTGAACGGCACAACTGTTCAGAGCTTCCTAATTTTCAACAATTATTCAACGAAGATCATTTTTTTGACATGAACTTTAAAATGCAACGATCTCAACAAACTTCCTTCTGTGGTAAAATAACCACTAGTGAACACTGGTGATTAGTTTTGAGAAGTGATGCTTAATGTTCTAGTTAGGGCCCCAACCAATGAGGCGGTTAACCACTAATAACATTAGAAGACGATTGTGCAGTATTGAGGATTGACAGGAGTTAAACATGAGAACTATTGGATGCTAGTTCAGTGGTCTAAATGTTAAGTGCTAGACGTAAAACCTGAAGGTATTGGGTTTGATGACGACGGGGTCGTGAACACACACCACTGAGGAAACACATACTAGTATGTGTCTGTCAAGCGCTTTATAGGTCGCTTAACCATAATTTGTAACTTCTAATCGAGATAAAAGACAAAGAAATTACATCGATGGCTGTGAAAATATTAAGAAATATAGTTCGAAAAAAACATGAAATTAAGGGTTTGAATTAATATTGAAACTGAAGTTTTTAAGAGGGATAAATGATGAGTAAGATATCGTTACCATTGTAACCGATTTTTTCATGTTAAGACATCTATAGTCTCTCGGTTACTAATTTTGAAATTCTATCATGTAAACGAAAATTCATCTTCCAATCAAAAAGTATGAATAATACTACCAAAGTAAGCATCCAGAAATACCAAAAGTTTAAATATCATAGAGTATTGTATTTTTCCAATACTTTTTTTCATTGGACCTGTTAGTCGAGTAAAGCATAGTTTGTTCCGAGAAAAAAGGTTAAAACAAGAATTTGGTCAAAATTTAATGGATGTGAAAACTCCGAAATGTTATTTTTGAAACTCGTTCAAATTGAGATTTCATGATTAGAACAAAAAGATATTTTAGCGGACCAAAAATTATTCGATGAATGATTTTTATCCTTTTGACAATATATGACTAAAAATGACTAACTAATAAAATAAAATCTCAAAAAATATCAATATTGCTTCGTGGAGAAATACTATCTAGTAGATAATAAACCATAGTTAATAAATATTAAAGGTCACATTCTACCACAAGTTTATTAAATATAAGAAGAAATAAAACCTATGGTTGTAGACTCAACAGCCCATGTTGGCTCGTCATTATTCGATATCCTAAGTAAGTCTTCGTCTTAGTTGATTTTCAGCGATTTTCAAGCTTGTATCAGTTTTTGATGTACATGTCATTTACAAATTAAAACTAATAGTATCATTTACATTACCTGTCAGCATACACTACTTCACTGGGATTTCATTCGTGTCCTTCACATCATCTCAGTCGGACTATGTGATAGTGGCGAAGACTTATAGCTCAAGTGGATGACTTTGGTGGAGTTTGGTTCTTTGAGCTAGATCGTCTAATCTTCAATCCTTTTTGGAGGAGGCGCTCTTCTTTCTTCTTCTTCTTCTTCTTCATAAGTTTATATAATTTGACTATATAATCGATTTTATCTTTTTCTAACAGTGATTCCGAATTTCGACAAGTCTTTTTTCTTCGACGGCTTATTTTATTTGTTGATTGTATTATCCGAATAATATCTCGATTGTCGGTGTCAAGATTCTGATATGAGTATACTTCCTAGCTTCAATTTTTTAGCCGTCCATGATATGTTGGTATGTGTGGACACTATAAATTCCACCGGTAATCAATACGTACACTATTCGCCTTTCATTGTGTTTAGCTATTCTCCATCCAGTTAGACAGCTAATTGGTTGTCTGTATCTGACACTTGTTAGCACTAAACACTGACGAGGTTAATGTTAAAAGTAAAACGTTTTTATTCTGGAAGGCTTCTATTCGGCAGAAGTTTACTAATCAGAAAAACGAGAAGTGTGTTACGGTCATAATATTCAGAGATTACGGAGAAAGTTAAACCAGATCCAGAACAGAAAAAACTTCATTAGTTCCAAATTATGTTTTTACATATTCAGTGGAAATTCATCATCCTCATCCTAACCATGAATGTATAACAAGATCATCAATAAATATATTTTCTCTACTGGAAATCAACTGATTTTCAAATCCATGAGGTTCGTAATACAACTGAAAATTCTACAACACTACAATCAGTAAATAATATCACTGCATAGACATAAGATATTCTTTTGCATAGAACGATATGACGAATATCATATCTCAAAAAACGAAATACAGATTAAGAAACTCTTTTCTATTTCATCCTAGATGTCCTGAGAAAACCGATATTAAAATCTCCGTTATACAAATCTCAACCAACTTCACAATAAAGGAAACATAACTCAGAATTAAGCAAATACTCAAAACTAGTAATCTACACGGAAAACGAACTAAACTCAGATATAAAAATGTTCAGTCAAGTATATATACTGTCCAATTAAGTCACAGACTTAGGCTGTATTAAGATGTTGAATCTTAGCCAAAACGTTGTTTACTTCAACTAATAGACACCAGTGAATTAGGTTTAATAAATAACCATCATTTGTACGTTAATTCGTGATACACAAAATCTGAGTAACGCTAGAAGAGTTCAAACTGTTATCATAAATCCACATTGTAATAAACTATGTATCGTATTCACAAAGAAGTAAGAAAAAAAAAATTTTTTTAAAAGTAATAATGCATATTTATGTTTTTATTATTGTATGTTTTTCTTACAAAAGTTAAAAAAAAATCAATGAGTAAACAGCAAAGAAAATAATGAAATAGTTTCATTTAATAACCCTCAACTTCAACATTATTGGGTTGGAGGAATCAATATACCATTTATAATGTGAAAGAAATTCATAAAAGTATTCATAAAATGATACTACTTTGAATCTAATCAATAAGATGAAGATACGAAGGTCATTTTACTAGGTCACTTTTTAGTTTAGCACTAGCGCCTATGGTTTCATTCTCTATAGTTAATATGACAACTATTTTATTTTTAATATTAAAACATTTAATTTAAATTAATAGCCAAGTTCAGGTTCATACAGTCTGATCGATGATTTTTGTTATGCGGAAGATAGTGATATTATCCAAATGCCTAGAAGTAGATGGAATAAAGTTCGAATCCACGAACCGATCACTAAACGTTGATTCTTTCTATAACAATGACTAAATTGGTTAATCTATAAAATGGTCTTTCCAGTTCTTTTACATAGTGAAGATCAAAAGTTTGAATTTTTCAAATAGATGTGTATTTTATAGTGTACATCATGCGCAGATTGATTACAGTTGGACGACTATTGAAAACCATGAAGCACTGAACAATTATTTCGTTTTAATAGGGGAATCCTCGTCATTGAGAATCGACAATCCAACCCAGGACCTATGGGTATTACGAAAAGCACTTAAGCTTTAGATCACCGAACCGGTATCCATTGGTTTACATGTCACAAGTGTTTCAGTGGGAAAGCTGGAGATTAGTGTATATCAACTAGACTATAATCCTTTATTTAGTTTCAATAAATAGATAGATGTACAAATCCACAAGAAGAAAGTTGGTAGTTCTTTAAACACAATTTGGCTAGCTGCGTAACTAATGATATGGAGTATTCAAAATTAAACCTTATTTACTTATGGATTGTACACTTTCTCTTATATCCGAGAGAAGATCAAATCACGAGTAACTTCTGAGACATATTAATTGACTAATATTATCTATACATTCTTATGGTATATCTATTCAATAATAAGATTATGCATATTTATATTCCTCTTATTATAAGCTTTATTTTGACCTATAATTTATTATTGTACGATTTACTGTTCTTAAGCTATGTTCAGTTTATTAACTACTGCCTCCTTCGTTCATAGTCACTTTTTGGCTTTATTGAGTACAGATATTATTTCCTATTCTATGGTGCGTTGAGGCCTGTTTGTTTAATAAATAAACCCAATATGTCTGAAATAAATGATTCGATTCGGTTCGCATATTGGAAGCTGGTATTCGGTGTTCTGGACCCAAGTGGACTGGCTAGGCGGACATAGGACCAATAAGGACGCTATACTGCCCATACCGGTCGAACGTCATTGGTTTTGGCACAGTGTGAAGATTGTATTAGTCGTATTTGATTGGTGGATAAATCACGTAATAAAAAGCCGGACATAAAGTCATAACACTTTCCAATGGTATATATTTTAAAATTGAAACATATGTTTCAGTACAATGCTAATCATTTTTACTCATATTAGATTGGTGTACATGCTGACACTAATTATCGAACTAAAGAAAACATCTCGACGCATTAAGGCAAGACAGTAATGAAATGAAACGTAACGAAAAACTAAGAGAAATAATAACTCACTCCACGTTTTCCGCTAGGTGTTACATCTCCGTTAGAATTGACAATAAGTCCAGAGCCAATATTATTATTACCACTTAAATTGTGACGTGATATAGTATGACTTTCAGTAGCCAAATGACCTTCATTAAAGTCTTCCCTTTGACTTGCAGTACGTAATAAACCACTATGAGATAAATTCGCCTCTTGAGCACGATGTCCACGAGGTAGTGTTGCACTCATATTGGCGATTACATTAGCCCTACAAATCGAAACAATTATTAAATAATTGGTATTCTATGAATACAGATGATTAGATATATATGTGTGAAACCTCAGTTTATCCAACTATAAATATATCAACATTACTAGCGATCATTATTTGAAAGGATTTGAATCTTCTCGTTGTTGTTGTTGTTAAGGTCTGTAATTGGTGAGTCTATTTTGGCTTATATGTATCCTGGGTTGATAGCTTCGATAACAATGTCGTATAAACACCAATGTCGATTCAGTAGCTCAGTGTATAACGTGTTGGGAGCTTGATGCGAAGAGTACTGGGTTGAATCCACAGTACGAAAAACCGATACTGGGATCCAGGTCAATCCAGCTGATGAGCTTTATATAGGACAAAACGAGCATCCTGGATAACACTGATAGCCATTATCCAACAATACTAAAAACTGCTGGATATCTCCCATAATTTCCAAGTAAAACTGACTATTATAGGAAATTTATCGTTGTGTTTAAATTTTTTTAAACATCTTAAACGGCTTTCAACAAAAATAATCTCTAATAATTAATAATTTTATGATGACATTCAGACACTAGTCACAACAAAAATGCCATGAATACAGTAAAGTAATATCTCGTTTCAATGGTATTTTTATCTTAGGAATATAGTTTTTAACAATTCAACCAACACCTATTCAATCATTACACCAGAAATTATGTATCAAAGTCTAGAGTAATCGATGATTAATACTGTAATTAATAACATAGGAGTAGCTGGTTTAAAATGAGACAAAACAATACAATAATTTGATGCATATTTGCTAAGAGATTTAACCTTAATTATCTCATAACATTCATTGTTGTTACTATAATAATAATAATAATAATAATAATAATAATAATAATAATAATAATAATAATAATAATAATAATAATAACTTATTATTAAAGTTCTAGTAAATAATCCAAATAGAGAAAAGATTTCTTTACTGTAAACCATTTTTATCAACGTTATTGCAAAAGTAATAATACTGAAGATCATAAATTTTAAAGAGAAATCAATGTAATATGGCGAAATTCCAGGTACTATTTGTTTAAGTTTGTGCTATGTGGAAACTTAATGAACTTCGGATTGAAAAATATTATCATACGCTTTTACTAAAGTATTGAATTACAATCTTAGGATGAATATAGAATAAAGAAAAATCGCTCAACTATTTGAGTGAAATGCTGGTTTCGATATAAAGGGGTTCAGTTAACATAAAATGTGACAAGAAAAACATGCACATCATATAAAAATTTAATATGTTAAACTTTATCAAAATTATATATATATATATATATATATATATATATATATATATATATATATATATATATATATATATATATATACATTCGTTTAGGCCTCTGACAATCACATGTAATAGAATATTACGATCAAATTTATTAATATAGGCAATAGTTATATTGTATTAACTTTTCACTCAAAATTACTTCTAATAACCACGTTACTGATCGGACCGCTCGACAGTGAAAACTGAACTTTTATTCAGTTTAGACGATGAATATGTAGCATGATTTGAGAGTTGTTTTTGATGATGAACAGATATCGGCTAGAGGATTATTGAGGAATAGAAAGCGCTTGACATCCATTGTCCTAGTTTGGGACTTATGAACAAAAAGCATTCAGAACTATAAGTGAGATCAAAATCAGAATAATCAGGTCTTACGTCGAGTGTGAGAGCATTGACTAAATTAGTCGGAATTCAGTGGTTGATATTTTAAATTCCAGCAAATTGGCAACATAATGTGATCCGTGGACGATATATTCGGTAAGTTACTGTACAAAACTTGACCTAGTTAATATCACAAAGCATGAAGGTCATAGGCAAGACGTTATATGAGGTCATGGTTGCTGGAATCAGATCGCAAATACAGCCCAATAGAATAATCCAAATATTTGACCATCAGTAACATGATAGTTTGATTTATATATAGTATAGCTATCAGATACACTATATCGACGAGAGAAAATGAAGTGAAATTAATTTTTCAACTAAATTCTGAATAAACAATGAATAAGAAGTTTTCGATATTTACTGAGCCAGTAGAAACATTAGTAGGTAATACTAATGTGAGCTGATAGTAAGGTGAGGAGAAACATCACGTTGATCGGTGACTTCTTTATTAGCCCGTGTGAATGGATACCTTCAAGTCAACTATTTGTAGTCAAATGTTCAAACTCGACATACATGAAAATTTTAGTTGTCATCGTTTAGAATTTATTTGAACAATCTTTACGCGTTTATACTTGAGCTCTCTGATGTTCTTCGATAATAGAATTACATTTTTTTCGTCCACTATGTCTTGTAAATATATCAATGAAAGCTGTTATAATAATAAAATGGAATCTTATTTCAATCCAGTCATTTCTTAAACGATAAAGAAAACTACATAAGTGAATAAATTAGTAGGAAAAAAGTAACATACATTCTAATTCATTTTTGTATTGGTTGCTTGAATCTTCCCGTTGATGTTTAGAACTGCAATTGATCAGTATCTTATTGTCATTTGTGCATCCTATGTGAATTGCCTCGATATTGCCTTCAGTCACAAGCAATACAAGCGGAAATGATGGTGGCTAGAAGTGGAATCCCGACGCACATTTCATCCTATTTCGGACTCGTCTCAGATTTGATGTTCACTCCAAGATTCGAATGATATTTTCATTTCTCTAAGCAATTAAATATCCTGCAAGCGGTTAGTGACATCTGCATCGAGCGACCAGCACTGGGTTCGAGTCTCGGAGTGAACATCAACTTTGAGATGCAGGTATATCCAGCTGATGAGTCCCAAGTAGAACGACAGCGCGTTCTAGATCCCACTGTTAGCCATCATCATCTTAATATACATACTTCGTGTTTTTAATTTTAATGTTTAAATGGGAATTATCTGTCATTTTTGTTTATTATTATTCATCAAAAGGTTAGTCATACACTCAACTCGGAAAACATAATAAGTAGTTAAACTTGGAAGTGTAACTTATTAGTTTAACCGTTGAAAGTAGAGGACTTTGCAGCTTAAATTATGAAAATTTGTACAACCGACATATTGGGGACTCAATCGTGTGGGTATGTGCGGACTATCTGGTTCGAGTTCGCACAAATACCGTGATCTATAATTGAAGACATTAGATGACATGACTGAAAATCGGTTTCAATGAAATAGATTTACTCACTTTTTGTTTCAAAACACTTATAATATTCATTCCGCAAATTCATCCTTCCTTTTCGAATGATATTCTTTATACATAATTTTTATCACTATGACCACTACTACTATGGCATTTATCTTGACAATTTTATCGCGTTGTATTGATTTGACATTTCAACCTGAGTCGTACATAAATGTACCAGATTCTACCTTATTTATAATTGACTAACTGATTAGGACATTATGAATTTACGAAAGAAGATGGAACAAAGTAGTATGAAGAAGATTGCTCAGAGGATGAATTAAATTTAGTCAATATTCAATAACCAGAAAAAACATACTGACTCCTCGATAAGAAGGAATCAAATCAAAATTTGATAAAATACAAACAAGTAGATATTTGGAAACATTCGATTAAATGAATGTAGAAAAATTAGTAGGAGAAAGCAAAACTTACTTTGATGGAGTAATATTTTCTTCAATGATTGTATTTTCTTCATCGCCTTCTGTTTGACCACTATCACGACTACGTTGTCTACGTAAAATAATATCCACATAACCAGATATAAGCTGTGCAATTTGTTCTCCTTCAGTTGTTTGCATAATATAATTTCCATCTGGACTATACTGACCGAAATCCTTAAAGAAAAAAAACGTTCGCATAAATAAGTTAACAGACTGATTTGAATAATAGATCAAGAAATAAATCACAGTGGAGTTTTACCAGGAATCAAGGGGATATAAATGTTAGTAGGAGTAAACAGTCAGAACACCTAAAACTGAAGTTTGTGAATATTGCCACCTATCAGTAATCTTCAAGAAGGCTTAATTCTCTAAAGATTTCAAGTTGAGTAGTTATTAAAACAAGCGTACATGTTAATTCAAAGATTTTAAAGACATAGAGCGTACATAGAGCAATAACAGTGATAAGATGAACCTTATATGCAAATAGATATATAAGCTCTTTTCTCAATCTAATTATCAATTTGTATATGGACTGGAAAATAAAGATGTGAGTAGATTTAAGGGTCAATATTTCGATCATTGGCTTCACTTCACTTTAAATGAACATAGCATTTAAATCATCAAACTTAAAAAAAGTGACCAGTCAAGAGAATCAAATTGGAAATGAAGTTGTTCAATGGATTGCGCTATATCTTCAAGTGTCCGAAATTAAAAAGATAGTCCGTTAAATTTTTGGTTACTGGTCTGCCAAAAGTATCTTGTTCGCTATGAAAATCGGAGATCAAATTTTCGATGCCATGTAAATAAATAAAGTTGTGGGTCACTACCACTTCCGAGATGTATGATCTTATAATGACAACGCGCTTCTTTACTTTCTGATTTCCAGTAATTCCACTGCTATCACCAGTTTATACTGGGAAATAACCGTCAAACTTTATTGATCAATCATAAGCTACCATACGGTAATCTAACAACTGGCATTCGAACTTTTAAATAGCTTATAACAAGCTAAATTAATACATTTTTTTCAAGAAAGTAACCTAGATTGTCTGAAAAGTTTGGAAATTTAATTTTACCTCACTGAGATATTACTAATGTATCATTATTTTTATTATAAATCGGTATTCGATTGTATTAGGCGACCATAATGTTGTAATAAAATCAACAACTATGCTCATTTATTAATCAGTAATATTAATCATGCCCATAAAAGTAATATGCATGTGTATTCAATGACGCACACATTTAGACATGTCACTAAAATCTGAACAATATCGACTGCATATGAATATGTACTATTTACTAGTAAAATTCATGCGAGTAAAAATTTTCACTAGAATAACAAGTGAATATTAGTAAGTAAACACATAGATTAATAAAAATATTACTAATAATAAAAGCAACAAAAAATGTACAGACAAAATATACAACAGCGGATTTGTATAGATTATATAATAACATTTAGTTGATATACAAAATAATCGTTGTAACAAATCGGAACCAATAACAACAATTATTCATAATGTTACAGAAACAAAACAAAAAACAACGGCTAATCTTATTTAAACACACATTCTTATATTTTTAAAATATTTTGCCCACAAATAAACAATTACGTCATTATTAGACAAAATTTAGAGGTTAAGAACTCACTACGAGACCTAAAGGTTTTCGGTTTGATTCCTGACTAGAGTGTAGGTTCGCGTTACTATACTAGGATAAAACTGTTGTTCAGTACTTCCTGATTATCAGTGGTATCCTAGCATAGGTGAGTTTGTGATCTCACTAACATTCAATAATCTGCACAAAACCCTTTATACTGAGAATCATATTTGTCACTAAACTTTCACTGTCTTCCGAGGAACATTTGTCAGGAAATACTCCAAAAAGAAAATAACAACTACGACTAAACAATCTAGGACAGGAAAGAGGACACTACCATCATCGACGCAAACACGAGAATTATAAACGTGTAACTTGTTATGTAATAACTGGATGAACTCACTGTTCTTTAATGAAACAATATATATATATATATATATATATATATATATATATATATATATATATATATATTGCTAGCTGGAAAGTAGAACAGTTTAGGCGATATGCGAGCAACAATAACCGGCAAATGACTTTTGAATAATATCAAGAAAGATGAGTAATCAGTGTCTATAAAATCAGTCAACAATTAGTCTAACAAAATTTAGTAAATTTTCGAAAATATACATTCGAGTAACGTTGTGTGTAGACGAATTTTCCAGTTTTTTCTGTGAAGAGACTGTAAGATAATGTGTTTATTTTCTAAGCTGTTTTTTGTGCAGATTGTTATATCCACTTCTGGGTTGGTATTTTGATGTGTGTACTTGAGGATACTTTGCACGTTGTTGTCGATAATTTTTAGTCTGTCAGTTTAGATTTTACAAATGTGAAGTGCTAAGATTCTAAAACTGACGAAGCAAAAATTAATGAATTTCTAGATGACCGTAAATGTTTTCCAACCTATTCACACTAATTTCTTTACTGTTAATAGAAACATAATCAATTGGTCACTATAGATAAACTTGATTAAATTGCAACAATATGTAGTGATTGGCATTACTGTATTGAAACTAAGAAAAGGCAATAAACGATATCAGTATAAAATTACAGTCGAGAATTGTAGATTTTTATACTATGAAATAATACTCCCACTGTAGACATACTTTTTTACCCGTGTCTATCTATCTGAATGGTTTAAAATAATAAACAATGTGAAAGTAATGTTACCTAATAAATGACCTTGGAGTATGTCGACGCCCAAGTTAAGAGAAATATATATAACAACTTTTCACCATTTCATCAAAATGTTTTTTTTTTCACATGGAAGTATGACCTCAGAGAAATACAAATCATACAATACTGCTAGTACTATGGTGAAGATTTCAATCAGAACTTGTATTTAATAAAATGTTATATGAATACATAAAGAAACAAAACCATACAGGAAGTACGCAAGTGATAATCTAGTTTTATACTTGCGATTAATTTTCACATTATCCATATAGAAATTTTAGCAATTCTCAAGTTATCCTAACATAAATTAGTATCATAGAAATATTTATTATAAATAAATAAATGTTACAGTTTTTTCTAGATTTCGGTTTAAGTACACAAAGAGTAAATCATTGTGACCAAAACCTTGGCATTATATTGCGAGTAATTAGATTTTATGAAGAATCTATTCCAACAACCGAAATCTATTATCTCTGTTTTCATTATTAGAATTAATTATAGTGGTAATAACGATGTACGTGATTACACTTATATAGTGACTTATAATAATACATATGATCGCAAACTCATCAATACACTTCTTAAAATAGCGTGAATATTATCTTATTTCTGAACTAAAATAAGCATAATTCTAATAGAATATAACAACTTCATACTAAATTAAGTACTATATTATAAACAATACATGTGTCAGAATTACAGATGATGCCAGGTTACTCTCAAAGACAAACAAGTAGATCAGTACTAAAACACGGAACTTAATGATTGTAATTTCAGTCTTCCTATTTGCAGTCCATTGTTTCATTGTGATCAAATTCTGCCAGTATTGGTAAGAAACTGAATCTTCAAATATAAGTCAGAGATTTTTCCAAAAAAAAACCAGTATCAAGTTAATATATGTATATATGGGAAAGGACAGAAAACTGATTTGATAGAATTGTTTATGGAAACTCAGAGCACCAAACCTTGCTGACGACAGAAATTTCTCAAATGGTTTACACTTACAAATTAATACTGTTCCAATCTTGTATAATGGACTGAAACGTGGCTCCAACCTATGGAGTCATCGATAATCGGACTAAACCCTGCTAGTAGATTCAGACCACTAGGTTGGAGTAGGCGGGATTATCGTAACCAATGGTTGAAGACATTACGTGACAGCTCGAAATCGGTCATAATAGCGTAAATGCACTCACACGCTGTACACTATTAAGTTTAGTTTTGAAATTATCTTCAACTCCTCTCCATGAATTCATTCTTTTTCTCGAACCATATTGTCTGAGTCTAATGTTTTCTACTACAACCCAGATTTACTACTTTTATTTATTTGATGTTTGTCTTAATAATCTCTTTTTATCGTGCTAGTGTTGTGTTACAAATTGAACCGATACGCATATATGTCAAGTTCTATACTGCGCATGACTGACTGACGTAATAAATATTCTATACACCGTATTCACTGATAACATATTCATTGCAAAAAAAACTCAATGCACTAATTAATCATGATATATTGTTCTATAACTAATTATCATTAAAAATTGTACGGATAAATAAAAGGGACAAGAAAAATAGAATTATTAATTAATGTAAACAATCAGAATAGACACTTTGGAAGTATAAAATGTATTAAACTTCTATAAACAAACATATATGTAGGAGATATAATAAGACATAGTGCACTTCATAGAACCACCAAAATCCATGAAAAAAAGCCTTGAAACAACGCCTAACTATTCAATAAAATATAATCTGTCAGGAAGTTGATGAAATGTTATTGGCAATGAAATGGTGGACGCATGTTTCGTCCTATTCTGGACTCATCAGCTGAATGAACTTGACAAAAGACTGATTAAAATTTAGTCAAAAATACCGAAAACGGGAAAAGCAGGATTCTCCGATACAACACAGAATGCACCAATCCAATCAAAATTGACGGAGAAGATTTGGAAGATGTAAAAACCTTTACGTATTTGGGCAGCACCATTGATGAACACGGTGGATCTGATGCAGATGTGAAGGCGCGGATCGGCAAAGCAGGAGCAGCATATTTACAACTGAGGAACATCTGGAACTCAAAGCAACTGTCAACCAAAACAAAGGTCAGGATTTTCAATACAAATGTCAGGACAGTTCTACTGTATGGGGCAGAAACCTGGAGAACTACGAAAGCCATCATCCAGAAAATACAGGTGTTTATTAACAATTGTCTACGCAAAATACTTCGGATCCGTTGGCCGGACACTATTAGCAACAACCTACTGTGGGAAAGAACAAATCAGATCCCAGCGGAGGAAGAAATCAGGAAGAAGCGCTGGAAGTGGATAGGACACACATTGAGGAAAGCACCGAACTGCGTCACAAGACAAGCCCCCACATGGAATCCTCAAGGCCAAAGGAAAAGAGGAAGACCAAAGAACACATTACGCCGGGAAATGGAAATAGACATGAGAAAAATGAACAAGAATTGGATGGAACTAGAAAAGAAGGCCCAGGACAGAGTGGGTTGGAGAATGCTGGTCAGCGGCCTATGCTCCATTGGGAGTAACAGGCGTAAGTAAGTAACCGAAAACAGGACAACGCAAACCATTACAAAATAAATCAGTCTGTCCAGGAGTTCATAAAAAAGTAATCAATAGACTTAAGGGTGAACCAAAAACACTACAACAAAAAGAAAGGTACTCATCAATAATTACGTTTAGATATAAATAACTTTATACATACCAGAGTGAAAAGATTTGCAGTGGCAGCCCATCGACGTATGCGTGTTAATGACCACGTTTCTATAATTTCTTTGGTTTTTTCATCTACACGCATGACACTTTCTTTGCTTACTCCAAACAATCGTGGTACTAGTTTATTACGACCTTTCAGTTTTTCCTGAAAAAAATAGAAAAGCATGTAAAATTATAAATATGACGTTCAAATGAAAACATACAAACAAAACTTTTATGATCATTTTATGGTATATTTCTTAAAATAATGCACTGATATGTTTAGAAATATTTCGACGAATGGTTTAGGCATTTAATTTTTGACCGTAAGTTCAAACTTCATGTCATCTACTTCGGATTTAGCTAACCATATCATTTGTACTACTTGCATACATCTATGACTCAAAGCCTAGTAAGTAAAACTTGTAATTAAGTGGTAGACTGAGAAATATATAATTGAAAGAATTTTATTTTACAAATTACATCTGAATTATTTGACCCACCAACTAAACCTGTAGTTCTTCTACAGTTACTACCGATCCTAAGCCCATACAAAGGAGGAGGGTTGGACATAGGGTTAGTAACCACTTCCCTTACAAAACAACCCTGTCGAAAAAACGCTAACCACAATAAGCAAGGTAAACCATTTAGACTCTGCTCTCCAAGTCGAAGGGTCTTCATTCAGAAGAATTCTGAAGCCTTGTGGTGAAAGCCCAGATTCTTTAGATCTCACTAGACCGATGCACCTTTTAACAACCAGATCAATAATTTTTATAGTTACATGGAATGTTCGAACAATATGGGAGACCAGAAGAACCAGTCAAATAACTACGGAAATGAAAAGATACAACTCGATGGTGCTCGTAATCAGTGAAACCTATTGGACCCAAGATGGACAGAAGAAGAGAGATTCGGGAGAGATTCTGCTGTACTCTCGCACAATCAGGGAGTTCCTCTGATGCTGTCCAAAGAAGCACGCAAAGCACCTATAAGTTGGAGGACAACTAAAAAGAGATCAAAGAAGTACTAACATCAACGTGTCAGGAGGTTCTGGGCTGCACGAAGCATCATCATAAGGAATGGATTGTTCAGCATAGAGTTGGATGGAGAACGCTGGTGGGCAGCCCATGCTCCTCCACGAGGAGTAACAAGCGTAAGTACGTAAGTTACCCACCGATGGAGATGACCGCGCAATATCGTGAATTGGATAAAAGTGTGCATATTACCTATTAGATTCCTGCTTAGTTATTTAGAGATTAAGGGTTTGCCATGAGACTTGAAGGTCCTGGTTTTGATCCCTAGTGGAGTCATGAATATGTAATGCTAATGAGTTCCATACTGGAGTGAAATAGCTGTTTAATGCTTCCTGGTTGTCTAACCATGGTTCGTTCGTGATGTAAGCTATAAAATTCAACAAGTTTCATAAATCTCTTACGTTAAAATTAATGAACTGATATCAAAAAGTGGTACTCAATTAAAATGTGAAAATTAGAGTACATCGGCTTGAATGAAAACTCAGGAGAAATAATGAAGAAAGAAATCGGTAAGAGTAGAATAATCTACGTCTTAAATGGGGACTAAAATTCTGTCTCAGTCGACAATTTATGTCTTCTTATAAATATATCTGCCAAAAAACATTTTCGGATATTTATTTCCCAACTAGTGTCCAACAGTCTTAATCAAAATAGATAACGAGGGGAAGGTGAAAAGATTTTATATGGTGGTAGATCATTTTTATGATTTACTAAAATTACAAAATAAACATGTCGAAAGAAAACAGTAATTTTCGTCATTATTATTGTTATTGTCATTATTGTTATCAATAACAATAATTATTTACTTAGTGCTTTAAGCGACAAACAATTAAATTTTCAAAATCATTGTCATGGTTCGAGTCCAAGTTTACCTCAGTTTTTAAAATTCTCCTCGAATAAGCTTAGTGAAAAACTTTTAAATAAAAGCGTACGTACATATAGCAGATACTTCATCAGGCTAAAAGACCAAACAAAACTATATATACTATACCAACTCACTAATTAAAATATGTAATTAGTCACAGTTTAATCAGTAGCAAAGTATACAAATAGTATGATGTAATATGATACAACATATGCACATACCAGAACATAAATGACCACAATAGATAATTATATTACCAAATTGTTTTTAAGGGTACAGATTAAACAGAAATATTTACATTATTTTAGCAAGTTGTACAAGTAACATTGATTCCAGTAGGTAAATAAATAATTTTATAATTTAATTAAAATGTTATAGTTTGTGTATTTTTGATCATTGCCGCCTTTGAAGTAAATTACTTAATAATATAACCACATACGCTATTAAGTTAGTTGGAAAACACGTTCACATGTTTCCCAATATAATATGTATTTATTATGTCAGCTGATGTAAGAGGTAACGTGAAGGATATCTCAATGTTTAAATAATAAGCTTAGACAGAACAAATATATCAGATTCAGATAAGAAATTTTGTTATACGAATTGAACCTAGATTTATGTTTAATATGAATAACACTACGAATTGATATAGTTAAATAAATCGATCACTCCACTTAACATGGGGCTTCATCAATCTGAATAGTTTAATATATATGACCAAAACCCATTCGACTTTGCAAAAATCATCACCTATAGCTCTTGTGTTTAACATTAAGTAAATTCTTAAAACACTTAATATGCAATTATCAATCGCTTTTAGAGTTGTAATATTTTAAAAATAGAAACAAATTAGTTAGAATAGTAAAATTAAGTAAAATTGACATTCTAAGCAAGAGTTGTACCATTTATTTCCTCGTGCATTTCATTAATCAAATGCACGCCAATATACTCGCGACTTCGAGGCAAACCTCATTTGTGAAGGCTAGTGGTATTATCAGGGCTAATTGGAGAAAAGTGTAAATAGGGGTTGATCCTATATTTCCCACTTACATGCTAACCATCAAATATCATAATATAACTATTAAATAGGAATTTTATGACAAAACTGCATAAGTGTATTACAAATAACGTAGTCGAAAAACAACTGAAATATCAAAAGAGATGATGAGGCATGCAATGTGGTTTGATTTCAGAAAACAAAAAAGAAAACAATTAATCTATGGTTTGTTAGCGTTAGTTCTTTGTGCTTCTAGTTTAGCATTACATTAGCGACAATATTCGAAACTTACTACTAACTATTACTATAAAGTTCAATTCCAGAAAGACTTTACTAGATAGCTGATATATATAACCGAAATTGGGAATTTAGTCATCATATTCCAGTAAAAAAAATATGTGCTAACACACAAGCTAATAAATAAACAATCAGTTGTATAAGATAATAATGACAAGTAGTCATCAATTGTTAAATAACTTGACGGATAATTCGCTAATCTATAAATTGCATCTCGAAATGTTTTCACTTATTCTTCTACCTAATTTATCTCTTTTAAACATTAAAATTAAAAGACGAATTTTAGCGAAGGGATCTCTTTTCAACGAATTTATTATCAAGCTGTACCATCGTATATATATGAAAATTTTTGTTTTTGTAAAAGTACTAATTCCGTGAGGAAATGTGAACACAGTTAATAAAAAGGGTTATAATACTAGAATAAGTAATACGAATAATAACAATAGATTTAGTGAATATAATAAGATGATTAAAGTGTTTTTGATATAATAATTAAAGGTCATAGAGGTGTAAAAATTAAAGTGATATGATGAGCGTTCATGAATAAAACAATGAGGATATAAGACATAAGTAAAGGGGGAATGCAGCAATAATAATAATAATAATAATAATAGTAACAATAATGTTAGGATAATCAAAATAATTAAGGCCAAGGTAACGATAACGATAAGACGTACTTCTTTTATACGCATAGTTCTAGTTGAAGCTCCTGGATTGTAAGAGCTTCGGCTGTTTTTAAGAGTTGGATACGAAGAAATCTGGGTAGATTTGAACGAATCATATAAACAACATTAAAATCAGATTGTGGATCTGTAGAATGGTTACAGTCGATTAGGTGTTCAAGTATGGAACTCCTAACTGCTTTCCTTTTACCCTTATAGAACCAAGCTGGGATATGTTCTCGTATCCGAGTTGAAAGCGAGCGCTGGCTACGGCCAATGTACCTTGCTCCACAAGAGCAGGTGAACTGGTAGATGCACATGGAGGCGACCAGACGCGGAAGCTTATCTTTTATGGATACAGAAAATAAGTTTCTACTAGTGAAGGATATTCGCAGTTTTGCCGCGTTAAATGTTCTTCTAATAGTTGTTGTTAGACGATTTTTGATTACGTCTGATGTTCGATCACCTTTAAATTCCAGACTTATATAAAGGTTTTTCTTTGGAAAGGAACAACTAGAATTCTTGTCGCGACTACTTCTATTCATATTCTTTTCTATAAACCGTTCTGGGTAACCATTTTCCGTCAAAGTCTTCTTGAGGAATGCGAGTTCTTCGTTAATGCATTCCGTACTGCATATGTGATGTATGCGATAGCATAAAGAATGGATAAGGTTTCTCTTCCTACTTAACGGAACCCAGCTATAGAAGTTGGTTAGCTGGCCATTCCATGTTTGTTTTCTAAAGGTGGATCTTTTTAAAGAACCACTACTCCTTCTCATCAGATGTACATCGAGAAAAGGAATTGATTGGTCCCGTTCCCTTTCTAACGTGAAGTCTATGGAAGGGTGGCACGAGTTAAAGGTGTGTAGAATATCATCTAAATCAATATTATTGTCACAAACAACAAACGTGTCGTCCATGTATCTCACGTATAGGTGGAATCGACTGATCATTGAACGGAGTTGGTCGTTTTCTACTTTTGCCATGAAACAGTCTGCTAAAATTGGACCCAATGGAGACCCCATTGCGATCCCATCCCTTTGTCTATATATTTCATTATTGAAACTGAACTGGACATTAAAAGTACAGCGTAACAATAGTTCTTTCAAGTGTTCAGTTGGCAAACCTAGATCTATATTGTTAGAATCAATATACTCACATATATAACATATTGTTTCGGTTAAAGGTACGCTAGTGAACAAAGAATTAATGTCAAACGAGAACATGTGTTTTTCCTAAGTATTAACGTCCTTAATACGATCAACAAATTGAAAAGTATCATGAATAGAATGTTTACATACTTGCCTTCTA